AATCCAAAGTAATGTTGGATGTGATAAGAGAAAAAAATTATTTTTAGTAATTAGGTAATTTAGTAGTAATTTTTTAGAAATTATAAAGTAATTATAACACTTCTGCAAACCAGAGTATATCTGTGGTACGGTTGGCGTAAACCATAGGAAACCATTCCGCTTATTATTATACTCGATTGTGAGGTGAGGTGTATCTGGAAGAGATTTTTCCCAGCATCTTGCACATCGCTGAAACATCTCCATAAATTCAGAACTACCCTGTTGTTTTGTGTCTCCAAGGGATACCTACACTCCTGCGTCATTCACATTCAATAAGACAAGCCCGTCATTTCTCGAGAGCATCTGCCAGGCCCAAGGAAAGGAGAGGGCTTGATAGCCGTTCGTTTCCCAGCCCCGAACTCACATCTGCGTCTACTGGTTCGCTGTGAGAATCGATGCTGTCGAAGAGAGTTCTTCTCCATTTGCACTAAAATGTGATTACATTGCCGTTCCGCTGATATCTGCGGCTGGTTTCCCAGCTGAGTCAAGCCCGTCCAATGTTTCTCGATTATTCTACGTTCTCCTCTTCAGCCAAGACGCAGCATGTTTTGCTAACAAAGCCGCAAAAATTTCCTTCATTAAATTTTTTGAATTTGTTGTCAGAAAAAAGTTTGTGCAAATCTTTTGCAAATTTTCTGTGTCGAAAATTTATTTGACTGCTTTTTGTAAATTCCGTGCTAGTCTTGGCATTAGTATCAAATAATTATTTGTTATTATTTATTGATGTTCATTTAATGTTATAGTTACAATTAATAGTTAATTTATCATTCTTTATTAATATTTGTTTTTCGTTATAATTTTTTTACTTACTATCATTTACCTATTATTTACTTGTAATTATTATTATTTTCTATCATTTTGTGATTTCAACAAGTTAACATCATCAGCATGGCTGACGATTGGAAAGAGACTGTAGCTGTCCGAGAATTTTTTTTCGGGGTAATGGGAGGGGAGGGAGGGATTCGTGAATGAAGGGCTCGGCATTTACCTTTTCCGAAAAAAATTTGGGATGCTATCCGCCCCTGAAAAAAGCCCTTTTCAAAGCCAGCTATTTTGATTATTTGCAAAGAAACCCATTTATAAAATTTCATAATTCGTGTAGGCATCTTTCAAAAAAGTCTTGCGATCCATTATCGCCTTCCCCCCCCCCCCCCCTCCCCTCCCCCCTTCCCTCGATCTGCCACTGGAAAAATAGCTACCTTGTGCCTTTGTGGTACTTTTTACATTTCGTCTACACCTTATTAGAACTTGTCCTTTTGCAAATTATTTTCACTTTTTCTTCTTCCTTCCGTTAGTGCTTGGACTGCTCATTAACTTCTCGACGCTAGCCGCCATATTTGTTTTTGTCTCCAGTTGATTCTTTCTTTCTTTGAAGCTCTTGAATATTTCCGCGTCTACTGAGTCTATAATTCAATTTCTGAATAATTTCTGAACTTTTCTGTGAGAAATTCGTTATCTTCTGATCGTTTATTGAATACACTCAGTCATAGTTTTGAATACGCATTCTCGATACGGTTGAAGTGATAAATCTTTTTTAGATGCTATCAATGAAAGGCATAGTCTTATTCATTTTGTCATTTCAAATATTATCTTATTTCATTCATCTATTTGACTTTTTGTTTTTTTTGTTACTCGGTCTTACCTCCTTTTTGGATTTTTCTTGAATATTCAGTGAAAGACACACATACCTGCGGGACTTTTCCATCCCATTACTTTTTTTTTTCAAATAGTGGTCTAGTTGTCTAAATCAATAATCTGATTATCTGATTACAATCTTACTTTCTTTGATTGATATGATCGTAGCCAATTGGCAAAGGGTCCTTCACGTTCATAATTTCTCCTATACTACACCAGCTTTTGCCCTCAACTTTTTTTGAAGAATTTTTTACGAATTGATTGCCGTTCCCAAACCAGGATTTTTCCAAAAGTGAAGTGTATGAGAGATACCTTTTCTTCTTAAGTGCAAAAGAGGGTGTAAGACTCTGATATATAGGATACAAAATTGACTGTGTAAAGAATCTGTTAATGTTGAATATCGATCGGTGGGGGGGGGAAGAATTCGAGTCGTATTTTTACAGTAATTAGTTCATGCCGGGGCGTCGACTTCATCGCCGTCGTCAAGAATTGTTGATGACTGTTTTTCGTCACGCTCGGACCGTGCGAGCGATCAACTATTGTTCTCATCGATTTTCTTTTTCCTTTACTCTTAAGGATTACTTCAGTCCAAAAGTTCTAGATTTAATATTTCTGAAATTTGTATAGAGTTAGGCGCTGGAGAAGATAGTGCATAGTACATGAGGGTGATTACTCACCTTTGTGAGAAGTTTACATTCGAAGATGAATCAGAATCGAATGACTCAACGTTTTCTTGCTTTTTCTACTTGAATCGCTTTGTCTTTTGCCAGCTAGCTTGTTTTATAGCATACTAGCTGGCTTACCCGGCTCCGCCGTATCCGGACCAAACTTGGCACGCATACACTTGTGCCCCGGCGGGTGTCACAGTCCACTTTTCGTTATCGATCGATGTCGATTTTACCGATTTTTATCGATTTTTTTGCAGAGTTCACCTACAGGGCTAGGAGTGGGCACAGGGGGGAAGTGAGCATGGGGATTCCGAATACAATATTAGTTTTCAGAATTATCGATTACTTTTATTGATTTTATCGATTTTTTGTAAATTTTGACATGCGAGGCTGGGATTTTGCACAGGGGGTAATCGAGCATGCTGATTACGAACACAATATTAGTTTTCAGGATCGTCCATTACTTTTATCGATTTTATCGATTTTTTTGTAAAGTTTGATCTGCGGGGCTGGGAGTTTGCACAGGGGGTAATCGAGCATGCAGAATACGAACACAATATTAGTTTTCAAGATCGTCCATTACTTTTATCGATTTTATCGATTTTTTGAAAATTTGAGCTAGGGGGCTGGAATTTGGCACAGGGGTGTAATCGAGCATGCTGTTCACCCCCCTTGGGGATGATCAGCATGCTCGATTACCCCCCTGTGCCAACTCCCAGCCCCCTAGCTCAAACTTTGCAAAAAAATCGATAAAATCGATAAAAGTAATCGATAATCCCGAAAACCAATATTGTATTCGGAATCCCCATGCTTGATTACCCCCCTGTGCGAACTCTCAGCCCCGTAGCTCAAACTTTGCAAAAAAATCGATAAAATCGATAAAAGTAATGGATAATCCTGAAAACCAATATTGTATTCGGAATCCCCATGCTCGATTACCCCCCTGTGCCAACTCCCAGCCCCGCAGCTCAAACTTTGCAAAAAAATCGATAAAATCGATAAAAGTAGTCGATAATCCTGAAAACCAATATTGTATTCGGAATCCCCATGCTCGATTACCCCCCTGTGCCAACTCCCAGCCCCGTAGGTGAACTCAGCAAAAAAATCGATAAAAATCGATAAAATCGATATCGATCGATGACGAAAAGTAGCCTATGACACCCGCCGGGGCCCGAAGTGTATGTGTGCCAAGTTTGGTCCGGATCGGTTCAGAAATGGAACTTTCTATTCGGAACATACGTACAGACATACAGACATACAGACATACATACATACATACATACAAACAGACATTCAGCTTTATATATAAGATTATCTCTAGACTGAATAAAACGATAAATTTTTATATGGTTTGCTTATTTTTCGTTTCAGAATTCAATTTGAAGTTTCCCTACCTTATCTTCCCCTCAATGTGTCTAGTCTAGAGCTCTTTGATTTTTCTCTTCATACAGTATGCAATCCTATCAGTTCGCCTATATGTTTGCAGATAGTGTAATTACAGATTATGACTTATGGAATACTATGGATTTACGGACTACAGATAAGATGCAGTATGAAATTGAGAGATGCATACTTTTGTAGATCATGTTTATTCAAAATAATATAATATAACATTTCATCATATTTATTTAGTCGTTTATCTATGAATCTATTGATCTAATTATTTTATATATTTTTATTTTTATTTTTTGATGTTTTACTTGCTATCATAATCAAAAATCGAACATGGTGTACGATCTGCATTTGCGGTAAGAGTACCGTCCGCAAATTTTAATTAGTTATTTCTGAATTTCCGTTCGAAGGGATCCAGACTGTTGTTCTACAAAAAATCCTAATTTTCAACGCACTAGATTTTCCTTTATTCTTCCAGTTTAAGTGACTGAACTTTTAATTTTCCTTTTTTCTTTCTTTTCCTCTTCTCTCTCTCTGTTCATCGTTTGCATCGCCTATACTCTGCGGAAACATTTTTTTTTGCACTGCCTTAATTTCTTCACCGCCATCTATCAACCTGCTAAGCAATTTCGTCTCCAAGTTTGTCATTTTTTGGATATATCGTTTCCGAATTTCTCGTTGTTATCTCTGCGCTCTCCACCTTCTCCACACTCTTTTCGCGATCATGTCCCTTCATTGTTCATCATCGCCTCGGCTGATGACGGTCCAATCATTGATTTATCTCCGTCGTGGTATGTCCTTATCACCGGGGCCCCGCCCCCGGCGCTCGGCATGCCACTTACGGGCGTGGGTGTTGATTACAATCGGAATCGCTCGATAATTGGTTTATTGATCGATTTTTTGAGATCCTAAGTTTGGGACAGATTTTTGGGTGTTTTAGAGTTGCTTTAGAGTTTTTGAGACGCATTCATTTTATTTAAGTAGTGTCATTTGTGACCTGAATTGGTATTGGTGTCCGAATCGAAGTTTTTTGATCGTGTAGTTCTGTGTACGTAATTACAGCCCATTCATCTGATTAGACATCAGTTTTTGCTTGTCCTTAGCCTGTTCCCTCGCCGTGCTCTTTGCTTTTCTTCGTGCGCGCGCGGTCCTCTCACTCCTGTTCTAATTTTTGATTGGATCAGTCATCCAATTACCCTCCGCCTATTACATGACTCGTTTTCTCGCGCCGTTTTCTTTGCAATTCATATCAATTCGTATCGATCAATGAATCGATCTCTATCGATTTCAGGCGGTTCACGTGATGCCATCCAAGTGAGGAGGAGAATCGCGGCGTTGTGCAGTTCTGCCAGCCCCCATCCCATTGGCATTTTTTCCACACACACGAACGAATAGACATTTCCACACAAGTTCTGAGACACACTGATACCGTACTCTTACCGTATTCACGTCTACCAGCTATTGTTCGTCTCTCATCTACTCGTCTGTAACGGTATTTGCGCCGCACATCACCAGCAAACATGGATCACAGCCAGCTGATGGCAGAAATGCCAGAAATCGAAAAGATGACCGCTCAGGAGCGCATAGCGCTTGCAAAGTGAGTCCGCTCTAACTAATTATTGATTTTATCGATTTTGAAACATTTTGTGTTTATTTACCCACTTTTGAGAGCTACATTACTGGCTAACACCTGGTTGTCACGGGTGTAGCATATGTGACGGTTATTGGATACCTAATGACAGCTACCGTATCCTATTACTTACCTCATTATGGGAGGAGGGGGAGGGGGGGGGGGAGAGAAGGGGGAAATTTACAGTATCAAATTGTCCACAAGTATGGTGATTGAGTAGCTAACTATAGATCTGTGGCGGTCAGAGAAATTTTTGTGTGAAGGGGAATGGGGGAGAGGGGGACCGAAATGCCACCCTCTCCTCCTGGGATACCTTTTGGAATGTTTCCTATTTCTTGCGGAGTTACTCTAACCTGCACTTGCAGAAACTTTCGCACGATTATTCCAGTTATTCACGCGAGTCATGTCCCCCCCCTCCCCCCTTTTTCCGCCACTGAGAAAGTCCATAGCTGAGAAACCCGACCAAGCATGATCTTCTCAAAGCACAGTAAAAAGCAGCCTATTTCCCAGCTTTGATAAACAGTTTGTCGCCGATGCCAAAAAGCCAACTTAGCAAATTTATAGAAAAAATGCTCAATGATTCACTTATGGGTGATATATTATCTGTTGTTATGGACCCACATGATCCGAGGAATTTTGACGCGGACAGGGGGGGGGGGGTAACGCGTTAGCAATCCCTTTTGGAAAGGGTTTTGCGATGTTTTTCAAAATCTTAGCGGACCTCTATTTCAGAATTTCAATTAAGGGATGTGGAGGCAGCCTGAAAACTCTTTTATAGCGCCAATGAACTTTTGGAAAAAATGAAAGTCATTAAAATTATTTAAGCGTGGAAGAGAGTTATTTGCTTAATTTTATGACTCATGTAAGCTTGTAAAATTTCGCGATCAAAGGGGAGGAGGAGGGGGGGGGGGAATAGAATGGCATCCTTGGTTTCTATCTGATTGTGATAACTCTTGAATTACCATTTTAGTCATATCAAATAGCTGAGCAGAAAACTTTTTATAGTGTTTATTAATTTTTGAAAATTTGGAAAGCGAGAATTTTATGTCAGTTTGGGTATAAAGTCATCTTTAGAGGGAGCCTACTTCCTTCCTTTTCTTCAGGACCTCTATTCAATGACATTAATCTTCGGGTTTTAGGCAATTCGTTCACTTATTAGTTCAACTTCGATTTCTCTATTTCCTTTTTCTTCATGAGATTTTTTTTGCAATGTCATTTAGTATGCAAATTCCGTATCTTGCATATGCATGAGTGAACTACGCCATCTCCCCATGCATTAAACATGAAAGTTCTACAGCAAAACTTCGGACAGCTGTCCATTTAAACGTAATGTGATAGTCTAATTTTATATGCATCTTTTACTGCTCTACTGGCGCTGTACGGCTCAATGTGAGCGAGAAGTTTGGGCCGGAAAAAAAACGGCTGCAAAATTTTGAAGTCAGCAATTTTTTTGCTTTGATACCCAAAACTGCTATCTATATAGTCGAAAAAAATTAGATAGTGTTTGTGGTAATTATTTTCACATGTAGACCAATTTCCTTCATTATCAGTAATATCTGACATTCTCTCTTACTAGTGACAGCGAAAATGAATAGGCAATATTTTTGTTTATTCTTTTTTTTATTCTTCTTGATTTCTTCGGAAATTGAAAATGTAATTCACCTATCAAATAGTGAGTTTGCACAGTTTATAAACATTTGAGTGGTGGAAAAATTTTTCTGCGAACTTTTGTTATTCTCACATCCGTTTCTCTTGCTTTTTCTCTACTTTTCATTTTCTTGATTTGCTGGGAAACAAAATCGGTTGAAAAAAGCTGGATTTTCCTTCTCCAGCAACAGTCTTCTCATTTATATATGCTAAGGTCTTTCCATATTTTTATTCTAAACCCAATAACTTTCCCTATATCATCGAAACAGCCACTGCCTCACCTATCGCTCAAAATTCTTAAACTTTAGATGGTATTTTCAGGGCTCGGCACAAGGTGGCTAGTTGAAAATGCAAAAAACGAGTCCCCCTTGACTTTCACAAATTTTTACGTAGTCCCCTTTGACCTCAGACTTTAATCCCCAAAGAAATCCGCAAAAAACGAAACGTCGACTAACAAAAACGTCGCAGTTTTCGTGTCTTTTCGGCCTCAAAAACGATACTCCCTTTGCTTTCTGTCCCAAAAACGATACCCAGCTTGCTTATAAGCCATCTGTGCCGAGCCCTGGGTATTTTCGAGGATGTTTCAACCTTTTTTCGTAATTTTCTGCAGGCAAAAAGAAGGTAAAACTGTTTTTCGAAGTTCCAACACGCCGTTATCAGTTCTGCGAAAACAACTATTAGTAATCGTGTTATAGAAGCAAAGATTAGATTACGCGAGTTTTTTCCTAGTCTCAAAATTTTGTACGAGTGGATTGGTCAGAATATGGTAAGGAGCGAATTCCACTATTTGGCGTCGCATCCGTGGACTACTGTTCCTCACACAGTATGCAATACCATGTGCGAAAGGAGCAGTAGTCCGCGGAGGCGGCGCTTATTTGCGCAATTCGTCCACCTATCGTCAAACTACTGCAGCTTTTTTATTGTCTCCGCTACTAAGCGGAATCTCTAGAATTTACTCAATCTTTGATTTTCTAGAGAGCGGCGTCGCGATCAGCTGCGCAAATGTGACGAACGAGAGCGATCACTGCCTCCGCCGCGACCGCGTCGACAGCGATTGCGGTTTTCGCCCGAAGTTGCGTTACTTGAGGCGACTGGACGAGCCGACGCTGCTGAGGGTGAGCACGGAACTCCCGCAGTAGTTTGTGTAGACGAGTTGTCGTGTCCTGAATGATTATTGTTGTTGCAGTTGAGCGATTACTACGTGAGGGTGCAAATCCAAATTCACATAACGAGGATGGGTTAACGCCGTTACATCAATGTGCGATTGACGATAATCAGCAGGTAAGGCGAATGCACACTTAAGCAGCGTCCAGAGTTGCCCGAGTGCCGAAACTGTGCCAGCGCCGTGCCGGCGCCGTGCTAACGTCGCGCCGCAATTAACATGCACGTGCTCCGTATTGATCGATTGAAGTTTCCGGTACTAGCACGGCGTTAGCATGGCATAGGCATGGGCAAATCTGAACGCAGCCTTGGACAAAATCAAAATTGCGAAATATGTGGTTGGTTCACCGACGCAGACAATGCGTAGCGTTGCGACCACCATAGCGGTGCGGTTGCGATGCCTTGAGTGGTATAGGGAGGCATTTATGTTAGAAACGAAAACTCCGCAACTTGTACGCATTGCCTTTGTCGATGAATTGATCCTTTGTAACCCTTCAGTTCTCACTTTATTGATTTTATCGATTTTTCTTTCAGATTATGCTGTTACTGTTAAGCCACGGTGCTGATGTTAACGCTCAAGATACAGAGCAATGGACCCCATTACATGCGGCCGCATGTTGTGCTCATATCAATGTTGTGAAAATCCTTATAGCAAAGTAAGTTTCAATCAATATATCGATTACTTCACAATTTATTGATTATTTTAGTGGTGCAAATTTATTAGCCGTTAATGCTGACGGTAATATGCCCTATGATATTTGTGATGATGAAACAACGCTCGACGCTATAGAAAGTGAAATGGCTGCTCGTGGTATAACACAGGTGAGATGAGTGTCGGGTAGATCAAATAACCGATCAATATCTTGTCAACTGATTAATCGATGTATTGATTTTTGTAATTGCCAGGCCTATATCGATGATCAACGTGGTGCTCCTGAAAAGGCAATGCTAGATGATATGAAAAGCTTACATCAACAAGGTTATCCTCTTGATGCACGTCAACCAGACGGATCCACTTACGTAAGTGAAGCTTATTTATTTTCAATTTTACTCGGCCAATCTATCATTTTTTATAATTTCCACTTTCTTTCTTTATTTCTTCTACAAAATCTGACCGAAATCTGTATATGGAGTGTACTAAGCGAGAAGGAGGGGATATTTGAGTAAATGGGCGGTAAAGCAGATGCACGACACTAGAGTTAGACGCCTGCGCTGCGTATGCGTTGGCGCACATAAGAGGGACTATGCGGTTGAGATAGACTGCATAGTTTATCACTTCTTGAACTTTTTCTCAGATTGAATGCGCTTATATGAAGTGCCTCCCCTTTTTCCTTTCACACATTATTCTTCTTTTGTTGGCACATTTTTATGTTTATTCATTAACGTTCGAATTATTTTTTTGTTTGTTGTTTGGATTGTTTTTAACTATGCGAGCTCAAAACTATTGAATTTTCTGTTTTCCAAGGTCTGTCTTTTTCATTGCCTAAGTAGATGGGGTTTTCTGTTTTTTTTTTCTAAAGCTGAAATAGCACATAGCACAAATATCAAGAACACGATGAATTGGAAAAAATAGAAAATGTTCATACAGATTTGAAGTATCGCAGTTGCAAACTCTCCTTCAACCTCTCCCTAGACGAAAAGTTTTTTTTTTGTTGTACACTTCTTGAGTAGAACAGGCTGTGAGCTGCAGCCACATGCTGGGATCAAAAAAATCTGTGCAAGGGATAGTCAAACACTTAACATTAACTGGATCTTGAATGCGAGTCGTTTAACATAATGAAAAGCTTAATAACAGTCTTTATTGTCAGCTTGGCATGCACAAACCGAAAAAGCAAGCAAATTAGTTCGCAAATGCTGTCAATTTGATCTGTGAGCAGACAGCAGAATGACTTTGGATTGAAAAGAACAACACGATTTCGGTGTAGATACTAGCAGTCAAGAATTTTAAACCATAAATTTTTTCAAAAATATTCTCAGTTTCATGGTACATTTCGTTAGAACTGGCTGGTACTAGCCGCAAGAAAGCTAGCTAAGAAATTCATTTGTTGTAAAAGGTCCCTGTGGCAAGGTAACGAAAATCTTTTCTGTTTTTTTTTGGTGAAGAACGAGGTAGGCCTCAAAGACAGTTTTCTGCGATTTTGAATTCTTGAAATTATGAATACAGACTGAGAAGCCTCGTAGTGATTGCTACACAGCTCGTAGGATTCGTTCATGACCCCGCCCACACCGTACTCGTACACGCTGATTGGTGCCAGTACGGTATGCGCGAGTTCAGGAGTAAATTTTTCGACTGTGAATGAATCACATAAGCTCTGCTCTGACAATGGCTTAGCTATTACAAAAAAGTTATTATTGCTCTTTGCCTCAAGCAGTGAAAGAAGTAGGTCCTTTTCGAACGCTAAGGAAGGGGATCAGTATGTTTTGAATTTTTTTGTTATTTGTTCAACTCAGTTTTTGATGTAAAGTTATAAACGAAACTTACCAGTTTGGAATTGAGTTAGGTTGATTGTATTGCTCCTTAGAGTGCTATATAGAATGACTGAGACCTTTGGTTTACCATAACTGGAACGGTTTATATTTGCGATTTTGTATTTTGAGTAGATGTGATGAAAAATAAGTCTTTAGAACTATGTCAATCAGGTACCGAGATTTGCCCAAGCTGCTTCTGTCGTCCTCTCAATTCAAGTTTTTTCTATTCCGAAATTTCTACAACTTTGTCTAGTTTCAACTTTTATTGAATTTCTGCTATTTCGAGACGTTTCTGTAAATTACGGTAGCTATGAAACGAGCTGCTAGAAGCATTTATCAACTAATAATCGACTTTTCGCACAGTGGAATGAAAGGAATGCGCACTTCATTAGTTTGAACTTGATCTCGACTTTTATGTTTCAGCTTCACATTGCCGCCGCTAATGGGTATTATGATGTAGCAGCATTTCTTTTGCGATGTGGTGTACCAGCGACGTCACGGTTCGTTTTATTTCTTGCTTGGGGGCCAAGAAAATGAGGTTCTCGTTTCAGAGATAATGACCTCTGGCAACCAGTACATGCTGCAGCTTGTTGGGCTCAGCCAGATTTGGTCGAGTTGATTTGCGAGTACGGTGGTGACATTAACGCAAAGACGAGTAGTGGTGAAGCACCATTAGGTAAGGCCTTATTGATTTATCGATTTGTAAAGACGGTAAATTGCATATTGAAGATCTCTGTGAGGATGACACAACCCGAGCTGTTATTGCTACTATGCAGCAGCAAGAAGCTAGAAAGAAACGCTTAGCATTTGGAGTTCGCGACAGCCGAAGACAAAGTCGAAGGCAAGTTTTCGATCGATTATCGATCCGTTATCGACTACTAAGCATCGATTTTCCAGGCGAAAGAAGTTCGAATCGCCACAACAGGTCGCGACCGGTGGTGACAATCCATTCTCAGCTCGAGGCGCTATACGACGTTTGTCATTGCGCGATCGTACTGGCTTAGCGCCAGCCAGAATTGAAGCTCAAAAAGAGGGTGCTGACATCATCAGGTATCGATTTATTGATTTATTCGACCAAAGGTCTGAAACTATCGATTGACTTACAGATCGTGGTCGAAGGAGGACGTAAACTCGGATGTTAACGTTATGCCTCAACCGTTGCATGGCAATCGCGATTCACCGAATAAGCGGGTACTAAAGGTGGGTTCATTGTCACGGCCGAAGTATTTTTTTTGTTTGATTTTCTAAGTAAATTCGTACAAATGAATTTCACAATATGGCACAGTTCCTCAAATTATTTCGGTTCAGTTTGAATGCCCAAACTTTATTATCTGACTCGGCTAGCCAAATTTGCGAGCTAAACAAAATAAAATTCCTGTTTTGAAAAAAGACTCGGTAGAAGACCCACGAATAACCGCATTGATTTTGTATTAACCTCATATCTGAAATCAACTGTGTCGCGAGGAACCATTCTTAAAATGTAGCAAAAAGGAATAACGTTGCAAATATTGCATAGAATGTCTGTCTCAAAAATTTTCTGTGAGTCTCTGAATCAATCCGAAAATCAAAAGGAACTTACAATACTTGATGAAGATTCTCCTAACAATGTTTTGCTAATATTCTTGGTTATTTCATTGACTATTTATGGTTGCAGCAAAGCAACAAGCCGAAACCGATGAGTCCTGATGAATGGTTACGTAAGTTGGAAACAGGTGGTGACGAGGACGATGACGGCACGCCTCGACGTGCTGGCAGCCAACGAAGACGGCCGAAAAAAGGTAAAGGTCAGCTCTTAGCTTACCCTATTGTCTGTCTGGGATGTGCGAAGCTGGTAGAGTATTGGGTACCAAATTGGATCCGCCAATAGGCGCCGCCTCTGTCAACTATTGGTCCTTTCGCACGTGCTATTGCATACTATGTGAGGACCAGTAGTCGGCAGCGGTGGCGCCTAATGGCGGAAAACGTTGCTTTACCCCGTATTGGTGTTCCATGTTGAATCATGACCCCGGCAAACTATCGGCTTCCAGGTAAAGGTCCGTCCGAAATGCAAGACCTTCGGCCGAACGGTGACGCTTCGCGACGCGACAAGAAGAACTGCTGCTGCATAATTTGCTAATGTTGTTGCCCCGTCATCCAACTTGGACCACTTGGTCCCGCCTTGCTCCGACGAGTTCTCGTCATCGCGTTTCACTTCGCTCCCGTCGATTCGCCCCGTCCCTTTGCAAATCTGTGATGATGCACACGGTTGTCTGCCTGTTTGCGTTTCTTCTCCATATGTATTCTCGTCGTCTCATCCTCTAGTCAGGAGGAGAATGTCCTCTGGAGCGCTGAGGTATTTATATCAATTTATTTACATTGATTGAAGCCTACATTTGTTCAAAAAATAGAGTTTTATGCGCGTGTTTAGCCGGCTTTCCATGCTGTTATCGCTGTTCAATCGCAAAACGGTTGTGAATGTGAATGCGAGAGATAGTTCTACTCAGAATATTATTGACCTGTTGATTTTTTTTCTCTCTCTCTCTCTCTCTCTATAGTCTACTGAGCTGTCTGTTCCTCTATTGAGCTACGTCCATAGTTGCCTGTGCCAACGCCGAACCGGCGCTGTGCCAACACCGTGCCGATCGATCGATACAGGGCGCGTCCGCGTAGCAACTCTGGACGCAGCCTTACGTTCTGCTTCGCTATAGTAGATTTTGATAGGCAAGTAAGAATATTTTCAAGTGGACCTTCACTAAGGCGGGCTCTGCCCCCGTCAAAAAATGCGGACCATGCCGCCCCCTCATTTACTTGCGAGATCGTATTGCATTGCGTTTTGGGTGCGCTCTAATACAACATGCAGTTAGACACTATTGCTCATTAATGTTATCAACATTTCTACTGTGTAACTGATCTTCCCACCGATCGATAATCGATCGCCGCTCGCTCCTTCTATTTCCTATTGCCTACGCATTTATGTTGCATTCACTCCGGTACGTGTAGTTACGTACATCACACATCATGCGCCAAAAATACAATCTGTGTTATTTTATTGTATTATTGATTTATTGGCTGATCATCGCTTGTTCACTATTGCTTATATGTATTTTATCTGCATCTTTTCTCTCATTTCTTGCAGTTTTGATAGCGATCGATATTCGATTTCTGTGTCGGTGACAGTATTGATTGTCCACCGCACGAAAATAGCGTTGTGAACTGTAAATCCCGTTCAGAAAATTCACTTCCGACCCCCCCCCCCCTTGGCCTGTCCTCTTCAGTCTCTCAGCTTTTTCATTTCCTCCCACTCAGCCGCCGTTGAAGGGTGCGCGTCTCAGTGTCTTATCCTTTCTTTCCGCGTATGTAATCAACCTTTGTTTTATTTTATTTTCACACATTGCAGATTTATTGATTGATTGTGATGTAAATTGTACGAGATGATCAAATAACATGTGTTATTTACTGATTCTTGTATTCACAACAATATTTAAATTGAAGGAATGACAGTCAAAAGTCAAAGAGGATTTTGCTAGGGGAGTTGAAGATGTGTGGTAGCCGGCCCACTATGGATGCCGCGGTCGCTTTTCATCTCTGTGAATAAAAGGCGCTGTGACCGCGACGCTACAGCGGACGCAATAAGTGTGTTACTTGCGTTGACTGAACGGCCTGCTTAGCACCAATTTTCGCCGTATTCGTGCGGGAAATACAGAAATTTTCTATAAAGGTTGTAGAGATGACCTGAGATACACTTGTATTTCAGTAACGAGGTTTCATTTAGCATAAGCCAGAAAAGTAATCAACTTCAGCCTTCACAGTGTTGGCTCTTAATTTTGCTGTTGCCCTAAAAATTTGAAAATTAGGAGTAAAGGAAGCATTTCTTCCAACAGATTAGGGAATTTTTTGATATTTCTTGAATAACTGCCGAAGAAATTATCGTAAAATCTGACATACAGCCTGTCGAGATGGTAGGTAATAAAACCCCGCAGACAGATAAAAGTCATATTGCTAAAAAATGTTTTGTCTCTTCAAATGCATCAGGAGTCGCCCTTTCTCAATAGTATGTCGAAGTGGGCGAACCTGCAGTTCTATGTACGAGCTGCGAAGGGACTTTTCACACCTATGGTAGTTTGATTTGCGATATCATATGTATAGAAAGAACCGTACACCGTGAAGCATAATCTGAGCAACCATCAACAAAGGATGTTGGGCATTCATCGTTCGATAAAAAGGATAGCTTTCTAGCATTTGCGTCATCCACCTTTGATAAGAAGAAAAAAAAGACAAGTAGGTGCCTCTCAGCTGCTATACTGGTTATAAATGAGCTGGAATCTGAAGCTTGGAATCGAAATTACCCCTTGAATCACATTTTTCTTCCACAGAATCTGAAGAGTATCCGACACAAGACTGAGAACATCAGAGCGGATCCCTTGCAAAGCAAAACGTCCTCGAGGAAGACCATCAGCAAGATTGTTCGTGGAACAAATGGACCAGCTAAGAAATTAGCTAAGATATGACTTTCGCACCCGAAACTCGTGAACGCAACCAACGGCCAGCAAATAGATCGTGGTTGTCAGATGAGGTGGAGAAGTACAAGCGGCAACATCTGTGCTGAGGACCTACACATAACGCTTCTAAATATCTTGAGGGGGGAGGTGGTGGGGGAGTAGCGTAATGGCATGAAGCGTTGCCATGACCTGATTGACCAAGGTTCGATCCACCCACCAAAAACCCGACCCCCAGACACGGTAAGCCGGTACCCGAGTTGATCTGGGAACAACGTACAGACTTTGTGAACAGCTGCAAGTAATTGTAAAAGGCTCTCACACACCCAGCAGATATTTCGACTATAAACTAGAAAACAAATTCGGTCAAATCCTTTAGTTTATAATATACTAGCTGGCTTATCCGGCTTAGCCCGGCCCTGTCAAAACACTTTGATAAACTTCCATTCCCTTCCCTGTACAACCTCCTGTGCCCACTTCTACATACAATTCCCTATTCCCCCTGTGTTAGCACAGCATGCTCACTTACACCCCTAGTTCAAACTTTGCAAAACATTGACAAAATCGATAAAACTAATGGATAATTCCAAAAACTAATATCGTATTCGTAATCAGCAATGTTCGTAATGCTCGATTACTCCCCTGTGCCAAATCCCAACCCCACAAACTTTGCAAAAAATCGATAAAATCGATAATAGTTTTGGATAATTCTGGACACTAATACTTTATTCCGAATCGCCATGCTCACTAACCGCCCTGTGCCAACTCCCAGTCCCGTAGGTGAACTCTGCAAAGAAATCAATAAAAATCGATAAAATCGATGTTTATCGATAACGAAAAGTAGCCTATGACACGCTCCCCACTCCGAAGTATACGTGTGCCAAGTTGGTCCAAATCGGTTCAAAAATAAAAATTCCTATTCCGCACATACGTACAGACACACAGACTCACATTCAGCTTTATATATAAGATTATGTGTGGCATCACTTTCCAAGTAGTTGTGATGTTGACATTATAAGGTTGTCTTTTGGAAGTCCAGCAGCTTAGTGTTATTTGATTTCCCAGTCAAACAGATCAGTCATTTATTACTTAATGTCGATAAAAACAGCTTGAGTCGGAGAAAAATTCTGAGATCCTTGCAACGAACAACTTCCTCTTGGTACTGAATCTCTAAAGAATACCTTGCAGAGATGAGCGGTCAGCGATAAATTTTGTGTTTAGTCTATTGACTCAGATTTGTTGGAAGATGTATGTGTTAATTGGCATTCTGCATAGAAAGTTGTAATAGATTTTTATCCCCCCCCCCCCGTAAGTACATTTAAAGATGAGACTTATGATTTACACAATTTCACAAGTCCAGCTTTCTTCTATACTCAATCTAACTGCCCCACAAATTACCATTTGAAGCGAACGATTTCGAGTTTGCGACAAAATTTATTGCTTTTCTAACTCATGTAAGACAGATTCAACTACCTCTGTGCACAGAACTTATAGCCCGAATAGATTCACCATTGTGAAACTTCATAGCAAAGAAGCATATCCTTAAGCCTTGATATTAAATTGCATTGCACGCTTGATAAACAAATGATAAATACGGACAAGAACCACATATGTCATGGCAAGGTACATTACAGATAAAAAACACAAACTGTACATGATAAGCCGACATGAAAGCTCTCCCTATGAGTGATTAGAGGAAGAGATTATGAACGATGTAGGAGAAAGGCAAACATCAAGTATGGTGAAGCAGCAGCCAAACTTCACAGAGCGTGAGAAGCATACAATAAAAAAGAGACTGTGATCAAACTTCAATCGTACTGTCTGGGAGATTGTCGAAATGGTCCATGGGAACTGTGAAATACCCTCTAAGTTCTACACATATCCATGCCGTGCCATTCGACCATCTCTCAACTCAGTTTGCCCGTCAGATGAGAAATTTCCATCCATAATTCAACTTACGCCGTGTGTTTGCGTGTCAGATGAACCGTGCCGAATCGGTGTAGCATTTATGCAGCCATCTCTCCCACACACACATCCTAAAAAGAACAGCTTTTACATACATCTACACCAACCCATCGTCTACACGCCTTATAAAATACAGCATATCCGCTATAATATATTGTATTTATGTTTTGACATACAGGGTTTCCCAAAACAATGTGCCTACTTTTTGACTAACAATAACTCTCTTGTCATGTCTTTTGCGAAGCTTTAGGTACCATTTTGTAAAGCTGGCTTTGACTTAGATTTTCGGAATGGAACAAATTACCGTTCTTTCTTCACTACTTTAGGATTAGGGTAGGAACTTTGAAGGGGATTTCGCGTCATTGAGTGTCACATTTTACCTCTAAAAAGGGTTGTAAAAGTGGAAACTCTCACACTAGGTTGATCGGGGTCGCTGATTCATTCAAGCTACAACATTGAAAGCCTGTTTTTTTAGTTTTCGTAGGGACGCAGTTGCAAAAAACCACTATCGCATATCAATTAAACAAACTTTCTATCGGTAAGAAAACAATTATATATATGGTTGACACCCTAAAAAACAACTTTTTTGACTTTCTAGCTTTCGTTTTGATCTCGTGGTTAGTGCAAGAACGAAAAATTTCGCTGATACATACATGGAGATTTACAAGGCAAAATTTATGAATGTAATGAATGTAAATCTATGCAGTCGTAAAATCAAGACTTTTTTGACATTTGTACGCAGTGATCTATTTTTGGTCAGTTCAGATAGCTTCCATTTATTCGTATATGGCCGCGATGACTAAAAATATCAAAATCTAATGCTTTAACTGTAAACTATAGTCTATTTCGTCATCAAAAGCGTGATTTCTGAAGATCTGACGAAATCCGGCTAACCCATTTTCTTGTTTTCGTCAAGAGATTACAGCTCAAGAAGAATTGATTGGCTGTCCTCTACCCTTTCCATTAATGTTCAAACAAAAGTCATCCCGAAATTAAGTAATTTAAACGTTATGTAATTTTTTTTTTGGAAAAGAGAACCAAACACTTCATCATTTTAGCAACGAAAACGCAGAAACCATCGAAGTTAATTTTTCGACAATTTAAAACATTTAACCACCTCGGGACCTGACACCTTCGACGCGCAGCTGCAGTAATTAATTACATGTTTGAGGCAAAAAAAAGTGATGGGCGTAGCGCTGGAAAAAGAGCGCTGCCTCAATCCTCCCTCGTGCTGATGGATTCGGCTCACACCAACAGCTTTACGCACACAGCCAGCTTAGATACGTCGTGTTCACAAATCCGTCAGTGTTCTCGCTAACGCTTTCGTTTAGGAAAAACGTAGAAAAATACGAAAACACACTCGATAAATTCAAATTTTCGCTGCTACGACGCAAAAATCTTGATTTGCCATGTGAACTAATTTATATTTTAGGCTTATTTTACACATAATTTAGACATCCATTTATTTATTCCGTCCCTTGAACATAGTAAAAAAAGCTCTACCCCGAACGTCTTCCACAAAGCCCCTCAGAGAGGGCTCTAAATTGGATAGTTTTCGGCATCAATATGTTTATCTCAGACTTGACATCTATAACTTGCAATTATTTCAGATCATCATCTTTTCACCAGGGCTCGGCACGAGGTGGCTAGATAAAAATGTAAAAAAAAAACGAAGTCTCCCTTGACCCTTAACCATATTTCCTCTAAAAACCTAAAAAAAATCTTCAAAAAACAAAACGTCGACTAGAAAACGTCGCAAATTTTGTGTCTCGGCCACAAAAACGAGATCCCCTTTGCTTTTTGTCCCCAAAACGATATCCAGTTTGCTTGTAAGACACCTGTGCCAAGCCCTGCTTTTCACCTCAGACTTGAGCCAGATACTTCCTTTTTATTCTTTCTAATACTTGTTTTTATTCTTTTTATTGATTTTGCTTTCATAGTTCCAGCATACTCAACTTTGGGGCATCACTTTCTTTCTTATGAAAAATTCGTTTTGTTTCTCACTTTTCCACTTTGCTCTTAATCATGATTGTAAGCATTTCTGCGCTTTCCCGCTCATTTTCCATATTTTGTATCTCATTCTTCACCTCAATTACCTAAACAATGTTGGAGTTTTTATTCTTAGCATAGAGTACATTTCAAAAATGTTGCTATAACTTTCGTACAGCGCTTTTCCCTTGGAAACAAAGCTTCTTTTTGTTTTTAGCCACAAAACTCATTTCATTCGCATATTTATGAGGGAGTAAAGCAATATGCAAGATTGTTCGTTCTATTAATTTCCGCTACTACGATTCAGCATTTCAACTGGCCGGTTTTTGCAGATTTGTAAAAATGCATATGCAGTAAAGTTTGGCGACGAAAAATATGTACAAAGTTTTTAGCAGAGGAAAACTGCTTCCTACTTTTGTTCTAGAGAAGTCTAGACGGCTTGAGGAAAGAAACAAAAAGGAGATAAGAACAGATTAGCATAAGAGTGTGACGTTACCTACGACTTATTTAATTATATATCTATGGATCTCAGGTCTCTCCTCGTTTCTTGAAAAATCCGTCAAACCTAATTGTTGCCTTCTTGCTAAAGAAGAAACAAGTAGATGCAAGGACAAGAAAGTTCACTTGCGATAACCACAGCCCCAGACATGCTCGTTAAGTCTACTGCATGAGGGCAATTTAGCCAAGAAGCAGAAAATTTCGGAAAACTAGACGAAAAATGAGGAGAAAAGGCTCTTAACATGCAAACTCAAGTCCTTTAGGATTCTCGAACATCTCATTCTTTTAGGTCTAACTTGGATTATAAAAATGCAGTAAGCTGTAAAAGTATTTACTGAATAAAATATATGACGTTACAAAGTAATCCAGAAAATTTATTTTTGTTACACTTTACTACATCGATTATATTCGGAAATCTGCGGCAGCTTCACAAAAAACGCTAGTTTAGATGCAAATCACTCCAGTAAAGCTCTTCGCCCTCGCATGCATAAATTTATTCATTCTAGGAAAGCATTATTGAGCGTAACCCTTGAAAAAACCCGCTTTCATCCTAGCCGAGCTATTACATTACGCTAAGGGCCACCAGTGCCTTCGCGGTCTTTCGGACTCGTTTGCGAGAGGGGCCCGACACCTAGTGCTTAGCGCTAAGGGCTGTTAATAAAGGGCCGTAAGGGGCTCAAACAGCCTTAGTTTCTCTGAATCCATGAACAAGTCAAGCATATGACGGAGAGCAATTGCATTGTTGTTCCGAACAACTGCCATTCACTCTCAACTCGCTTTTTCTTAGCACTCTGCTCTGCTTCGACACAATGCACTACGTGAGTAGCTAAGCACGTAGGTACTCATTTACATTGTCGTCAAAGCGATTTGCACCCGCACCGCTTTCAGAGCAAATCTAACCACCTCATTCAGCACAATTTGCTTGAAAAAAGTTTTTGTTCAGACAGTTCAAAAACTCAGGTTCTCTTATCTCTAAAATCTCCTTATCCCAGTTACTGCTCCCCCTTAGACAACTAAATATTTTATTTAGCTTTGGAAAAGCTCTAAAAATCTTTGAGATTGATCATTAACCATTTATTCGCTTTTTTCTAATCCAGAATTCCAAGCTTTCATTCTATTGAATAGGTCGTGTAAGTTCGCAGCGTTTTTATTTAGTCGTCGTTTCATGATGAAGCCAAAATACCTAAACCATTCGAAAAGAATCCTGCTCCACAAAAGCTTTTCTCGAAGCAAACCTCTTTGGGCCTGAAACTTCTTGAAGCACAGTTTTTTTAAATGGTAAGATTAGCTAACAGATAAAAAAAACTTGGTCTTGATGTTTCAAGATAATATTAAGTCGGAACACAAGTGTCACATTTACAGCGGTAAAGTCTTCATAACTTTTTTCGAATTCTCTAGTCTATAAATTATGTAGAGGGTGACGCCATTTAATTATACATGTCCCACATAGAAAACTCAGTTCCTGAGTTTCTTCAAAATTTTCGAGTCAGTCACCACAAACTCCAAGCTTGTGTTTTTGCTTGAACATCCGTAGTGCCTGATATTCTCTGAAGCCCATAAAAAATCCAGAAAGATTAAGGTGAAGAATGAGAGGATTTTTAGAAGATAAAAAGAGCTGAAGTAATATTACAAACACATTTATTTTTATTACATGTCCGTGAAGCTGAAAATGATCATTGGATAGCCCTCTGTTTCTTCCTCATATCTGCCAAATATACGATTTTTCCGAAGTTTAGAGTTTTACAGAGGAAAACGAATGTACCAAGTTACGATCCACTGATGCGAAAATGACAGCATTGTTTATCTTCTTTCATTGATTCATTCACTTTATCAAATTCCAGTTCTTAGCAATTTTTGAATGGCACATTAGTTATGTGATAAACGGTAGCAAATAGCATGTTGGTAATGTAATGTACAAAATGTATAAACAAAGAAACAGTCGATGGTTTCCAGAGAACCGATGCACCTCTCATTTCAGATAGCTCAGAATCCCTAAAAGATATGAGAACCGTATAAGGCAGTCATAACTCTATTTATTTGATTTTTAGCATGCTACATAGAATTCTCCTCGTTATGTATAATTCCCTAATCCCATAAACCCTCTATGATACAAAAAAACGTAAAGAAAAGCGAATTCATTGAAAATGGATCCAATTCCTGTTTTTGAGGACATTTTATCCGTTTGCGCTTTTAGGACAACAACAGTTTCTGAAAATTACGCTGCGAATAATCTCCCTATTAAGTTATAAGAAGATGCAAAGTTTTAATACTTATAAAATATTAACGTTAGACTATTTCCTCCTCACTGGTTCAATAGTTTATATTTTTCCTACAACTAGCATACAATCACAAAGCCGCCGAGAGACATGTTCTTTGTCAGTTTCAGTTGTAATTTCATGGAAAAATATTCGGTTGTAACGAAAGTTCCCGGGCAATTTTAAGAATTTCATTTTCAGACTCAAATAGAATAGGCTTACCTTCTAAACAACATTGCCTTCGAAGCAAGGTCTGCTTTTCTCAAAAAAATTGGTTTGTAAGTTGAAAAAAAAATTTCGCAAGCGCCAGGAAACTTTCATAACAACCTTGAAGAAAAAACCCCTAAACTTTCATAACCATAACTTTGAAGCATCCTCTCAAAAGTATCCCCAACTCCTTCGTGAGGGCTCGGTACAAGCTAGCACCAAGGAAACTTCAAATCGAAATCCCTTTGATTTGAACATTTCGTGCGAAGTCCCCTTTGACTCTAAACCCTGAATGTAAAAAACTCTAAAGAACGAAACGACCGTAAAAACGTCGCAATTTTTGTGTCTTTTCGGCCACAAAGACGATATCCCTCTTGCTTTCTGTCCCAAAAACGACATTCAGCTTGACCCTGTGCCAGCTGTGCCGAGCTCTGTCCTTAGCAGATGTGTGTTCACTATCGTAAGAATGATAAGTTGGGCGATCTAAACTTCAAACTGGGCCACTAAGAGTACAGATCAGTGATAAACATTACAACGTGGTAACCGTTATAGTAGGTATCAGAAAAAAGCACTAAGCCTCTACTAATTCGTCAAATGATAGATTTTTGACGAATAAGATACACTCTCTGGCTCCACATGAATAATCTTTTCATTTATCACCCTGACTCATGCATCCGACAATATCTTTTCGACATTAACGCTTTCAGGGATGTAAAAAGCTTCATATTGGTAGTTGAATGACAAGCCAGCCTTCTTGGCAAACAAAATAAGAATTGTCCTGCAGAGATTTGCTGCAAGCTTAAGGTGAATTTCAGTACGCACAAATGAAATTTGGTCTTCGAATTGGCAAATAATGTGCGCGGATCAGCTTTCTGCTCATTTGAAACCTAATTTTTTCAAAAACTGCAACGCATACGAACATCTCATACCATCATTTTGAGAAAAGATTTTCCTCATGATGCTGAATGTTTCTGTTACGGTAGTGCTTTGCGCTTGTATTTTGTTGAGCTTGAACTTCGTAAAATTATATCAAGTTATTAACCAATCTCGTGTATGGCTCAGAAAGAAAGAGCAAAATATATCAAACTGTTTCACGTCTGATGCATTCTCAAGCTCAAGAACATTCTCATTTATTTCTCTGTTTTTATGCTATTCAAAACTTCCTGGAAACTTGCAAAAACAGTCTTCAGAATTCCTTAGTGATCGGGAGCGGTTAGGACAGAAGTTCATAACTAGCTAATTCAAAGCTCACGGTACTATTCAGAACTCAGATATTTGCTGCGGAAGATGGCTCATAGGCAGCATTTTTCCTGTATAAACTCTAAGCGCTCGGACAGAATAAACCACTTCGTGAACCACTAAACTGACAAACGATGATTGAAGGCTGCGGTTATGTTTATGACCGCAAAGTTTCTGGCTAATTTTTCTCTAAACAACGGCAACAAAACGTGCCTGCCGATTGGGATCATTCTTCTTTTCGATTTTTCCTGCTCATTTTTCCTCGAAAGTCGGCGGAGATCTTGGAAATGTTCTGCAACTCTAGTATATTCTTCAAAGTTAATAAAGGCTCAATAACTGAGAATATAGTGCACACAGATTTTGGAGCATATCTGAGGGGTTATCATAATAAAAGCAGTCCAATTGTTAAACCATCAATTTAGACGACAAAAAGCGCGCAAAAAGGGCCGAAAGTGAAGCAGTAGCTTGATAAACTTAGCAAGAGTTTTTCGCAATGCAAAAAACTACTACAAGGCTGCTCTGTGCAAATTCAATTGTCTAGTAATGAACTGCTCCCGTATGTACAAAGGCGGTGCTAAAATGTCCATAAGAAAATCTCTTTCTGTTTTGTCTGCTATTGAAGCAAAATAAACTTCTGGCTTGTATACTTCTGAATTTACGTCTGCTTCTGTGATGCAATGAATTTCCTCGAAGAAGCGAATAGCTCATTTTCCAAAAGCCAGTTTTTATTGATCAGCTTTTTATCGCAATTTTGACCTCCTTTTTCATTTTTCATCAATCTAGTGAGTAAACCCAAATCCGATGAACAAGAAGTTAGTGAATGCGCTCTTAGCAAATTAAGCTTCGAAAAAACGAGTGAAGCAGTAATTCTAACATTTCCAGGTTATTCATGTATATATTACTCACCTGATCATACTGACGATGAGAGCAGAGGTGATGCCGGCATTTCTGATGCTATTCACCTCAGCATTTAGTCTCGAATGCTACTACTATCGAGTACGAGCTGACGAGCCGTTGACACCGGACAAGATGATGGTAAGATCCACCAAAAAATGTGCCCAAAACCATAAATTCAATTGCAGAAACGAAACTGCTCAAGTGTTGCAACGTCGTGCCTGAAAATCATATCTAGAAATGAATTCGAAGGGCAAAGCGGGCAGAATGGAAATGCACCTTCGACGATAGAAGGACGTTGTGCATTTACACGACACGAGTGTGAAGGAAAAAACGGGCAGGTAAGAATCATAAGTTTCATTTTCGCAATACATACTCTTTAAATACAGGATTATCATCAAATATTGTGTATAAGAAATGCGCGCATCTCAACAGAGATTTTTTAAATTTACATTTTGCTGAAGATTCATCTATGTAGAGCGGCGATCATGGAAACAAAAGGCGAGGGAGGGGGTGGGGGAAGAAGAACGTGATGACCTAATCCTACTTTCTTTTGAAAAAATCGTAACATAATTATATCAAACAACTTTGAGGACTCTGCACTTTCTTCAATAGTAAAAGCTTTCACGTGCGCCTATCTTGCGAAGGCAGTTGATTTTTTTCTCATAAAAAATATCTGCATTTTTCTGGAATAAGTAACTGACTTGGGCACTAATCATAAAAAAATCAAAATTAATCGTTCGGAATTCTATCCGTATATAACTCACGAATTTGTATGAATTTTTGTCATCTTCAATGCTTTCCAAACGAATTCGTCTAAAGTATAAACTTTTACTATTTCAGCAATAATGAGCAGGGTGTCCCAAAATATGTGTCTACTGTTCGATTGCTAACTCTCTTGTAATGAATTCCTTCGAGAAGCTTTAGGTACCACATTTTATAGAACTGGCCTCGCTTAGATTTACGGTATGGAGCGGATTACCGACTGATCTCCATTACTGTAGGGTTACGGTAGGAACTTTGAAGAGCGTTTTGATCCTAGAAAGTGCGGTTACACTGTTTAGCGAGCTTCGCAATCATGTACATAGTTGGGTATTGAACTCAGCGTTCATGAATACCCCCCTATTACCCAGGTTTTCACAAAATTTTAAATTTTTTAAAGCAGCAGCTTTTTTCACAGTGACACTACATGCTTGAAGTTTTCACCGTAATCCTACAGCAATGAAGAATCGATAATTCGCTTCTATACTGTATCTAAGTTGAAGCCAGCTCTACAAAAAGGTACTAAAGCTTCTCAAAACACTTCATTACGAGAACTTATTAACAATCAAACAGTAGGCACATCTTTTTGGAACAACTCTGTACCCCCACTCATTCTGGAAGACTTTTGTTTCCTTTTGTAAAACTTCATGATTTTGAAAATAGAAAGCGTACTCTGGTGGTGCGTAGCACAAGTTATTTAAGATGATTTCTTTTTACTAATTGAAATGTTCGCATTTTTTCCTTCATATCCCATTTAAGTATAAATAGAGAATTAAAGCTGCCTATTGATCTCCTAATACAGGGTGTCCCAAAAGTAAGTACAAACTTTTCAATCGTCAAAATCTCTCTTCCCAATGGGTCTTTTTTTTTTGCCAGTCAAGCACCATTCTCTAGAGAAGGCCTGAACTTAGATCTACAGTATCGATTGAATCAGGATCGCCCTTCGTTACTGTAAGATTACGGTAAGAATTTCCGGCACGTGGAACCATTGCGAAATATGCCATCCGACAAAACTTTTCAAAAAATCCGAAAAATCGTGTACTAGGTTTCATGCACGCTAATTCCACTAAATTTTTATGAGTGTTTTCAGCTTTTTTTGATGTTGTAATCACATTTTTGACAATGCGAATTCGGTCATTACTGTTCACCTGGGATACATTTAGAAAGAAGAATCACAGTAAAGTGGAAATTTCACATTCGAAATCAGCGGCTTCCATTACCACAATGTAAGAGTTTTTGGCTTGTTTGGTTTTGTTCTGAGGCAGAATACGGCTTCCAATGGCCTAAGATCCTTGCCGATGTACCCACAGTGATCTCACAGTACGCTAAATACTGTAAATCTAGGTTGAAGCCTCCTCTACATAAAGGTGATTGAATGGAGGAAAAAGACACAAAGGAAAGAAAGATGTTAACAATTAAAAAGTTTGTACTTACTTTTGGGACACTGTATTACATTCTAAATCAAGCCCGCTCAAATCGGCAAACAGCGCGAAAATTTTGTCAAACTCAAATCCCTCACAATCTCATGATGCGGTACGAAAATTTTACGTGTTTGATTACCACATGTAAAGATTTTCTTTCTATTTTCGCAGCCGATGAATAATGCTTGAAAATCTGACGTTTAATTCGCAAGCAAGGCAAGCGAGGTCAAATCGACTAATAGAGAGGGTTAGGCGCTTCCATATTCAACTAAAAACGAATGTTTATGTTTTGTTGACATTAAATCGAATTTATGGAAGAAAGGATTGGTTTGAGTTCAGAAAGCCACGATGAACATCCTTACTTTATCAGTACCCAAATCGACTGAATTACGATCCAGATGCCAGACATTTGGTTAGCACCATACAAAAGCCACATGCGCTTCCTTTAAGGGTAAAACAGGTCTAGAAATTCAAAGCAATCCCCTGTAGCTGCTGCAGTTCGGCATTTCAGAATTGTGTGAATGAAATGGATTACGCTAACATCAACAATACGCACTTCAACGACATTTTTCAGTGCATCTCCGAGCCACCGATGGTACGATTTGGCATCACAATACATGAGCACAAATGCTGCTCCAGTGAGAACCTCTCAAATAGTGCAAGAAAGTCTACTTCGATTTCTTTGATGTTTCTCTGGTTGTTTTATATCTTATTTATCAGTAAAGCTAGCATACATTATATATGAGCCTAGATGTTCTGATAAATGTATTGACTGTATATCGCTTCCTCACACGCAAATAGTCTTAAATCTACATCTAACTTGCTGAGAAATTAATTATGTCCCAAACTTACAAACCGATATAAAAAGGATAAAAAATTTGTACGTGCACCCAGATAACAGAGATATGTTACCACCAAACCATTGCAGCAACAAACAAGTAATTGGAACTATGGCTCGGATAACATAAAAATCCAACAATTTATTGGAACAATTAACAACAAACAATTTACTTGGCAGCCTTCTTCAATTTTGCGAACTCAATCCTGACAAGTCGGTTGCGCATCTTTTTAGCCTTCATTAGCTTGAATCGGTCATAGTCAGTCAACTTGGCTCGCTGAAAAACACCGTTTGTTGTTAGGTAGCGACGATAAACAAAAACAAAAAAGGTAGAAAACTTAAAAACCGTAACAAGCAATAATACTGATACTCACTATGGCCTTTTGCGCAATCTTCTTGGCCCAGGCGGTCTCCTTGAACTGTTCGCTAATTTTAGCAGTGTCAAAAGCCTCCTTCACACCTTTCGTCCTTTGCCCGACACGGACCTTCACCACAAACTTGGTCAGCTGCAGATCTTTCAAGTTGCGCACACATCGAACAACTCCCGTGCTGGGGCCATCAATGAGTACCTGATTTGTAAGAAACTCATAGAAGTATTACTAAATAAACATCTCCCTTACTCTGTTTCCATCAACAACATCAACAACAGTGGCAATTTTGCCAGCATCTTTGCCCTTGGCGATGAACACAACACGGCCAATTTCTACCAAACGTTTGTAGACCATGGTCTGTATAATAGGCTTTTCAAAGCGTATATGAGATTAGCAGCCGCGAAAAGAATTGGTCACATAAAGCGTAGATGGAGCAGAAAATTTGAAACATATAAGCACGATGAGAAAATATTGGAGAAAATACACTCTCGAAGTAACGCGCTAAGGATAAATTTCCGGCCTTCAAAAAAAAAGTGGATGCTTAGTGTCGAATAGCATAGCAAACATGTGAGTACAAATTCCAACTTGAACTGATATCTCATCACCCATCTTGCTGGAACGCTGTATATGAAGTTGGTGCCAGCGCAAATCAAGTAAATTAGGCAAAAAGTCCCATGTTCATTCTTTCACATAAAGTATTAGGTTGTCAAGAAAATAATGTCGTTTTTTTCGGGCTTTTTCGGGTAAAATCGATATTACCCGAGAACTAGAGCACATCCAAGGCCAAAATTCTATGGTTAAAGTTACGAAGCTTTGTAGTATACGAAGGCGGATGTGGGCGGGGTCCAGTTTTGCTGGGGGCGGAGTCGGCCATTTTCCATATTTCAATTTTTTGTCGGTTTTTAAGCATAGAAAAAATGTAGCAAATGTACCTATGGATAAGTGCAAGTGTCTTTCACATTTGAGAGCAAGTGAGACGTCCGCAGGATTTTCTAGGGGGAAAATCTAATTTTTGGCATCACGGTTTGCCCGTATGTTCTGACTCTGAATTTTGCGTAAACAACAATTCTGCCAGTGTTCAGATATCATCCTGTAGAGCTTCTTTTGCTCTGTCGAATAGTACTCCTCATATATTTTTTTGGATTCGTTTTATGGCTTTTCTATGATAAACGACATTATTTTCTTGACAACCTAATAGATGCTTTTTTACCTCTCCCAAGTGTTACAATTTTACTCAACCAAAGCGGACACATACATGCAGAGCCGTAAGATGAGATCGAAAAAATGACTCGAAAAGAGAGAAAAACAACAATAGATAAAATTAGTATGGTATACCTACATCAATGGTAATAATCGGTCAGAATTTGACGTTCATTCATTAGAGACCACATTTAGAGGATCTCCGGTCCGGTTAGGTTTCGTATCTCCTCTGCATAACGGTGCAAAGCAGATAGATTATTAGATGATAAGAATATGGAAAGAAGCTACGAAAAGTGGGTCATCAAGTAATTAAATTAGGTTGATCTGACCTTTTGTCCAGAGCCACACGAACAACAACATTTTTCTCGAAAAAGAGATAAAAGGACTGAGATGACAGCCCGAAAGTATTTCGCCATAGAACTTTTTAAGTAATGGAGTACAATTGGTGTGGATTTTCACAAGTTTAAACATTCTGCTGAGTAATGAATACTGAGTCGCACTAGGGTTTGGCAAGGAGATGTACAACATTATGGTCCCTTCGAGACACTGCTAAAACATCCGCTTTCCAACAAGGAAAACGACAATCGTTAGGTTTTGTCCCTTCTACAGCGAATATGATTATGCGCCATTACTGCGAAAACTCAATTACAAAATTAGTGATGTTCGTTATGTAAGTTGAGTTATGGACTGAATGAGAAAATTCGCAAAAAGAGCAAATTGAATGCATTACCACGAAATTTAACGGTATCTTATGTCTGGAAACCAACTGCTCTCCCAAAAGCATTATCATTACTTCTGTCAGTGGTGCGTAATTACGGGTATCCGAATCGGCTGTCAGGACAAAACCTGTAGCTCCAAGTGCTACAGCTCCTCTCACAGAAACGCTTCGCCGATTTGAAAATCAAACATGTTATCAGACTTCTGAAGGGACCTCAATAATGTACACTGTCCTGCTGAACGCCAGTGTGACTCGGTATCCTTCCCTTGTGAGATTTCATGAGCTCTGTACACACAATTCATAGAGATTGACTCAAAAATGGTCGAATATCAATCTTTTTGTACGTGATGACTATTATCAAAAAACTTACAGTAAAGATCCTAGAATGAGTAAAAAGAAACAAATTCAACCAATGCGCGTAGGATCTTCAGTTGAGAAAAAAGTTCAAACGAATACACACCCATGAAAACACTACGGAAAATTCGATGGATGTTCAAAAAATAAAGACCATTTTCAAAAATTCCCCAGAACAAGCTTTGCAAACGCAACATCTGTCAAGCGTGAAATATGGAGAACTTCACAAATCTTACCGTAAAAGTGTATCATGCAGCCTGCACTGCTTTACATTGAGCAAAAGCGCAAGTTAAATATCGAAACAGCTCAGAATACGCCAAAAAAGGTAAGTAAAAGCTTGCAAAAATCGAATTATAAAGTCGCTCAGAGGAGGATTGCACAAAAATTAATTAGCAACAGCAAACCTAATGCACAGCCTATGGGAAGCTCCTGAGCTTGGAGTGAAAAACCACCAAGTCTTTAAAGACACGGATTCTTATGACCTAAATTGACAGTAAAACCAAACAAGACGTCACACCAACGGCTGAATCTCGAGATGTTCTACCCAATCCTTCTTGGTGAAACCGAACCTATGCACAAGATTCACAAAAGGCTAGAATAAAATGAAGAAATTTAGGCTGCAAAAGAAAATGAGTTCGATTTGGCGGAGCGAGGCGATGCGAAGACTCGCGTCGGGACCATCACCGCATGCTCCCTTTAACAGCAGGTTGCGAAAGCTTCAATAATTTGCTGAAATTGGTGGAAGTTTTGTTAGTGGGCGTCATTTTTTCGGATCTTGTGCGCCCTATCTGATTGATTGTGCGCTCATAACAAAACAAACTGGTTGAGCAGTTTCGACGAGTTGGATCCACATCACTAGTTCAGCCGCAATTTCGTACTCGATATCGTTTGCACTCTAACTGTTACTATAAAGAGCTATAGAAGCGCTAGTACTGTTTTGACAAAAAAATTGAGGTTTCGACCGTTTTTGTAATGCTTGTCGTGTGTAGCGAACTTAATTTACACTTGAATTCCGCGACTTTAAACATCTTTCAGCGTCGTTCTTTGAAGGGTCATTGTTTTGCCGCTAAAGTCGCTTGAAATGTTGTTTGTAGAGCGAACCTTTTGCATTTGTCTAGTGACTCATTAGGGCTTATAACGCTTAACGTCACTTCACACTTTTCTCGTCTTCTCATGTGTTTTGCACGTTTTTGGAAAGCAAAAAATGCTGCTGTTCCTTGCTACTGCTTTCTTCTGGAAAATAGCATTTTCTTACAGTTTTTGATGTGTGCATCCCTAATCATTCTAGACTTGTATGGCTGTTTGGATTGTAAATCTTTTCCAATAGTTTTACATTTTATTGATATTACAGCGATTTTTTGGATATAAATCAAATTGCTTACTAAACTATGAAGACTTCTGAATATATCGACTTCACTATATTTCACATTCTCACGGCTGCAGCTGCTTGGAATGATACGCTTGAGTTTCATATGGCGGTTTGGTTCCTGACGGGTGCATAACACTTCAAAGCTCACATCTGGATTTTTGAAAATTTATATGTGTGTCCGCAAAACTTTTTAAAATGGAACTTGTTCAATAAAACCAATAGAAGTTTTGACTGTAATCTGATTTTCCACTCTTCAAACACATACCTGTTCCTTGGTCCATCGCAGTTCCCTCCATCCAATTCGTGCATTACGAAGACTTTTCCGAGTTCTTTTTTTTTTCTTCCGCCGTTCAAATTGATAGCGGTAATTTCGTCGAGAAACCTATGCATTTCAGCTATGTCGGAGGAGTCCGCAACCACTCCACCCGTCGTAGCTGAAAATGGGGAGAAAGCGGCGGAAGCTGAAGTTACATCGAAAATGTCCGAAGTGAAAATTGAAGAGAAAGCGGAGGAAAAGAAAGAAGAAAACCAAGCTGCCGCCGACGCTCCTCCACAAGTCGAGCAGGACGTGAAGAACGACGTAGGTTCCTCAGATAGTTTTACTGTAAGCGTTTCGTTTGGTGTTTTTGCTAGATTCACAGTAACGGTATCAGTTTTATTATTATCGTGGATTTCAGTCGCGAGAAAATGGAGATGACGGCTTTCATACACCGGAAGCAACCGATGGTGCACAGAAGGAAGATGCTGAACATAAGGAAAATGCTGAGAAAGGCGATAAAGAAGGTATTGAAGAAGGCTGAAATTAAATGGCATCTTTTATGTGCTAATTCGTGGCATCTCTACACTTGTTTTGCTCGAGATCGCAGGTGACGTTCTTTTTAGACCATGTGGTTCAGTTGTTACCATCAACTACTTTACTTTATTCTACGTTTATTTTACGCTTGTTTTCATAATGTTTGCTCTCTTGTTCTTCTTAAAACTTCTTGTGTTTAACTATATCGTATCGATACTCTTTAGGCGAGACCAAACTTGACGATGATGAGATCGAGGATAATCCCGCATACATTCCTAGGAAAGGTATGTTTTTCGCAGAGCTTTTGCTGTTTGTATAGAACCCCACTTTTTGCAGGTAGGTATTATATGCATGATTCTCGTGACGCCGAAGAAGAGGTGGAGGAGGAAAAGAGAACCAGTAGAGCCGACGGAGCCTGGAAACATGACAGGTAAGATTAAAGATCTTTTGCTTTCTGTTCTTTGTCCATTTTTCGTCACACTTTCTGTTTTTTTTGAACAGTGTCGCGCTATGATTTGATCATAAATAACGTGTTATGAGACTCGCGCACAGGTTTGACGAACGTTGGCAACGTCCGAAGACAAAAAAGCAAATTATGACTCGCTATGGTTTTGATATACGAGAAGGAGAAACTCAGGAAGAAGCTGAGGAAAACCAGCGAAAACGTTCTACTGAGAAGGCTGTTGTAAGTGCCTTGTCATCCCATTTCTTTCAGTTTCTTGTCTTGCTTGTGGTTCTTGAATGGTTGATGCAGTGTTGCCTAGGGCAGGCTATTTAGGCAAAAAAGGAGACTTCTGAAGAAACTGAAGCTGCTGGGGAGAAAAGACGAGCAAAAAAAGCACCACGTAGGCGCTACTTCTGCAGTTGCTACTCCTCTTCAACACATACACCTTATCATATGCTTTTAGCCAAGGGGAAAGTACGCCCTCGCATGGAAAAGTCTGAAAATGCTTCCGCAAAAACTCGTCCGCAGAAAGTGCAGAAGTCGGAGAGTAAGTCTACCGATGAGCGGCCTTCGCAAGGAGGTCAGTTTGAGCATTTGTGTTTGTGTTTTAATTTTTATTCCCATTTTTTTGTGTATTTATTTGATATGAGGTGTTTGTTTCCGATATGTCATAGAATTGTCGTTTCGCCGCCTAGAACATCTGCATGGCTCGATTTCATAACATATGCAGCGTCACATACAGATGTGAAAACGCATGCTTCGTTTTTATTTAATTAATGTATTGTTGTTTAAAAGTACTTTGGACGAGTATTGATGCCTTTGTGATGTTGAACATATGCGATGCTCTCATATTGTCGGAGCAGTTGAGCTGAGAATTCTTTATGAGGGAACAGGGATTTCAGAAATGGCTCGGAATTCGCTCCGATGTTTTGGAAGTCCAAATTTGGAAAGACTACTAAAACATCCTTTCACATTCACATCCAATAAAAGAATGACTGATTTATATGTAAACTGATAGCTGTAGATTCTCTCTAATCTGTTCCAAGTTCATTTATGCTAGAAAACTCGTGAAGTATTTATTTCGCAGCAGACTAATATGACTCGGCCAGAAGATCTGTCAGCTTCTTTGTTTTATACCGTGGGCCACACCTTTCCATAGGTCTTAATAACTCCTCTAGTGCTTGCGTTGACTAAAACGTGAAGATGGAATGCATTGTACAATGGCTGCATCTTTTTTTCATAGGTATGAGCTTGTAAGAAAACGCTGCCTTTTTTCCAGAAGAGCGGGTTACGAATTCTCGACGCGATGACGATGACGACGACGATATTCATGTAGGTCAGCGACGTCAAGTGCATCAGGATCATCGTCGCGAACGTCACGATCGTGATGTGCGTGTCGTACGCAATGTGCGCGGCAGTAGAGGTGGTCTTGGCGGACATCGTATCGAAAGACACGCTCCATCGAAGTAAGTTACTCGAAGTTTCATCATTTCTTCCTTCTCCATCCCTAAAAGATAGATTATTATTCCACTATGAAGTGCAGAAGTACTACTTGTTATTATGCTTTTGATAGTACATAAAGAAAGTACATAATATTATTTAAATGTCATGAAAAGGCCCACTTTCATACATGTTTCACTATGAACTTACCCCCTAACTCTCCTGAAAGAAGTGATAGTTCCATTCGTTTGGATTTTGATAAGCAGAGTATAACTCCCGACGATGCCGAAGGGTGAGACCAAGCTGCATTTGATGAAGTTTGATTTGTTTTTACACGAATTTGACAAGCACTTTCAGGGACCGTTATGAGCGCGATCGTTATAGAGACCATGACGGCGAAGGAAGAGGATATAAAAGGGATCAACGACACGAAGAACGAAACTATGAGAATCACAGACGTGGAGTGATGAGAGGCAGTGTGAGAGGAGGTTCGTCCTTTTTCAGGCTCTATATGAGAGAAAAAACATATGAATAAAGCATCTTCACACAGATGCTTTCACTTACAATTCTTTATATCGAGAGTAAGGAAAGGGAGCCTGCAGTCTAAAAGTATATTTGGTCAGCATACGCGGATTTTCGAGCCTGTCGTCCATTCCAGATCCTTGTGCTACTTCGTCCCTGCCCCTGTTATCTGAGATTCTGCTTAGGGGAAGGAGTTGTATTTTTTTCTCGCTGATCGCGAGCTTCGCTATAGTGCACTTGGCGTGTTTTTATCTGGGTCTTGTTTGCAGGAGAATTTTGTTGCTGTAGTGGAAAACATTGCAACCTGAGAGAATTGCAATGAAGCAAAATTCCATAGTCAGACATGTGGCTTACCGTTTATAGCCAGCTCATACACGCGTGGACAACCGACGCGAACATTCACAGCATTGAATCATGACAACAACTATCAACGCGATGAAGTGCCACCACAGAGAAATGCAGGATATTCGCCAAGAGGTTTGCGATTGTTATCCAGTATGAGAACTCGGCTGTGAATTGCACCATTATTGTTTTGCATCTACAGCTTTAGACAATGGCGCTTTCTATGACACCCGAGGCAGCTACGTGCCTCGTGGTGGTTACGTTGGACGAGGACGTGGAGGAATTGTAACATCTCCACGCGGTGGTTACTCTCCGCGCGGTGACAGCTTCCCAACGCGGGGATTCACAGGACCGAAGCGATACTCCGAACAACGTGGCGAAATCTTACCGCCGGCAACGATTGCTGTACCACCACCGATTCCTCCACCACAGCATAACTTCAGTATGCCGCGTCAGCCGACAGATGTGGTATACTTCGATCCCACCCAGCAGGTGAGCCTTACTCCTACCTATCCAGATGTTTACAACTATTTCGTTACAAAGGACAAATTCGAAATATTTCTATCTGTCTTGGAGTACATTGCCTGTTTGAGAGCATTAATCTTCCCTTACGCAGGCAGTGTCCGTGCAGATTTGAGAGCACCTCAATCCTTAAAGACTGTTGAAGCGGCATCCTCATGCAAGTCGTAGCCCTACTGCGACTATGAATTATTGCTTTTGAAGCAAAAAAAAAAACGCTTCAGAAGATCGAACTCAATTGCCCTCGATTCAATCTTGTCTTATCAGCAGCTCAGACAGTCATCAGGACTGAGCAAGAGGCCAGGCACAAGTCCTTCAAAACTGACCTCCACTCCCCCTCTGAAAGCCCTCAAACGACCCCTCCGCTTCAATTCCAAGACCTCAGGCTGTGACATCCCAAAGAAGATCAGCCTTTACTGAAGGGTTCTTGTTTTTTTTTTGGAACTGTAGGCCCCACTTTCTGCAATTGCACACCATGCGGCACAAGTAACTTGACTGCAAATTCTTTTGGGGCTGAGAAACATTAGGAAATGCAGTGGGTGATGGTTTGTAGAGGTCATGGAAGTAATTTCACATGCTGATTGAAATGATACCCAATTTACACAGCAAGCTTCCTTGATGACCTTATGGTACTCAAGGTGATGAAAATTGAATATTGAATATCTATCTAAATATTGGCTGAAAATTCGACTGTGGAATTAATCAGTACGTTGTTTACGATCGTCATTCCTTCAGTACTGGTGAGGTTGCGATATTCACCGGACTAACGATTTCCTGTTTTAAAGACGAGAACGAGGCGCGGCTATGGTCGATTTTGCGAAGCAATCTTTTCGCTGCAGAAACAATATATCGCAGTCGCATACGGGCTATGGCTTGCATGGGGATACTGCTTTAATAATCTCTTGCGACTGAGGTGCTCTCATATTAGTCCGGATACCTTGGAGTAGACAGTCTCAGGTCATACATTCAAACAAGTTTTTGTTAGTTATATAACACGCTAACTTTCACGCATTCCAGCCAAGCAGGCAGCCATTGCCACCACGTGAAAAGAAAATTATCGAAATAGTGCCACCGTCGAACTGAGCTGCTCCAATACGAGACGAGTCATATCGACTACAGCCTGACGAGGGAGGCTCTCAGCCGAAGTTCTTACCCGCTGATTCAGCAAAGTTGTGTTCCTTATGGTTGTCTTTGTACTTGTCTAGGGCGCTCTATATACCCTCTTCTGTAGAGGGGCATTGCAGATTGCAATTATTCATCACCACAAGAAACTATGCTGACTAGCGGACCTATCCAAGCGCCCAAGTTTTTGACTGGCACTCACTTATGTGCCGCTCATGGTTGCTACTGATTCAGTGAGAGCTCAAGAGTTTCCCTTGATCAGTTTGTTGTTGCTCCAATATTGAAACAAAGTAGGGTTAAACGTTCTTCGAATGTGTTATGAGCCACAGAATTCCTTGTCCCGTCACCCAGAAATGCATGTGCTTGAGATTCAATTAGAAAATCCAAAAAGTCTATATTTATGTGGCATTTGCTAGCTTCGAGCACCAATTTGTTGAGTTGCATGGAAGAAATATTTTTCCTATTACTCAGCTGGTTTCTGTTCAGTTTTGTTCATTTTATGTCTTCGATTTCACTAAATTCTTACCATAATTTGCACTCGTGTTGAAAATTTGCGTTTTTCGAGGTTGCATTAACTTCGCTTATAAATTCGAGAAAAAGTACAAAACTGAACTGATTGGGGACTAAAGATGAAATAATTTGATGTGTACTTGACATCGTTTCCATGTAAAGACACACGTCATCAAATGCGCTTATGCGCGGAAACTCCAGGTGCGTGAATAAAGCGAGATGCCTCTCATTTGCGCTAGTCTAGGTGATCCGTATCTGTTATAATTCGAACTGGGCTAGAATCGAATTCTCAGTCGTTGAAGCGGCTATGCTTGCTACGACCACATCCTGTGGTTAGAATCGGCGTCTGTATATTCTGCTCCCGAAAGTCACGCTAAGGCGGTGTGCAGGCGTACAGTCTATCCCAATCGGGATCAGACGGAAATTTTAGCATGAAATCGCTCATAGCGCTACTTAAACATTCGTTGTCAAAGTCAGCTGCTCGGCAGAATGACAACTTTGGGATATTCATCGTTCTCGGTTCTCCTGGATGAGCTAAGTCCAAGACTGTGTCCCTTTTTTTCGCAATTCGTTTGGTGAGTGGACTCTTGTAGGACTTAACAACGAATGTTTGACTAGAAGTCTACGCTGAGCTGTGCGTTCCTCGAGTCCGCGTTCGCTTTGCTCATAGGGACTTTAAATATCAAATGAGAACATTGCTTGATGGTGGGCACTCCATAAACAGATTAGAAATAACGGACGAAGAGTGACCTAGAGAGAAGCTACAATGCTGAGTAGTACGCCTATAAATAAGCGGTCGGACTAATTCTGCAAAAATGTATGCTCGCATTTCATGTAAAGCGCCTGGGTGCTAAAGAAATTCGTAATCAGTTTGCTGCAGCGGCATCAGCTCACCACTTCATAGCTAAATGCCAGGAAACCTCTTTCATATAGTCAATTTATGTACGCAGACTCTAAGCCACTCTTATCTTCTCTCGCTAACGTCATCAAAACGATCGAAGGGGCAACGCTCATAGAACTCAAGTACAATTATCATGAAGCTGTTTACTTAGCTGTCCAACTCTTACACGAATGTGTCTAACGTCACTTGGTCGCGCTATCGTCTATGAGGGGTTTTCGCACTTTAACGTTGCCAGGCGTTGACGAGCTGCAAAAGCACAGGGAAAATAAGTGAAGAAAGCGCAGTAGTTGAGAGCAATCAAAGGCAGCGTCCAGGCAAGAGAGCACTACCTGAGCTGCCGGTTGGGCAGTGGCTTAGTTAGGGCCCCAAAATTACTATCCATGAAATCCCCATTGTCCAGACTTGCCTGGACGCTGCCTTTAATTACCCATCACAACTAAATTTTCAGACGTTTGAACGAAAGTTTCTTGACATAGGAGTGAGTGTTTAAAGCGCTGTTGATAGCAGGAAAAGACTGTAGTGGAGTAGAGCAAACTCAGATAATGAGAAGGTGATGCCTTAGATCTGCAAAAACAGGTGTGATACATCTCGTTAACACATTTATGATTTTGCGTATATCAACAACACAACATCACTCTTACACGTTTCTGGAGAAAATTAACAAATCTTTAAAAACAATCAGAAAGAAAAAAGACAAGAAGAACGATGATTATTACTGTAAAAGAGCTAGATCACATAAGACAAAATAGAACTATTCGACAACTACAAGCTCTCTCCGAAGCAAAGAGAGTGTGATAATCATACAATCTGAAAAGAGAAACATGGTATATCTTCATACACCAGCAAAGGTGGCATACTCGATAGAATGGATGTGGACAATGTCAATGTGACGACTGAAGCTCATAAAAAAGAACAATCATCTTTGATGAGACAGAATGCAATATGATGATCAAAGCATTTTTGAAGCAATAAAGCGAGAAAAAAAAAGTAAAAAAAAATAAACACAGAATTATTATACAGCAACAATTCGAAAAAACACTTTCAAAAGATCATGCTACAGCTCTACACTAAGTATACATGCACCCATGTGCAACGACCGTTGGTAATTGTGGAGAAAAATTTACACCATTTGGAACAAAGCAAAAGAGAAATTATTAGCAAAAGAGAGAGGACCGGGAGGTATAGGATAGCATTAGAAAAACCTAATACATATCTGCAAACAAACGCACAACTTATTACAAAAAGCAAATGACTTGCGGAGTATGACCGTTTTCAAAATGCAAGAGCATTTCTTCCCTTTCCCCTACGCTATATAGAACAGATGAATATTCGGTTACTCCTAACGACAGCTGGTAGACAACTGTGCAAATTAGCACATTCTTCCTCACAAATGCACATGCATTTTTTGAGATCTTAAACGGATTTGACCCCAAACTTACTAAATAACCATGTAGTTGAAATCAAATCAAAGGGGAAGAAACAGTAAGCTTGCTGTGGCGGAAAAGGTTTTTTAAAATATTTTCTGCAAAAAAAAACGGAATTTTTTTGACTGCCCACCCCGCAAATTCAACTATGGGCAGAAAACGTGGAGATTGTGAAGTTACACTAGAAAGTACCAACAGTATATTGCGCGCTTCATAAAAAGACAACTAACCGTTCTCAAAGCCGTTGCATCAGCAGTCGTAGATAAATAAAGCATAATTTAGCATCATCAATGTAAAAAAGAAATCTATAAACGATATAAACGACTCATCACTAAGGACGTGGACTGCTACATGGTGTAAGCAAGACTGGAGTGTTTGGGAATAGGAGATCCTCACCTCCCATTAGAGATGAGTCCGGGAACTCCAACGATGAGTGAGTTTCGGGATGTGTCTCGTCCAACACCTCCACCTGCGGACTGCTGTTGAAAGTCGAGGTGTTGCTGGTAGTCGTTAGAGGGCCACCCTCAAGTGCCAAACGCGGTCCCGGGTATCTCAGCTGCTGCTGTCCATTGTTGAATGGAACTCCATAATTGTTAACGTTATTCTCAAGTTCCGGCTTTTCTGGCTGGACTTGTTCTTGCTCCTCACCCGTGTCAACATTCTGCAACTCATCAGTTGTGATAACCGGCTTCATTCAAAATACAACCCAAGGACTCACATCAAAAAGATTGAAATCCCAGTGATTCCCAAGTAGATCGCGACAATTATCGATGCTCAGATCGATTCCATTTAGAAAATCTTGGAAATCCTAAAACAGGTGATCATGACTCGTATTCCAGAAAATTGCGTCAAAACAATCCCATGCTTATTTTTGTAAGGAGTGATCCTGAATAGAGTCAGCAAGATCTGAATATATCTCCAACAACAATACTACGCCCTTTCAAGTTTCACAAACCCACAAGACAGCTAGAAGGGAAGGATTGTAGACAGCTAGAAGGGAAGGATTGTAGACAGCTAGAAGGGAAGGATTGTGAAATTCTATTGAACAGGGCAAAAGATAATCGCATCATGTTCAAATTTTGCAAACTCTATTCACGATTTCTCAGTGTGGATCAAGTGCAGATGCAAAGGTTACAGGACTGCAAGGCATGCTTGTAGAATAATTAACAGCGTAAAGAAAAAACTTGGCATATATTAGTTCAAATGAAATATAGATATTAATGATCCGGTTATAGCAACAACAAAAATTTTTTTTTAGTTTTGCTAGATCTGAAAGCGCACTAAAATGTTGATTCAAAGTTCTGAGGTGAACTTGAAGTTCTCTCACTATACCAAATCGGCTTAGAGAGGGAAAAAGAATAAAATTGTAAGTGAAGAAGGGAATAGTTATCAAAGTTGCTGAAAGAGTAGCGAGGTGAATGCTTAAACCAACACCAGCACAAATTTGATGACGGGTTGCGGTAAACCAACCTGTGAGAACTGCCTTTCTAGCTGGGGTGACATGGTAATCGCTGACGAGTACGAAGTACCAGGTGTCTCAAAAAAGAAGTACAGAGAATTAGGATCGATTCTTTTGAAATAAAAAAGAAGAAAAAACTTCCAAAAATCTTAGATCATTGAAGAATTATTTGTATTTGTATAATAAAAGATATTAGCGAAACTCTACTATTGGTATAAATTGGTGAGTAAGCAGCATACACTTGGCAAGCAACACAAGACAATTTCCCTCAAGATTATGGTGGAAGTATACAAATGAAACGCAGTCACATATATCCATGTGTTATCTTGTAACCAGCTCCCCCTATTATAAAAACCAACTTGCCGCCGATTTTCTACATAATCATAGTAGCCAAAAGAGTGACCTCCAAGAAGAAACCCACCAAGCTGACAAAAGCTAGGAAAGGCATGCATTTGATCACAGGTGCGATAAGGTGAGAATGACTCCTCCAGGGTGAAGGGGGTCACAGTAGTCGCAGCCCCTCCAGGGTGAAGAGTGTTTTACTTGGTAGAGAAATTATAAAATGTCGACGGGGGGGGGGGGGGGGGGGAGGGAGCCATCATTTTTCCTAGTCAAAGTTCATAATTTCCAATTCGTCACCATCACTGTTTGTCTATTTTCTGAAATGTGCACCGATATGCTGCTGGATTAGCACGCAATTATATTTCTGACCAGCACCTTTTATTTTTTACATTTCCTTTTCCCTTTTTTATATCGCACTGCCTGTTTTTGGAAATACCATAGAAGATGTGCATGCGAGAACATTTGTTTCGGAAAGAGTTAGACAATTTTTAACCACTTACGAATTTTTTTCAGGAAATTCGCAAATTCTGTAGATGAACAGCAACGTCAGCAAGGTAAATGTTTTTAACCATCTTGTCTTCTGCTTTTAGAAAATATATAGTTTGCCTAGAGTCTGTTGTGACCTTTGAAGATGAACATCATGTACGCCGAGATAGCCACCATTGAAACCGCCTCGTTTTCTGCTTTCAGAAAATATACACTTTGTCTGGGGTCCGTTAAAAAAAGTGCCTGGGTGAAGGGTGTCCTAGTGATTTTTGGAGATTTTCGAGTTTTTAACATAGAAAAATTCATAACTTTTGTACATGAACATCTTGTACGCCGGGATGGTCACCGTTAGAACCGACTCATTCTCCGCTTTCGGAAAATATATACTTTGCCTAGGGTCCGTTGAAAAAAGTGCCTGGTGAAGGGTGGGTGAGACTTTTATAATGGGAATGCTCAAGTAGACGTCTTTTTACAATGGTAAAAAAGCCTGTACTTGAGCACTCCCATTATAAAAGTCTCACCCACCCTTCACCCGGCACTTTTTCTTACGGATCCCAGGCATATATTCTGAAAGCGAAGGACAAGACGGTTCCAATGGTGACTATCTTTGCGTACAAGATGTTCATCTCCAAAAGTTATGAATTTTTCTATGTCAAAAACTCAAATATCTTCAAAAATCACCAAGCACACCGTTCACCCAGGCACTTTTTTGTATGGATCTCAGACATGCTATATATTTTTTGAAAGCGGAGGGCGAGGCGGTTCCGATGATGACTATTTCCTTGCACCAGCTATTCATCTGCAGTAGTCACGGATTTTTTTATCCTAAAAACTCGAAAATTCCCAGAAATCACTAAGCACATCCTTCACCAGGCACTTTTTTGAACGGGTCTCAAACATGCTGTATATTTTCTGAGAGCGAAGAACGAGGCGGTTCTAATGGTCACCATCTCGCCGTGAATGATGTTCATCTACAAAAGTTATGAATTTTTGTGTCAAAAACTCGAAAATCTCCAGAAATCACTACTCACATCCGTCACCAAGCACTTTTTTCAACAGACTCCTCCTTTCCTATACATGAACAATTCACGTACAAATATCTCCTTTGCTTAACCCTACCTTACTGTTGATTTTCTTCTCGGCTTTTGTTGAAGGGGGTCACCTTGGTCCCGGCTCAGGGGTGAAGAGGGGGTGAGAAAATTATTCTCACACTATCGCACCTGTGCATTTGATTACAGAAAGAATGTGCAATTTCCTGTTGATGCTTGTTTAGTAAGGGGTAAGGCATACCTCACACGATTTTAGTCGCCGCGCGATTTGGCACTGCAACGACTATCCATAGCTGATCATAAACGCACTTTGCTTAGGCCAGACTTGCTGTATTTGTTACAATTTACGGAATCTATGCACCCATGCACCTGAGAGCCTCGCATGCTCAATCTCTAGACATCTGGCAAATCGCCAAGTCGCGAGGATGTGGCGATTTCGCGAAATCGCCAGAGGTATGCCTTAGGCCTAAGACGTCTTAGAGACATCGTCCACCCAAATTCTCAACTTCCATGTTTTTGTTGTTCCGAGACGGACCTTCTCATGTCCCTGATACCAAAAACGAAGTCGAGACGTGAAAATCTCGACAGCCCGCGTACCGGGGAAGGCAGGGGGTGGGTTATTCGAACAGTGATTTGAATTTGATGGGTGAGCAGATATGGACGGGCATTACTGGAAGGGAGGTGGGTGCCGACTTGGGGTCCCCTCTTCGCTATTTTGAAGCAATTTTACTTCTAAGGCGACATTTCACGCCGCGACTAGGGCATTGGCCTGAAATGGGGTCCTACTATCGTAAGCTGCCAAAAGCTCATGACCCCTGACTTAGGGTGGAGGGTGCCTTTAAAATTTCGACATGAATGCAGAAATCTTGACACACTATCATGAAGTGCCTACTCCCGAGATTCAACATTCTGAATCGACGGTAAGCTCATGGTGATGGTTGTCATAATAACTGCATGCCTCTCATTTTAAACATGACTTTTGATCACAAGTGGACGTTCAAAAATCCTCCACAGACAGGACCTAACTTTATCGGTCCCATAAGATAGACAAGTGATTATCTCTTGATTCCAAAATCCTCCGATCCTGATTCCAGCAAATCATAAGACTTTTGTCAATCTAATAAGCTAAAACTTATCTAACATGCTACTTCGATGATAAAAGACGTGCCATTCCGCGCTACAATGTGACATATCAGTATCAAGGTCATGACATAAGCCAAGCGTTTGCATAAAACTGCGACAAGAAGCCAATGCTTGGGACCGAAAACAGCGGTACCAACATAATAAGTGTGCATTTCTTAACGGAGCAGAAATCTACAAACTAACTGCGTGGTAAATCCATGCTGCAAACTGCTCAAACAGAAGAAAGGAAGCATCAGAGCACATGGTTTCCATGATGAAAAAAAAGAAAATCAAACGTGGCCGTGGATCAAACCAGCCATGGAGCAATTTGACAGCATGGGAATACCAAAAGAACCCCTTTCAAACTATTTGGCTACATCGGACAACGGACACATCAATCTGAATCTCATACGTGATGATACCGAAATGTAAGTCGCCAACCTGTTGCGGAGTGGGTACGGCTGATGTGACTACGTTTCCATTCTGTTGCCTTCTTGGTGAAGCCACCCCTAGTGTTGCCGGGGCACTTGGAGAAGGTGTGGGTGGTTGCTGTGCGGGTGGTGAAGCATACGACACATTATATCTTGAAAAACTTATATTATGAAATGATCGATACTGGCTTGGAGCGCATCGAAACTTACCCGTTGGTACCATACTGTTGCTTATTCTTTTGTCCCATTTGATTTTGGGGATTTTGCGGACTTCCAGAAGAGGAAGCACCAGGAACCCATTCATCAGTCACATCAGCTATAATGGGTCCATCGCCACGGCTAGCTGCCGCCGCGACACCCCGTATTCCACCAATGTCCTGCATTTCTCGTTGAAGACGATCCAAAATCTGAAAAAAGCAAGGATTTCTGGGTCACCAGATATGTAACTTTCTGATGCAGAAGCCAAATTGCGAACAGATGAGCCGATATGACCCAGAAACTCGCACAGTTAATTGTATAAATTCACAACTTACATCCGTCAGGGAGTTGATATTGTTCGAGCTCGAGTTGGCATTCATTCGCATACGCTTCTGTGGTGGCTCATCAATAGCCAAAACACCTCTCTTCATCACCCGCTTGGCTGCTGTCGAATTTGGCTGCATCATAGCAACGAGGAACTGTACAAGCTGAAAATTTGCGAAATGAGTAAACTTCGGGTTCAGCTTTGAATATGATACTCAAGCACTGAAAGTGCAGTAGCAAAAAATGTCAACGTTAGCCCTAAATCATTTCCCCATTCCCCCCCCCCCCTCTAAAGCCTAACTGATGTAGAAAAGAAACCATATTTCGGACACATACCTTGGTAACAACTTGCTGCTGCCGATTGTGCTGGGCTCGTAAAAGTGTGACTTGTTCCCAAAGTTGTTCGTTTTCCCTTAATCGACTACAAGTCATTTTGAATCATGCACAATGGAAAGGTCAAACCTCACTTGACTAACTCATGCATTTTATTATCCATGGCACGTTGTTTCTCGCGCATCTGCCGCAACTCCTCCATGACCAACTGAAGACTCGCCTGTGCATGTACGCCATTCACGGAGTTTTCTGTGGTTCGCGATGATTGCTGGAAGTGAAAACCTAATATAATTACAATCTTCAAAAGTGATTGGCAACCGAGGTGAATGCCAACGATATGACTCTGCGTGAAAAAATGTCTACAGTGATTTCGCGGTGTGAATTTCGTTGAAAAACAAGCAGTACTTTAACTGGCAAAAGAGAACTCATTTTAAACCAAGATTTTACTAACGTTAAACTGGTGTATTATGCAACAATGATACTCTTCGACTACATATACTTTTTTGATGAACTACAGTACTGAAATTAGCGTAGGGCAAAACGTTTTTGTTACAAAAGCAAGCAGACAGGGTTGTGAAAATTTAGATTTGCCCTGATATTGCTGATATTCTTTGACTAAGAGTACATAAACGTATTCATCATCTCGCTAGCCAAGTAGTAGACATGCATTCGTAACGACACATCTGCTCATAGTGACGCCAGCGAGGTAGTTCTTTACTAACTGATGAAGGCATTCAAGCTGCAAGAACACTCATCGTGCCTAATTTTACCCTTATATAAACAAAAACTTTCTATCGTTGCGTTGCAAAAAAGTGTTGCCAAACAACTGGCACATTCTTCTATCTTGCCTCAGATCCCTTGATCAGAAGTGCCCCACAAACTCCACTTGCGTATCAGTAAGAACCAGTTTCACACATTTTATGCAAGTCAATGAACTAGTCTAGACACCACGCCCTCGCGAAGCAGCGAACGCTACTTCTACGCCTAATCTACAAATCGATTACGCAGAGTGGAGATAGATGTTACGTGTTATGCGCTTTGGAAAAGACGAACCTTCCTTTTTATGTTGACCAAGAACTCTGGATGATCACGAATGAAATAAGGATGGCTGAACTCAAGATGGTCCTGATCAGACTCAGTCCGTGTCAATGAACCTCGATCTACCGGAGTCATCTTCCGAAACCCATCTGAAAAAAAAAACATATCACATTGCGAACTCGAAAAGAAATACGAAGACTTGGGGCTTACACATATTCAGTTGTCGTATCAGACTGTTCAAGTTATTATGCTTGAAGAAATGCGGTAGAACATTTCGGCAGAATGAATATGGATCGATAATGTGAAAGCTATATCCAGACTAAAAGATTGTACTCACGCTTTGAAATAATACACAAGTTTATGAATTCACTTACGTCATCCCATCGAACAATCTGCTGATAATTAGGGTCCTCGACAATGCTCCACAGTTTGATGAGAAATAGTGGCATCTTTTCATCTTCCTTGAAATTGGGTAGCTGAGCTGCTGGCTAAAATGGAGCTTGTACACTTTGTAGAAATAAGGATCCCTCTTCAGTTCGTCTTTGGAAGTTTTACAATGATCAATAACTCATCCCTTTCAACGGCTGAAAACAAAGTGTCCGTATCACTTCTGACTGTAAACTATTCATCTACTTTGAAAAACGCTACCATAAAAAGGTATCAATTAGTCACCATTCAACACAAAGCAATAGAATGATTACGAAATGTTCCTTAAAACCTTGTCATAACCTAAGATTAGAAGAAAATGGAAGAATCGCTTTTGCAAAACAAGTCAAGCTCACCTGTGCTTGTTGTTGTTGCTGCTGTTGCGGTTGCGGTTGTTGTTGTTGCTGTTGTAGTGGAGCAACTACCACTTGCGGGACATTCTGCGGTGTGATGACTTCCACTTTTGGCACCCGATTAGCATACAATTGGGAACGAGATACCTCACTCATATTCCCGCTCTATTATGTTGACCTAGATATGGTGATAATAGTGACTAATCGAAGTAAATCATTAACGACAAACCAGTTGATGAGAAGAAAAACTGTGAGAGATGGAGAATGGAGAAAAAGATCACGACAGCTTTAGGCCTAGATGCTATATAGAAGACCAGTTCAAGAAACAAAAGGTAGTAATATGTGTGATTCAACAGATTGTCACGAAACTAATGAACTATGTATATCATAGAACACATAGTCCGATCTCTGATGATGCAAGCACTAGGTCGCCGGCAGCTAAAATGTTTCACACCTGCGCGTAATTTGGATCAGAATGTCAGCTGCGGTCAATTTGGGAGACGCTGAAGTCCAAGTACACCCATGATATCCGATCCGATTTGGATCGCGCTCAACTACGGCACTACCTTTCCCTGCCCTCTTAATTTGTCAATGCGCATGCCGTTTAGCTCTGCATGCCGATTAGCACACCCGAGCATGCGCACGTCGTCACGCACAACTCCAAAAAAGTATATACACTGCCTATTCACAAAGCAAAGTGGTAGAAGACTGATAGTAGCATTACTTCGCTGTTTTTGAACTAAGCATCAATAATCAGAGTCTAGAAAGGAAACAAATCACCCTGTTCCTCAAGCAATACCTCTGGCAACAACATAAAATGTCGCCTGCAATGGTGCAAATAAGCCAGCGTGCTGATAACCGTTATACAGCCTATCTACCACTGTTTCTATACCAGAATAGCGGTACAAGGATCTGAAGGAATTACGGATTGGCGAGGACGCAAAAACGATTTAAGCTGGTCTAGCATGATTTTTAAACCCCACAGAAACTCTTTTACAGAAGACTAATATTCAGCCGTCTTTTTTCAGTCTTAGTCGCAGCTAATACTACCCTTAACACGATTACATTCTTAAATTCGTCATAGGAGTATTCGATAGGTGTAAGCTACCATAGAGCATTTCTGAATGCGGGACAAATAACCAACGAAAGAAATGCTGTACGGGAACAAGAAATGGTTTCGTTGATAGAAACTACATCCGCGAACTGGGTGAACGACTCAATAATCAGCGCATGTCAACTAGACCAGTTCTTATATAATCGCTGCCAAGATCGGTGTATTGTGTGATGGTTTCGTTTAGTCACTTTAGGTTCAAAATCATAGCAAACCAGATACTTAAAAGCGAAAGTGAACTGGACACTTCATATGTGCGCATTTATACAAAAGCTAAGCCTATGAGCGTTCGGTAGCATAGATCTCAATTTTTGAGCTGACTATAGATACATTTTGTCCTTATCCATGAGTTATACCCAAGAGCGAATGAAAAATAGGAGAAATATTCTGCTCGTCATATGGCGAAGAGATAAATGTTGCACATCGACATAGAAGAAATATAGAATGAGAAAGGCATGAAACGCAAGAAAGCACTGTGAAGCAACGGAATTGAAAAGAACTCATCACTGCGAGTATCGACCCAATGATCATGTGCGAAAATGGCAAACAGGCACTTTTTTTTCGCGCAAGCTCAGTCCACGATGACTACGTCCGCATAAGATTTCGCAATTATCATGCACCTCCATGTTGATTCATTCATTTATTCGAAGAAAATAAGTTTGAGACTGCAATCGACTAGCCGATGATGGTTTAGCAGCATTGTAAGTTCTTTTAGTGGTGAATGAACAAGTAATCAGACATGTTGACTAACTCGCAGCAAAATTTGCTCGAATTACATCGTGCGTCGGAGGCGGGCGTCGGCTGCAAAAGCCGCACGGTCGTCTGCAAGTGGTTTGTTCGTTGTTTGGTTTGTTGTAAAGTTGAATGGAACGGAACATCACAAATAATAACCTTTGTCGAAGGGGTTGAATCCTCTTAGCTCTTGAGGACCGTGCATATTACTGATTTATACAAAAATTTGCAGGAGGCTAGCTAAAGGCTGATTTGAGGCTGAAAAGTATTCGAATGATAGATAACATTCCATGTTTGCAAAGTCTTCCACTGAAGGATTTTTGTGCTACTTCCAATAGTAATTTTGGTGATCCAGTGGTAAATGGGCGCCACATTCAGCATGCTCATAAACATTTGAGAACGAACTCCGATGTGTTTTTAAACTAAATCTTAAAGGCTTACGAAAATTACTGAGTCCAGTACTTACCCTGGTATCGCTATCCGGCCACTCGTTATTTGTTGGTGGCCGAACCCGTCCATTAATCAAACGGGCGGGTACGGGTCAGCGGGGGTTAGCGGAGTGATAGCATCGAAGGGGTGCAAAACTTTCTATTACCGACGAGTTGTAAGCTCGCAGAAACTTTTCCACTCTAATAATGGCAAAATCGCCTTATTGGGCAACTCAATGAACTTCACAATGGCAAAGAAACTCATACCTTTTTTTGGAGGGGAAAACGAGAGGAAACAACGAGTTCTGTTCAATAAAAGTATTACAATTTGCCAATTTAATTAGCAAGTCACCTTGTCACTTCCCTTGCGAGTCATAATCACAATATGAAGGGTTTTTTTGTACTATACATTCTCAGACAATTCATGGGAACTTTCGAGAGGACAAGCAAATTTGTCTGATTCCCGAGGGCTTTAGTTAGTTCAGATTGTGATGTGAATGGGGGCGAAACGGGAACTTCCAGAAACTTTCTCAAGAAGTTCTCCAAAACGCAGAACTTCCCGAGGGCATTAACCTGAGGGAACTTCCCGAGGGCTCGCAGTATTTTATAATACTGCTGCGGTCTGTCCTCTAATTCAGGCCAAAATTGGTATTGCGGTAGTCCGTGTCGAGATGCTTTTGCTCAACGGCCAGCTACGGCCAGCTTCTCTGAATTGATTTATTCAACTTTGCAAAACTTTGCAGAAGGTGAGCGCCGATAGCGAAATCACCATTGTGCATGGGGCTTTTGCTACCGTAGCCTTACTATAAGAGAACACTTCTAGGGATGAGAAGGACTATTTCGCATGCTGAAAACGAACAATATAACCGAAAATGTAGGGCTTTATTATAGCACGGTAGAGCCTGGTGGACTCATTCAACTATGGGCAAGAACCCGCTCATGCAAAATGAGTAGGTAAAGTGTCATGTCGATCTTCAACACTAAATGGATTCACTAAAGTTTAAGAATTGTAATTTTTAGCTAGCTTTAGCGAAACAGCGCCGGTTTCTCTTCACTGTGTCACTATAGAACGGCTTTTACTTGACTAAAGACTAGAAGTCGTTATTTTTGCATTGAGCCTCGCCTGCTAATATTTGGCACACTGAACACTATCGCAATTCACAGTCAAGCTAACACTGCTTTGTGGTAGGTATAAGGTTGGCATTGGCATAATCGTGAATTTACGTCAAACTCTGTCTGGAGGCTTATTCAGCAAAGGGGCTGCTTAAAGGTTTCGGTTTTCCATGGGAAGTCTCCTTCATGTAACGGTGGTACCTTGAAATATATCGATGTGACTCAAAAAAAAACGGGAAAAAATTAACTCAGCATGGAAAAACCGCGCATACATACTCGAGGAAATTTTGCTTATATATTGTAACAAACGAGGCATTGTGCGATGAAGAGTGAGCAGCTTTTCAAATGGCTATGTCAGGCGTAATTTCGTGAATCTTGTGTTGTGGGGAAACTTAAACGGAATAGCATCACGTTAGACGTCAACATACAGAGTGTGCAGATAAAGAATGCTGGGTCCCAGTTTATCATGCATATTTTTTCGACCAAGAGCTATTTCTTTTTCTTGGAAAAGAGGTGCAAATATCGCAGAAATAACTAGTGAAATGAGAGGCTGCAGCGCAAAGTCTTATCCAGGAAGAGCTAATCTGCCTAGACAAGTGTAATGACCTCATACAGATTAATACCACGTACAAGTGGCGATCGCAGAATTAATCGAGCAAGGAGGGGGGGGGGAGGATATCGACCTATTCTCTCGATGCACAGGCATGCCATTTGCCACATGCTTTGAAATTTGTCGAAAAAAATCTCTTATTGCAATTAGTAGAAAAAAATCAGCTGTCATTCTTTGGTAATAAGCGATTTAGTCCATGGTACTCTGAGAACCTAGAAATAAAATCCTTTATCTGGGAAAAACTAGAAGAGAATACAATATTTTGCTAACATCAGGCCCTCCACATAATTTCTGGTATACCACCCAGATTCTCCTGCAAAACTATGAGAGAGACATTACTATTGCCATTATTATTGGACAGTGGACCCATTAACCAATCACCACACTTTCGTTATTGCTTAATTTTGATAAAATTGCAAAAGCATAGGAGAAACGAGATTTCAAATACACTGGTACAAACCAAGCAAACTTAGTGAGAGGCGGAGTTTGCGGCTTTTAAGGATAAATCCACAAAGAGTTTCTATGGAGACCATTTGGATAAAAAACTTGAAATGCGTTAGATAGACACTCAGCTGATGCTTACGTAGATCCTATCGTTAAAGCTTTCAATATATTAATAGCTAGTAATCATTATTTAGTAGCAATGAAAAATTTATTTGCTTGAACGAAATAGAGTATTGAGTCAGATTAAATTGCATAGGTTGTAGAAAATTATCGAGGATATTAACTTTTACTACATGACTCAACTATGGGGAAAATATGGGAAATTCAGTAGAAGAACGTAACAGCGTACTAATTTCGTAATAAGAGACAACTAGCTGATTGGGATGTTTTTTTATATTTCTTAAATTTTCTTTATATCCGTTGAAATTTTCTTCGAATGACAGTGCGAAAAGTTTGGGAATCCACAGCAATCTTCATCATTTATTTATGAAAAGATTTATGATCTGCAATAACAATCTCTATATGTACAATGTACAAGTAAATGCACAAAAATTTCTACAATTTTTTATCAGAAGAATCCGGATCCTCTTTTGATTCCAGTGGATCTGGTGAAGTTACTGTATAGTCGTTGTATTGAAGACCGTAATCGCCTCGATACCATGACGTCATGAGACTCTTGAATTCTGGAATTTGAAAAATTAGTAGGTACAAGATTTTTTTGGGATTTCCCTGAACTCGTTCCTTAGATGATCTGGGAACGTGTCGATTTTTTTCCATATGAGGGAAAGGAACATTTAGTTTGCCAGAAAAATGAATATTTTAACGTTCTTTCAAAATAAATATAATGAGCATCTTTGCAAAAAAAGAAATACAATAACAAAAGTGCACTTGATTGCAGAAAATTGCTCAGTCATCACAAATGATTTAGTGAGAAAAACACAGAAGATTTTGCTTGATCACTGATCAAATCTATCATATGTGCCACAAACAATGGCTAATCATACCGCTAAATCGCGCAAAAAAACTTTTTTCAGTTTACTTAGCGGCGCTAATGGCATTTTCAGTCAGGTGATAAAGTAAACAGAGATTATATTTACTTTAAGATCGTAAAAAAGATTCTGCACTTACAGCTTTTTGAATGACTTCGAATAACACTTAGAGATTGAGAATCTCCAATGTTATGTGATTCTAGTTGACATTCAACCATATTCCTTTTTAGAGCACGAAATTACCCGCTAGACCACTCACCCTTCTTGCTCAATCGGCCATCACTATCGAAGTCTCTTTCGCGGAAAAGACGTTCCCAGTTATCATCCGCATGAACTTTTAGTACATTCTCAGCATAGTCTACTCCTTCTTTGTAGGATACAAAGCCGTCGTGGTCGTTATCGGCTTCCTTAAAGAAGTCCTTAAAAAAGAATTATTTGCAAGAAAAAATTATTAGCGCGTTTGCTTGCAATAGACATGCGTCATCAATGCTATACAAATTGACAAGTGTTTTAGAGCAGATTTGATAAGGTTTTGTTTTGATGGCATAAGAGGGGTCTTTGCCAACACGAACGAGAGATAAAAATAGATATGCGGTACATACTCCTGCGGTTGTCAAAATATCGTGCAAATAGTGTTATTTTTGAAGCGAGATATTTTCGCCATAATAAAATGGTGTTAAAAATAGAATTCAAGGCACCGTCCGCACTAATTTAGGGGTCTTGTTTTGGCCGCTTATGATCTTAGGGCCCCCTATCAAGCCAATGCCCAAATCGCCGCGCAAATTGTGGCTTCTTGCTTTAGAATGGCGAAAATTCATGAGGACCCCAAGTCGGCACCGCCCTCTCCAGTAATGTCCACCCATCTGTGCGCGGTCGTCCAATCACGTTCCGGAGAACTGGCCTGCGCGTTCTCCGGAACGGGGACTGTCGAGGTTTTCGCGGTTTCTCGACTTCTTACTAGGAATCAGGGACATAAGAATGTCCAAAACATGGAAGTCGAGAATCTCAGTGGATGATGCCCTTGGGGCCTACTGAGCTCCCAGCGTTTTTTTTTCTAAATTTTCAAATGTCATCATAGAAGAATCGTTGTACGAAGTATACAGGCCGTATTGGATAGTCAAGCAATTTATCAAATAAAAGTGCTGAATACTAGTTTGAACGCCCAAATTTCTTTTCTTCAAAATCCAAAAAACTCACTATAAAAGTGCTGTCTAGGTAATCATTATACATTCCTTCTACCCTTGCCATAGACAATTTATCGTATTCTGCCAATTCGTCCGGTGACACAAAGCCGTCATCTGGAATATGTTTGCAAAATATTTGATTAATAAAGTGTATTCAAGGATAAAGTGGAAATTTACACTTCTCAATGCATTGTTGTGAAATTTGTAGGTATCTTTTAAGACTCACAGAATTCGCTCAAAAATTAGTCGAAATTAATTCGATGAAATGGACTTGATTTAGTTGTAGAAATCGAAGCAAAAAGTTCAAATTAGCTTAGCAAAGTTATTTTCGGCGTAGATTCCAGCCCTTTTTCTTGCGTCTTCGCAATTATAGTCTCGAGAAAAAAAATATTTGAAAAAAGTTTCTGGCGGCTCCACCCCCGAAAAATATGTCGGACTATCACTGATGGAGTACCTTTTGCTTCAACTGGGATGCGCTTGGAAGACGGGACTCCGTGATCTAATTAGGGCTAGAGGACGATCAGAGAGCACGTGCTCGCGAGAGATGCAGACTGCGTCGCAAGCGCGAGCGGCCTCAATCAGGTCACAAAGCTCCGCCTTCCAGCCCCCAATCAAGGTAATTTAAAGGTTAAAAATTCTATAGACTATAATCATCTGTGCAGAGGAAATCTAATCCTGATCAAAAACACCTACTGTTTGTGTCGATATCCGTGAAACATCCCCAAGCAGCTTGATTGCTACACTTTTCGGTTGCTACGAATTGTGCAAAATTTAAACCCCGCGGATCAGTCGTAGTGGTTGCTTCTTGCGATTTAAATAGTCCGCTGAGGGCATCGCTGACATACTTCAATAGCTCCAAATTCACAGATGGATATTCTTCCCGAATCTCGGATATATCATCGTGGTTTACGTATGCGGGCAAGGCTGAGACAGCGATTATTGGTGTGAGAATAATTGCAATTGGTAGCATTCTGAAACTGAAAATATGTGAATTCCAAATGAGAATGATTAGACAAATGAATTGCTACGAAAAGATACATGTGACAATGAAGAACGTGATTCATCAGTATCATCACTTGCAACATTGCGTGGGAAATATGCAATAAGTGGGCCAGTTTTGTTATTGACTTACCAGAAGTATTTGCGCAAATATGGTATGAAAAATAACGGAGCCAGCACTCTTGCTTGCGGTAGTGGACAATAAATCGAATAGCAAAATGCAACCAGCAAAAATTACAAATTCACTTTTCTACAGTACTTGCTAGTAAAAAAGAATTTGTAAGAATTTGGCCAATCTATACATATGTAAAACTCAAAATTTGTGAGGATGTTCGTTAGGCTGTTCGTTTCGTTATAGTAACGTCAGCCGTTGAACCGATTGACCTGAAATTTCGCACACATACAGTGACCGCCAAAAAGTTGCGGACAAGCCGCCTTTCTTTTTTCATCGCTCAATTTCGGATGGAAAACAAAGATAAAAAAAAACTAAATTGCATGAGCTGGTAGAGCTCTTCAAGAGCTACAACCCACACATTGCGATTTCTGGAAAATATGTAATATAAAAATTTTAAAAAACTTTTTCTAAAAAAAGTCCGAAAATGGCCGCGTCACAATGTCGCGGACAATAATTCTTCGAACGCGAAAATTTCCCTTTAGGTCTTTTCTTGAATCAAAAATAGCAGTTTTCCGAACAGGTAAGCATACTATGTTATAGAGCTCATCGAGGGCAATAATCGAGTAGTGGTTATTCCCCGAAAAACCCAAGCTTGGATTTTATTTTACTTTTTTTTTCAAAAAATAACTTCTATTTTTCTCTTCCAGAGCAAATTTCTTCGCATGGAAACCTATTCAAGGCGTCCCGACCAAGCTGTTCGGAAAAAGTAGATGCTCTTTACCATTCTCCATGCATCTGACGTGTGCTGGTGAGGTTCTTAGCTCGAAATCACTCCTGACAATGTGTGCACATGACCCCATCTGCACCTCACCATTGACTTGCACCGCTTTTCAGGCTTGTAGCTCGGCTACCGTTCATCGTATAAGCTTGCAAATAGGCTCATTGGAAAAAGCTAGACCTCCTCAATTCGATGATATGCAGCAGAGGTAAGTTTAGGAAGTTTCTGAAAATTGGAGGATGGGTTCAAATTGGTGGAGCCTCAATGGTAGTCTTAGGGTTTTTCAGATAAGACTAAGATGAGCTTCATTTGTTACAACTTTCATCCTGGGAATTTGCAATTGACTATTTACTTGTAATAATTCGACTGCGAAGTTCTACGACAAGTCTAGTGTCGAAAAGAGCCTAAACCAATGTTACTTCAGTCACCGCTGAGGCTGCCTTTTTTCAACCCCATTCTCAAAATCCCCAGGATTTCTTAAACCTGCCTCTATTGCATATCAGCGTGTAGAGCAGGTCTCGCTCTTTTTTGCGAGCCTATCTCAGGCTCACAGAATGACTGCTAGCCGAGCTACGAGCCTGCAAAGAGGTACAGGTCAGTGGTGAAACACGGGTGAGGTCGTGTGCGTGCACTACCAAGAGCCATTTTCGGCAAAGGAACTCATTAGCACACATCTATGCATACAGGAGGGACAAGAGCAGCAATTTCATCCATAAAGCCTGCTATTAGAATGTGCTGGATCGCCTTTCTTGCGAAGAAACGTGCTGTGATAGAGCGTATGAAAAGTTTTTTTCTAAAAAAATGCGAGAAAAATCCAAGCTTGTGTTTTTTTAGAAGTAGCCATGACCTGACCATAGTCCTTCATGTGCTCTACAGAATAGTATACTTAGTTGTTCGAAAAACTTGCGATTTCGCTTTAAAAAAAGGACTCAAAAGAAAATTTTTGCGTTCGTGGAATTGTTGTCCGCGACTTTGTGACGCGGCCATTTTCGAGCATAGTTCCGGAACTAGTATTTTCCAGAAAACAACATGCTGGAGCTGTAGAGCTTGAAGAGCTCTATCACCACGTACACTTAGTTTATTTTTTCAACCTCGTTTTCCTTTCGAAAACGAGCGATGAAAATCGGAGCTCCTCTTGTCCGCAACTTTTTGGCGGTCACTGTATGTTTCGAACCCCGGCGGTGGTTTAGGGCCACTTTTCGGGGCGAAGTGGGCTCTCTCATAAATTTGTCAATTAGCTTACTCAAATCTAGTAAAACGAAAACTTTTCATGCTCCAACCAATCATTTTTCCATAATCATGAGTCCATTTCAATCTCAAAGCCGGACGGATGAGGCAATTCGTCTCAAAGCGCTTCTTGCGCATGTTTGAAGAAGTTTAGGAGCGTAAGTTCACTTGTTCTGTTAGCTAAGCTAATTTGGAGCCTCAGATGAGGCCGAAGCTACCAGCCAATGCGAAATATTGTTATTCTAAGGAACTCTGTGGAATTATAAAGTACAATGCACCTTTCTCTGACTCATGATGGTAGCAACTTGTCTGCGTTTTTCGCACTTAACTGAAAAATTCGTAAAGAGCAGATAGTCGCAGCATTGAAAGAAAAAGATACGAAAAAGATGTAAATTTTCAGCGGGGAAAAATTTGCCCTTTCCGGAATACGTTCTTGTTCATGACCGAGTAAAACCTAGTGACTTTCTCAGCTTCTACAATCATTTTGATGGTCGTAGATTGTCCGAAGAGAAAGTTTTCAAGGCATGCATATTAACCTTTAGCTCCAATTATTATGTCTCTATCGTACCAGGGTGAAAAACTTAGTCACTTTTTAATTTCATTGTGGTATTTGAAAATATAGAAGTTCAAAAGGATCAAGCAAAAGCATAAGTGGGCGAGCCGCCATCGCTGTCGACGAACGCTGGAATGCGGTGGGGCACAAGCAGGAGCCACTTGGATTAGCGTGCTGTTTGCTCGCTCACTCTGTCACTGATGACTCGGTTCCAAAGAAAAAACCTCAAAGATCACAAATTGTCATAGTTCTTACTGTGCAGTTAACCTCCGATACAAAAAATTCCCAGGGAGGAGAGAAATGCTATTTTAATCGACAGGAGAAAACTAGCAAAGGATCTTAGTTTTTCTTGCTGTCCTACCAATGTTGAAAAAACTGATTGTTTTTGTAGAAGCATAAAGTGGTCCTCGCTTTAGTGGCCCAGAGAGTTGCCAGCATGAAAGACCTGACTATCAGAAGTAGAAAAGTCGAATATTACTTACGATACTGCAATACATCTAAACCGCTCTATTTGTAAAGAAATTGATAATATTTTTAAATGGTTATCAAAAATCTTTTAAAAATTTGCTTTCTTTAACCGTGGTACCCTAAAACTTTAAAAAGGACCTCCCATCAGATACGTTCCTCTGCAGATAAGTCCTGGTTTATTTGGCAGTCTTTGAACTTATCCGACAAGGTTTTAGGGCGGTTAATGGAAGGAATGACTTGTCTGTATGTGCTCATCCTGAGGTGCGGCCATTTCGCTAGTTTATCCAACCGCTGGAATGTGAAAATGCCACAGTCTTCAGTTTTTTTTTCCGCTGGCACTCAGAAACCATAGCAGACTGGTTTGAGGAAGCAAACAGCTTTTTTTTGTAGTTCTCTCTCTCTTTTGTGAGAATTCATGGTGCAAACCCAGACAGCTCTGCAGAGTTCCTAAAACTAGCACTATTCGGCTGCCAGGGCTCCAAAATTTCTTTTTTCGTAATGACTTCGAATTTCGTCCAGGAGATTATCTCAACCGTTGACCACGAATGTTACATTCATCCGCACGAGAACGCCTCCCCGCTGGTTACGGTAGGCATACGGTAAAACGTGAATTTGGTCGAAATTTGATCAAGGGGGTCATCTGACCCACTAAACATGATTATCATATTAGGTTCGCGCGGTAGCGCAATATACTGGGATTACAGTGGTGCACGGTAGATGGCTCAGAATCTGCCTAGAGACAGTGGCGGTCTCAAGTTCCGTCCGAGAAAGAGAGGGGGACAAAATCTTTTCTGAATGACCTGGTTCATAGAACTTCCCACTATAATTCTTGAACCTTGGTAGTGTTCGGAAAACTTCGAACAGATATTCACGTGAGCGTGCTTTTGCGCACCTTCACAAAATTAGTCGTAAAAGAAATGGTTGACGGCTCATGTCTGCAGACAAATGATTCTACGGCTTCTTTTGCATTGCTTGCAGTTCCGGAATTTATGGTCACACTTCATACCAACCTCCGGTCTTGAAGTGTTCTGTTCTGTTACTAAAGTAAGATCACAATCTGATTTACAAAGAATAGTTCCACTCTGAATTTCTATGGCCGCTCTCTAATACTTCAGTTCCGACTTGTAAATCTTCTTGGATCTTGATGGTTTCAGATCATGTCTTCACGGAGACGAGTGCAAAAGATCAGTTATTCGGAAGGTGAGTCTTTGCTTTGCCTTTGGTATTATAATTACGTTGGAAGGTTGTCATGGCGGGAAGGTTGTAAGAGATCAAGTCTGTGGGATAATTCGTTAATTGACATAGCACAACTGCTACCTCGCTTTTGCATGTTGATCTAAAAAAAGTTGTTCAGTTGAGTTCGCCTGCAATTGCAAATTCTATTTAGCCCAATATAGTGTGCTTCCTTAAGCTGCGTTCATACTGTTCGCGAACTTCCGGATCGGTATGATCGCAGCTACGCGCGCAAAACCGCGCACCCTTGCATCTTCGCTGAATTTACAATAGACAATGTGTATATGACCACTGAGGGTTCTATGTTCGAATGAAATCTACTGATTAGTTTTTCAAGATCTGGATGACGATGATGATTACTATGGACGCTCCTATGAAGAAGAAGTTCCCATGTCACCTAGCGTTAGTGAGTAATCTTTTGGTTTTTTTTCTAGGTTCTTTGATTCGATCTGTACTGGTGACGATCTTGATAACAAATTTGATAATATGCTTGAAGTGCACCCATACCGCGGTCTTTATAGCTGGATACATGTATCAACGTCAGCGGATGGCTCCCGAATTCAAACTTGGGTCAAAGTTAAGTGATTTTATACCGGAAGAGCGTCCAGCGCCAGGCAAAGACGATTATGGCGATGACGATATGTTTGATATGGAAGAAGACAACAGTAGGTTTATTCTGATCAGATATCTTCCTTCGCTGAGTACGCAATTTCAGCAAATAATGCACAGCCTGACAAACACTCAGCTCCATCGACTTCCGCTGCATTGGATATGGGCCCACCACCCGGTTTAGGATTTGATGAGCCGCCCCTGCCATCCAAACCCATTGTGGTGTCTTTGGGGCCCATTGCAGGGTATGAAGATGAAAAGGTAGATAATTTTGTCTAAATTAGTTTCCTTTCGATTGTTCTTGAATACTGGTCGCATCTCCTAATAAGGCATTTCTTCTACTCTCTTTTTTTGCATGATTGTAGAAAGAGAAAAGTTGTATTAAAGCCACCGGTTCCGAGTGTTGCAAATCTTCGCATCTCTGACCGTAACGATAGTGACTCAAAATCACCAACAAGAAAGAAAACGGGTCTGAACGCATCTCTGGGAACATTGCCTGCAAATTCAAGCAGTCACAGGTGAGTTGCTAGTCTTGAATTGCAACATAGTAATCTTGAATCTTCCTGTAGGCTAAATCAGTTGGCAGCGATCACCTCAGCGCCATCTACACCAAGGAGAACAAGGCGTCGAGATGAGGGCAAGGAACTTATTAATCTGGTTGTTGTCGGTCACGTAGATGCAGGAAAGAGTACGCTCATGGGGCATCTACTTTACCAGGTTATACTTTCAAAAATCTTGCATTCTTCATTTTTGAGATTGAAAACAAGATATATTACTATTTCCAGCTGGGCTGCGTTGATCAGCGCACGATTCACAAATACAAGCAGGAGTCTGCACGTTCGGGAAAGGCCTCATTCGCTTTTGCTTGGGTTTTGGATGAGACAGAAGAGGAACGGTAAGTTTTTGTAGTTTTTAATGTTCTTTTTTTATTTTTCTCGTTATTGTTGAAGTCCATCATGTTCTATTTGCAGTTCCCGTGGAGTCACGATGGATATTGCAAAGACAACATTTGAAACCAAAACGAAACGTGTTTTACTGCTGGATGCCCCCGGACACAAGGATTTTATTCCGAATATGATTACCGGTAAGAGAATGCTTAGCTGCCAGCATATAATGTAGCGATGGAAGTTGATGATTTTGTACTATCGCCGTGGCAGGGAAAAATTTCTATGCTGCAGGTGCGTCGCAAGCTGATGCTGCAATACTTGTTGTGAATTCAACCCGAGGAGAATTTGAAACTGGATTTGAAAATGGCGGGCAGACTAGGGAACATGCAATGTTGCTGCGCTCCTTGGGTAAGATTTCATGGTATTATTTCGGTCTTGGTGTTTTATTGTACGATACCTCAGGAGTCACGCAGCTGCTTGTAGCCGTTAACAAACTAGATACTGTCGATTGGTCAGAAGAACGTTTCAGCGAAGTCGAAGCAGCGATAAAATCCTTTCTGACAAAGCAGGTCAGAGTCTCAGATTTTCCATTTATATGTATTCATTTATTCATTTTTGCAGGCAGGTTTCAGCCAGCTTCGCTTTGTACCTGTTTCTGGTCTCAATGGGGAAAATCTCGCGAAAAGAGTGCCAGAAAACCATCCTCTCCGAAAATGGTACAATGGCGAATGTTTGTTAGAATTCATAGGTAAATTCTGAATTCACGTTTTGGCCGTGTGAGGTCCCCTGTACACTTCAAAATAATCAACATCACTTATTTAGACAAGTTCTCTGCACCAACTCGTGCTAGCGAGGGACCCTTACGGATTGTAATCAATGATGTTTTCAAGGTCAGTCGCCATTTTTTACCTCGGGTGCTTTTCGGAAGCAGTGACACTTTTAGGCGACTCAAACGCAGTTATGCTTGAGCGGGAAAATTGAATCAGGAGAAGTAGAAATGGGCGATAAGGTTTTCATAATGCCAAACGCCGACGCCGCTACTGTGAAAGGTATGTTTTTTGATTGCTATGAAAGTTTCAAAAGCCATTATTGCTACAGCCTGTTCTAATGACGATGGAGGAGCTGTGGATAGCTGTATCGCAGGTGATCACGCTCTTTTGACTTTGAATGGAGCATTTGAGCCGGATACCATACAAGCTGGTCACGTCATCGTTCGCGCAGGCCCAGTAAGTTAGATTTTATGATCTAGTAGAAAGGTGGTCTATTGGGTCTCCTTTTAGGACGCCCTAATGCCTTGCTGCAGATTTCTTGCCAGAATTGTGGTATTTGACATAGTTGTTCCCATAATGAAAGGAACAAGAGCAGAATTGTATTGTCACTCCTTATGTGAACCGTGTACAATTGTGAAACTTGTCTCGTCGATCAATAAGGCAGATGGTCATGTTATCAAGGAAAGACCAAGGTACTTTGAAGTCATATATATTTGATGTCCGCTTAACATTGTTTGTAGTTGTTTTTGCTGTTAGCTATTACTGTGCTTCTTACCAAGATTTTTTCCATTTCCACGGTAATTTGTTTTTGACACCATGCTCCTCCTCAGAGTCCCATTTTCTCGAAATTTAATTCTTCAACCTGGGGATTTTGTTGGGGCTAGGGCGCAATGCGCATTGTTTCTTTTTGTTTCTAAAGTATACATTCTTTGTGCGATTGCTGTGTTTCGTTTCGCAAGAAATGTGTATTTTTGTCAGCGAGTTGCATGTTTTAGGCGAACTGCTCATTAACAGAAACAGGAACTCATTTTACCCATTTTAGGTGCTTGTCGAAGCAGATGAGCGGACTGGTTGAGATTGAGACCGAACGGGAAGTTGCTGTCGAAGCATATACAAACTGCAAAGCCCTTGGACGAATTACACTCCGAGCAGGAGGTCAAACAATAGCTGCAGGCATCATTGAGAAAAAATTGAGTTGAACTTTCATTCTTTATTAGTAGTCGTTATGCAATGGAAGTCTTCTTGTTCTGCTTTCCTTTTTATCATCCCAGATCATTATTTTACGCTTGCCATCCACTTTCCCTTTCTTTGTTTTCACAGGTTCTATACTAATTGAGTGCGGCCTTATGCTATCACATTCTTGTTGTGTTATAGCTCTTTTGAAGCCTAAAGCTGTTTTTTCGTCATGATGCTACTTGTTGCTTGGAGTGCATGGGTATAGCTCGTATCATTATTGTTACATTATCACATCAGTTTGAAACATGCAACTTGTTGTGCATTTCTAAGCATCATAACTTTATATGTGTGATTGTGTAGATTATCTATCAATGTAGCGTATTTCATAAGATTCGTCCAGGCGAATTTTCTGACAGGAAAATATGCACATCAAAAAATATTGTGGAAATAGAAGGCAACACGATTATGGGTTTCTTCATGCGATAATGTCTATAGTCAAGTGATATTTCAGTTTTTTTTTGCATCTGTAAAGATTTGTTATAGAGTTTTATTATAGAAATAAAGGCTTTATCAAAACAGTGATCATTTATTACTCTCGTTTACTGCTCTCAAAAATACGGACTTATAAAGACTAATAAATAGAGTTTCCTAAATAGGCACATCTGTCCGTTAATTTCAATGCGATTGGATTTCACTATCGATCTCCTCGCTACTTGTCAAAGATTTTTTTTTACTAATTTTCAACATTGTTCTCTAGGAAAATTAAATAAGTGAATGAGAAAAGATCGAAGTCAAAGAAGGATGGCGTTGTACTTGTAATCAATTCTATTTTCTTCCCAACGAAGTGCTATAGAGCTCTGCAGGATCGCGAGAGTCGGTGAGCTTGCGGCCATTGCGCACGCAGGATGCTTCAAGGCCTCAAACCACTCAAACAATCCTGTACTTTTAGGAATCGCCTCAGATAATTGTAAGCTTACATCTGATAGCAAAAAAACGTCCAAAGGGAAAAAGAAAACCGAGAAAGCTCAATGCGCGAGCAATGGCCGCAACCTCACTGGCTCTTGCGGTCCTGCAGGCCCTTATAAAAGAGTGCGTCTATCCTGTCTATGGAGAAGGTGGATATTTGTGATTACTAATTATTACTGATTACTACCACGTACCAGTTATAACCAGAATAAATAGATACGCTACTGAGTGCTGCGGTATAACTCCAATTTCGATTGAGAATTTTTGTAGATAAAGCTTGCTATGGTGCCATTCTTCCTTGTTGATCTTCAACAGTCGATATCGCTCAAATTTCTCGTGGTGCTTGATATTCGCTCTTTTGGTTCCTTTTTGATCAAATTTGAACATTTTTTTTGAAATTCTGTCAATTGACATTTTTATTGATTTGTGTCTCATAATTCTTCTCCTTGGCTTACATCTAGCACAATTTTTTCTCAACATTTTGAATCTCATTTTCGCAACATGTTTAACCACTTTTCGCATTTCGCAAATCATTCGGATATTGTCATATTAGAAAAAGCGTAAAAAATTACTATATGCTGGTTATATTAAATTGTCCCGAAAGTTTTGTCCGTTTTTTCAAACCACTATAAAACCACGCACAATAAAGACCTGAATGAGTTTCGACATGCATTCGATGCAGCTTTTCCTTCTCTTTCTTACAGACGCATTTCCGTACTACAACTTTGTATGCTTTTTCTGTCAATTGCCAGAATTCTCCACGTCAATTTTATCTGCTCAAAGTTCGGCTGATTTTCAAAAATTCATTTCAACGTTTCGGAAAGGTTAAGTATGCATCGAATAGAGCAATTTTCGGACTACAAGGCGATATTTTTATATTCTCCTACTCTGCTGTTTTGAGCTTTAAAAAATTATTATTTCGGAGTTCGGAGTTCTCGATTTTTGCCCAAGTCATGAAACACGCAACTGCAGCAAATACACAAAAGCTTTTGCAATTCTTTAAATTGAAACATGATTTTTATTAAACATTATTTATGCAACACAACCAAGTCTGATTTGCTTTGAGAAGAAGCTTTCTGAAATTTTCGATAATTTTAGGTGGTAAATGTAATGAAATGCCGCGGTTTTTCTGAAATAAATAATTATTACGAACTTGATAAAAGCGCCCCATGTAATCTAAAATAAGTACAATGTAGCCAAAGGTTTGCTCTACATAACATATACCAGGCGCTCCTTGAAAACATTAGGATAAAATTTCTTGAAATTCAATAAAGATTTGGCGTTACTTCTGAGCTGCTCGAAAAGCCATGTCGATAACATCGCAAATACAGGGTAAATCAGAGAGCAAATATAGCTATAAGAAAGAGAATAAAAATCTCAATCGAAGGATACCTAAGACATCCATGGATTGGTGTTCTGTGAGTTTTAGTGAGCGATGAAAAAAAAACGGACAAAACTTTCCGGACAACCTAATACAATAATGCAAGCCACTGGAGTTACAACAATTTCACAAATTTTCTTATGTGATTTCGTCGCCATAATCTGATACATGACGTAGAACTATAGCTAACTGTATCTCCAGTCAAGAAAATTACTTTAACTTGTTGCCCTCCCGGATATCCCCAGGAAGGCTGTCCAAAAATTAAGGTTTATGACTCAACCCTAGCGGGAAGGTCAGACGCCCTTAGTACCTTGTGATACTGGGTTATAACCGACGAAGATACCCGGCCCGCCGACCGCTAGCGCCGCTGCGTCGTAGGTCTCGCTGCTGCGATCGATGCTGTTAACATGGCAAAAATCCAACAACTGCGGTGAGTAATTTTAACAATTGCTTGTTATGCGAGGAAGATTCTTTGCAGTGGGAAAATTTTCGGTTCAAACCTTTGTGGCTAACTCTATCGTTAGAACATGCATTAAACGATAGAAGAAATTATATGTATGATTATTTATTTTACTGTGTTTATTTATCGAATAATTATTTATATAACTTATTTATTTCATCGTAATTATTTATTTAAATTTGTTTTAAGTCTGGCACCAAAAATTTGGAAATTTTTATTCTTGACTTCGGTCAAGGTTTTCTTTGACTGAAGTTACTACTAGCTAGAGAAAGTCTTACACTTTCAAAAAATACTCATAATGACTTACCATATTATTGCCATTTCGCAATGTTATAAGCTGATAAAAAACCCTTGAAGCGTGTTTTTTGAAAAATCAAAATTACTGAAACGTTTATTAAATTTTCAGCAAAGTTTTGGGTTTTAGAACAAGCTTTTTCTTCCTTATTGTTAGAAAAACTCGTGCTAATCGAACTTTTCTACGAGTACTTATGATTTTTACATTATTTTTATCTTTCTGTGTGCCGAAAGAAACCTCTTACATTTATGTTGAGCTACACCTTTGATTTATGTTACAAAAAATACCTAATCATTTGTAATTTTAAATATTATTATATTATTATTATATAAATAATAATATAATAATATTATATAATATTTAAATATATTATATAATATATTTAAATATTATATAAATATTACAAATTATCATAAATAATTTGTAGAGTTTGGCACTCTCCTCCAGCATGTCGGATGAGCGAGGCGGCCAGTATACTCGCTTTCCGAACTTCCGGCATACTCCTACTGAATTCCCAAGGTCGTTTTTGCTGGCAAGCGAGGAGGGCATGGGTACAAACTCCGTCGAATTATATTTCCTGGTAGTGTCTGCTTGGGCAAAACCTTAGTGCTTGTAATTTTTATTAACTTACTAGCTGGCTTACCCGGCTCCGCCGTATCCGGACCAAACTTGGCACACATACACTTCGGGCCCCGGCGCGTGTCACAGTCCACTTTTCGTTATCGATCGATGTCGATCTTACCGATTTTTATCGATTTTTTCGCAGAGTTCACCTACAGGGCTAGGAGTTGGCACAGGGGGGAAGTGAGCATGGGGATTCCGAATACTATATTAGTTTTCAGAATTATCGGTTACTTTTATTGATTTTATCGATTTTTTGTAAATTTTGACATGCGAGGCTGGGATTTTGCACAGGGGGGTAATCGAGCATGCTGATTACGAACACAATATTAGTTTTCAGGATCGTCCATTACTTTTATCGATTTTATCAATTTTTTTGTAAAGTTTGACCTGCGGGGCTGGGAGTTTGCAAAGGGGGGTAATCGAGCATGCAGATTACGAATACAATATTAGTTTTTGGAATTATCCATTACTTCTATCGATTTTATCGATTTTGCAAAATTTGAGCTAGGGGGCTGGAATTTGGCACAGGGGTGTAATCGAGCATGCTGATCACCCCCTTGGGGATGATCAGCATGCTCGATTACCCCCCTGTGCCAACTCCCAGCCCCCTAGCTCAAACTTTGCAAAAAATCGATAAAATCGATAAAAGTAATCGATAATCCCGAAAACCAATATTGTATTCGGAATCCCCATGCTCGATTACCCCCCTGTGCCAACTCCCAGCCCCGTAGCTCAAACTTTGCAAAAAAATCGATAAAATCGATAAAAGTAATCGATAATCCTGAAAACCAATATTGTATTCGGAATCCCCATGCTCGATTACCCCCCTGTGCCAACTCCCAGCCCCGTAGCTCAAACTTTGCAAAAAAATCGATAAAATCGATAAAAGTAATCGATAATCCTGAAGACCAATATTGTATTCGGAATCCCCATGCTCGATTACCCCCCTGTGCCAACTCCCAGCCCCGTAGGTGAACTCAGCAAAAAAATCGATAAAAATCGATAAAATCGATATCGATCGATGACGAAAAGTAGCCTATGACACCCGCCGGGGCCCGTAGTGTATGTGTGCCAAGTTTGGTCCGGATCGGTTCAGAAATGGAATTTTCTATTCGGAACATACGTACACACATACATACATACAGACAGACATACATACATACATACAAACAGACATTCAGCTTTATATATAAGAAGATAACTGGACCTGAATTGAATATGATTTTATTGTAAATATATGTATATACTTTGTGTTTCTTTAAAGAATATGTGTATCTCAACTGCTCCTTTAGTCTTACTTTGTAGCACGCCTTAAAGCGTAAGAATAAATAAATAAAAAAAAAAATAAATAAATAAATAATCTCCAACAAACAGTAAGATTCTGATAGGTAACTGGTGATGCAGCTCTGGTTTCTCGTTCACACATGTCCTCAAAAAACCCAGGTAAAAAGATATATTATCGATGTAATTGCAGAGCTTGACCAGTGTATCTCTGGCGCCATCGATGAATATCAAAATGCCATTATGTTGTTAATGGCTAATGTCTTTTGAGTCGAACCAGTTCTCAGCATGTTTTCACAAATGTTTGATGGAAGAGATAAATAGGAAAAGGAATAGCACTACATCCAGCAAAAAGGAAGTGCTGTAGAACATGATTAGTCAAATTTGAATCTAAGGACTTCAACATACTTTCCTATTATTAGTGAGTATGCTTGAGGTCTAAAATTACGAAATAAAGAATTTGTGCTTTCACTACCAGGTTACCTTGTTCGTTTTTGTGTTCACCTAAATACTAGCCCTACCATCAGTTAGAAGTCTGGTCAGCAGATATCGAGCTTTGTAACGTTTATACTGTTTATGACCAAATAGGTTCATACTTCTGTGTTTAAAAGCCTCAATGTTTCGTATAAAGACATATTACTGGAAGAAAGTTTGATCCTTTTCTACAATTTTAAGACAAGCAACTGATGTAACTCCTTGTTTATGTGGATTTTGCAGTTGATTTGTGGCATAATTATGTCGAATAAATCCATAATATTGAGAAGTACATTGAAGACTGAACAAAAAAAGAAAATTGTCAATTTTGACATGATTGCACTTTGCACTACTTTGGTAAGCATGAAAACGCCACCAAAGGAGATGTTAATTCTTTCTTAATTCTCTCTTGCCCAGGGAAGTCATTAGAGTCCACAATAAATACTAAGTTAACTACCTCGTAACTTTCTATTTTTGTGGTTCCTTTCTTTATGGAATCACAGTTTTGACATAATAACTTAACAATTTTTTTGAAACTTATATTTTGAAAAATTCATGTACATACTTTGCACTCCTTAATAAATTTACTTCTTATTATTGAAAATAAGTTTTACAGACCTTCCTTCCTTAGGCCCCGGGCAGACTTCACGCGATTTCATCGTCGCGACTGAATCGCGACGAGACAATTGTTACAACATCATTCCATGCCGATCAACTTGCATTCGGTTGTGATACTTTTCCAGACCGAAATTTTTGAATGTGAAATGAAAATGAATGGAAATCTTGGCGATTAGATCGCGACGATTAAGTCGCGTGAAGTCTGACCGGGGCCTTACTGAGGAGTTCCGCGGAAGGTCTGTAAATACTTTTACTGCGTCTAAGGGCAGGAACGAAATGGAGTTTTTGGTTATTTACATATTACATTAAAAAACTTTACTTCTCATTATGATCTCGTCATTTTGCTGGAATCATCTTACCTACAACTGCTGCTGAAAATTATTCTAAGCGCTGGTAAGAAAACCTTCAGATAAAATCGACGTGTCAGGTATAGTGTAGCCTCAAAGGTTGGAGTTCCACAAAAGTTCAAGTGGCTAAAGTAAAAGGACCTAGGAAATACATATGGACGGTGTTACAATCTGCAGAGGCAAACTGAAAGTTTCGTAAGAATACAGTTACTGTGGATTTCGAAAAAGGTTGGTTACAAAAGAATCACCTTCGCAATTTATTTCAAGACCGTGTCATAGTGTAGAGCGAAACTGTGCAACAGATCAGACTATCATACTTTATTAATCGAATCAAATCTTTCTAAGACCGCTTAATGTTTTATTTAGGCACTAGTATATGTTTTGAGACAAACCCCTGGTCTCTTGACGTTTTTTTTCGTGACGACGAGTAACTCAGAAGAGCTCATTGTAGCATGCGCAGATGTTAGCCGTCACTGAGTCGCTTCTTGCAAATCTTTTAGTCTCTCATCCTCCATTTGAGGCATTTTGTCTTCATCACTTCTCGCCTGCCAAGCTCATAATGGCAACCCCAAACTTCTCAGGTTGTTAATCTGATCGGTAGTCCATGCTTCGTTACCGTCCCTTGTCGTGTTGGTTTCTGAAGCGTCAGCGATGTGTGTTGTTTGTTTTGCTTCCACTTGGTTTACTGCTTACCCTCACTCAGTCGGAACTGCACTCGTCCCGTTAGCGAATGAGAATCCATATGACCACGTGCTGTACATAGAACACCATTAAATAGAAATGGCAGCGATTCAAAGTCGATCTGAAATGCAGAATATGGTTCAAAAAGTGAAATAATGATTAGGGCCAAGATCTACAGGCTTCAGCCTGCTAAATATCTTGCGAAATTGTTCATGAGGTAGTTCAAGTTCACCTACTCACTTCTTTATGTTTGATAGAAAAATTTACTTTTCAGTATCGCTGCTTTACGTACATGAATATGTCCTGCACCAAAATTTTTGAAAAATCTTCGTCGATCTCAAAAGAAAAAGCTGTGAGTAAATACATGGCAGTGGTCGAAATCTTTTGTTGGCATAAATGTTGTAGCAATGTGATCGAGAGAAAAACTCAAAAAGTGACTTTTTAAAATTTGGATCGCTAAAGTAGCTACAACGTCAATGGATTCTCAATTTTGACTTTAGGTTTCCATCAGATCTCTTTACACACAGCTAGGTTTTTTTTACAATTTTTTGTTAAACTTTTCATATCGAGTCAAATAAATTTATAAAATATGCAGTGATACATAAAACTTATTTTGTGTTACAAAAAGTATACGGTATAGTTGAGATAATCATTCTAACATATACGATATAGTTAGATAGTTCTTTCTAACATTTCTAAAACAAATTTTTTAGATTTTTTGAGTTAGGGCTTATAATTATCCTAATGGTACCTAACGATTGATGTATGCTGAGGTCCAGCAAGTTAGTTTTACAGTTCGAGGACGTTATAGAAAGCTTTCGGGAAAGGGATCATTAGCTTATCTTTATTTAGAGAGCAAAATATTCCGTGCTTTACTTTCCATACCTTGCGGCAAATGTTGCGGATATGAAGATAGATTTACCTTGTTCCCCGATGTCGTGGATGTTGAAATGTCCAACGACAGATTCACGCCGGTCTCGACAAATGTCTAAACAGCTTTTTCAGGACTTTGATTGCATGAGCGCAATAAATGGAACAGGCTAAATTATCTCGAAAAACCGACCAATGCTAGTTTTCTCTGTGTTACAGCTTCGCGAAATTTCTCACGTCGTTCTTCTGGAGGTGCATGTTCGAATGGCGAAAAGCGCACATTTGATGGTTGTGCTAGCTGCACGAGGAATTCATCGCTTCGAAACACTTCTCTAGGGTTTGGGACCGAGGCAATCATTTCCTATAAAAAAGTTATGAACAGTAATCGATATTGGGAGGCGGTAGGACCAAGAAGGAGGTGGATGTGAAAGGGGCAAAAAGTGCAGAATGGTAGCTAGATGGGGCAACCTGCTACGCCAGATGGCTACCGATAGGAACGATGGGCGTGGCGACGATGGCAAGTCAAGTATGGATAACGAAGTTTGGAATTGTAAGGGAACGGGGAAGATGTTTTCGGTCTTGTGGCTTTAGGTCTTGTTGTTTCAGATAAATGGCCAATGTTCAAAAATCTAGAGCTCGAATAACTCGGTTTTTGAATATTTTCATCTTGAATATTCTGTGCAACTTCAGTTTTTTGTCACTTAGTTCTTTCTACTTCATCATCCCTATCCGTTCATACTTTCTCATAGCTTTCCTATGTCAAAAATGCTTATCTCTGCTCATCTACAAGAGTTCCTCTTATGACGGTTGTCATCAGAGGCGCATCTAACCTGCATCTAGCGTCCGCAAGATGACTATCTAGCCCTTTGACTTGTGTTCGTCACAGTGAATGTTTTGAGACAAAAGAGACTTCAGAAGCATGCGCACTTGAAAAATGGAAGAATCCATGAATGAATGCTTCAACCTCAATCCCGAAAAGGAAATCCAAAAACATTTTTTTTCTTCATATCTCCGACAATGTGCTATGGTTACTGATGATATAATTGATGCATAAATATTGCACCAAGGAAATTGTTTTCAAATGTTCAAAGAATTTTCTCGAAGCAAATCGTTTACTTTCTGTAACATATATCAAAAGCTGTAATGTATTTTATCATTGGTAGAGAATTTTTTGACTTAAAAGCAAAAAAGTTGAATAAAAAATTCGAAAATCATGAATAATTGTAGAAATTCCCTATCAGCACGAATTTTTCAATATAAAAAAGTGTATTTTTAACCAAAACATTAAAATGAGAATTTATTGGACGCTTTCGTGATTTTAGCGAGTAGAAATCAGAAAACCATTTTCCAAGTATTTTGCTTTACTTTGTTTCTTTATAGCACTGTGTTTTGCCTTTGAGTATTTTTTGAACTTCAGGACTTTCTCCAGAATTTATATCAGAGTAAGTAATTTCATTGGAATTATTAAAGATCGTGTGTTGTTCAAAATTTTGATATGGGCGAAGGGACTTAGTCGGAGAAGAGCGATGTGCTGAGAATGTTGAAAAAAGAGCGAAATGCTCTGAGACAACTGCTGATAAGACTTATCAGTTCAAAAAACCAGGCTAGCATAAAATTTTTCTACTAATGAAGCAGCTTGGAGTAATCAGGATGTGATAGTTTTTAAATACAACTACTTTAGGACTCGATTTTGAGGTAATTCGAATTTCAGAAATGGTAAAAAAAATTGTGACCAATGCAGAAGACACTTTATGATTTGTGAGATGCATTCTACTTGTTTTCTTGCTTTGACACCTGGAACCTGCGAAGACAATGTCGTTATATTACACCTCCCCGAGCAGAGCGAATATTTTGATCGGTCACTCAATCGCACTTGTCAACGTTCACCCATAAACTAGGCGTCATTGGCATATTACAACATATCAGTTGCTACGCACCTATAAGCGGGGGATTCTGAACCAAAATCTGGGAATCTGGGTATAAAATCGCAACCAATAACACCTAGCTCAGAAAAGCTACTTCATTTGGTCAGCAATGACTATTACTTGGAACAGATTTTTTGCACCATCGTTTCTGCCGAACTGTAATTTCCTTCAGATTCAGTGAACGCTTTTGGTATAAAATAATTCAACCTTTGATTCAACTGGCTTGGCTCCGTTAGGGCGGGGTTTTGTGATCTAATTAAGGCCGTTCGCGCCAGCTACGCATCTGCGTCTCTCTCCAGCGAGTGCTCTCTGATCATTAGCTAGCCTCAATTATATCACGGAGCCCCGCCTTCCCGAAGCCAAGCCATTTGAATCAAATGTTAGACAGGGAGTCGTACATTCGTTTTCCGGTGATGCTCAAAGCAAGAATTACTGTATCAGCTGCAGTAAAAATTAAAAGAAACGAATAGGTAAATCGTTTTTTGAGTTACTTACATACTCCTTTTAACTATGATAAATCGTGCCTGTCGTACTCCTCACAATCATATTTTTCGACTTTCATATTTTGGTTTTAGAAACAACTTCTCAGTGGATATAGTAAAGTACTACATATATCATACACAATGGAAGACATACAAATTTAAAAAGCTTTCTAACGAACGCTTGTAACGAGTTCTCAGAAATTTTCGTGCAAGACTTATGTTATAGTCTGATATATTTTAGAAGTCCCAAATCCTTCATCGATTTCCTTAGATAATCAAAGCCTCTTCAAAATTCACCAGATCGTTCACAATCAAATTTCAATTTATGATCTTACTATACTGGTTTTTATGTAGTCTCTACTACAATTGTATAACAGTTACTCTTTTCAAGTATATTTCCTTTTTGGTCCAGGTATATGATTTCCATGAAAACCTTAAAAATATCTTGAAGCTTATCTACCAGCACGGATATTCTTATTCATCACAAGAGAAAGATATTATTGTTTGGAAGAGTCTCTTTACATAGCTAACAGGAGTTCGCTTCGCTCATTCGTTTATTTAATACATGCAGCTGCTTTGTAAAATAATCGTGAGCAAAAAATTGACCTAAAATTGACCTACAAGTATTTGGGATTAAGAGAAAAGTTTCGAAAATGTATCAATGTGCCAGATCATTATGGAACACTTTGTTTGAGAGAATGTCCCGACTTTCCATTCATTTCTTCTGACCAAAATCGAAAGATGTCCTTTTCTAGGCAGAGTTCCATCCAACTCTCCATATGATACAGTTGATATTAGGTTGATGCAAAAATAATGAGTGTTTTTTCATTTTTCACTTTAACTTGCTATGATTTTCTATAAAATTTACATTTTGAAATTTGATAAAGATCATCAGATGCAGCGAACCTTTCGCAATACAGCGCACATTAACCTATACTCATATCTCATATGGGCAGAAAAATAAGGATTGAAAAACAAAAAAGGTTTTTTTTCTGAAGTCTTGTTTTTGAAAAAACGTACTCCTTTCACACTTTGTTATTATTATATAATTCATAAGCAGCCTATCTTGTAGCCGCAAGCCAGTAGTATAAATATGCACGGAAAGGGCTTGGAGAAAAAGAATTAGCGAAGAGGAAAATATCGAAGTTTAAAAATATCAACTTTTTCGGCTTTTTTTTTCAGTAGGCCTCAAAATCCCGAAGTATAGAATTTCTAAATTTCTGCGTACTGAACAGCTAAAACTGTCAACAAGATGCCCTACCCTCGCGCTTACAGAAATGAGCAAAGTTTGAGTGACTACATTCTACAAAGGAAAGTTATAGGCTTTAAAATGACCACAACCATTAACCATGTTAAGCCGCCGATATCTCACTTTAGATAACTTCAAAAAATATGGTTAACTATGCATAATGTACACAATTTCCACTATATATAGCTGCTAAATTTTCAAAAATGCACCTTCTTTTGCGCTTAAATTTTCGCCAGAAAAACGAATGCAACGAAAATCTGGTCTTGAGTGCGATTATTTGAAGCTCTATAAGTTCTTAACAGAGTGGGCTAGAAGTCCCTTTCAAAAAGCATTAGATAGAGCATGAGAAGAGCTTTCTAAAAGTATGCTGAAACCGTTTCAAAGAAAGAAGTTTGATAGAGAAAAGTTGTCCTGGAAAAAGTCCTGAAAAACGCTCATTATTTTTGCATCAACCTAATACAATTCCTTTAGTCTCTTGACATCTCGCCGCTTACCGGGGTGAGAGATGCAACAACTAAGGTAGTCTATTTCGACTTTGAAACTGCCTTTGGCAAATCTTTATTTCCATAATGCTTCGTAATACAGTAATACAAAATCGCTGTTATCATCATATTTGGCCTTTGTCCACAGCGAAGATCTAGTAGTAGAATCGATTAGCGATTTGTTTGTTGCTAGGATGCACTTAAATACTTGTAGACCAATCCTGAAAATCAGCATAGTAAGAGAGGGAAAAGCAGCTTAAAGCTTACACTGTAATTTATATGATCTACTATACAGTAATTTCTCAAAAGCTTTTCTGCAGCCTTGGAAGGTGCGCAGAAGAATATTTTTGTAGAATCATGAGGCGTATGTATCGGTAGCTCATTGGTAAGATTAAAGAGTGCCACAGCTACAGGCTATCTCAACCGCAGTGTCGGATGCGCCACCAGCTCGGGTTTTGCGCGCATGTTTCGCCTGGAATCTGCGCCGCGCACGAAGATGTCATCTGATCATCTTCTCATGCCTGAGCGTGAGAAAAGGCTCACAGTCAAGCTTCAGTAGCTAACTAGCGTGATTAATGGTCATAGAACATGTTTGCGAACGCGGCGCAAGCTCAAGCGAGACGGCCGTGCGATTCGAGCCGCTGGTGCACTTGACACTGTATTTGAGTAGGCTGTATGGCAATGCTTACCTTGCAGTTTTTTGACAAAGATCCAACTCGACGATTTGTCCTAGCCCTTGTCCTCGATGTTCTTCAACCACGAATAGATGGTTGAGCTGTCCAGATTGCGAGAGCATCTCAAATGCCACTGGCTTTTTCTCGTAACGAATGCAGCTTGAGGGCAGAAGGCTAAGTTTCGTCCTGCAAAAGATTTACTGAACAGAGCCCCATTCCTGTTCGGGACAAACAACCTTGTTTCTTCCACGTCACCTTCTTTCGCATGTCGCCACTTTGAGGTGATAAATTCCGAATCGAGCGGATCAGCGGAACCTACGCAAAATAGATGGTAGGAATGATTACAACCTTGAAGGTAGTCAGTTTATATACCTAGCTCGTAACCAGCAGGTAGCTGGCTGCTCAGTTCAAGTTTTGCGGTAGCTTCAACTTGAGAGTCTGTCATGTAAAACACTTTGGTTGGATACAGGCTGCCGACAAATTTCTGTTCATTGTCTTGGACATAGTTTACCACCTGAACAATTTTGAGTCACTGATGATTAGATTGACTTTTGATGAGTAAGTCTGATGTTCTGTTTGCAGTTGTTCGAGCTGTTTTCTTGGAATCAATCAATTTTTTCTTGATGAAAAACTAATGGTGAGGAAGAGGAAAAGATGATGTTGGAGAGGAGAAGGGGGGGGGGGGAGAGGGGTGGCGGTGAAAGCGGGTTTCATTTCTTAGGCGAAACCTTTTTTGACTCAAGTCTCTTATTCCAAGACACTTTATGGAAATGTTTTTGAGTAAGTATTGCTTTGGGAATGTCTCATGGAACTGAATAATAGCCGCAAGGCACCGTTCAGACTTTGATGGGCTGAAAATCGCCCAAAGCGCCGAATGAACCCTAAAGCGCCCAAATTTTTTAAAAATCTCTCTTCACATTTCTCATTCTGCTCATCCACATCCCGCGCGTCTCAAAGTGCCAACGGTATGTAGCGCAGATCATATGCGAGGACGATGAGGAATGTGAAGGTAGATCAAAGGAATTCGGGCGCATTGAGCGCTCTTAAGCGAAGTCTGGCCAACTTGGGATTGAAAGTGGTTTACAAGAGTTACACATCTGTGCAAGAAACTGCTTTTTGTTTGTTAGTACTTGAGTTTATCAGGATTTTTTAATTAGTTGAACCAATAATTTTTGCATGGCTGCCGTGCTCCCCCAAACAGCGTTTTCTAGAATACGATTCAAAGGAATTTGTCCAATTAGATCAGCTTTGCAGAAAAAGATTTCCGCTATCGTTTCGCCTATTTCCTACAAAATTTCCATTAGAAATCAGCAGAAATTTCGAAAGCAATCCTAGTAAAACACTTTCTAGCATTCTAGGTTCTTATAAATCAAGAAGGTATATTTTGTGCATTACCTCGTCCACTAGCACCTTATCACCGATGAATAGAGTTTGGTGCTGGAAAATCTTATTGATTCTGGCAAATTCAACGAAGGCATTCATGAAATCATCAGCGTTGAGCTTTCCATCGTGGGCTAGGTACACATCATGTCTGTAAAATATCGGTCAGAGACGCAAAATCTCCGTGAATGGCAACTAAGAAGACTAACAATTTTACATGTGGATGCATTTTCCAACCAAACCAATAAATACTGTTTGCTATGGAGCATGAAAATAATTCAAAATCGCTTGGATAGAGATTTTCCAGCTTGAATTTGATTGAATGTTGAAGGAGAAGGAATTTATAATGATTAGCGAATAAATGCTCTAGTCGTCGTAGTTCATTGGGCTCACTATGATGCCTCAGAAGTACCATGGCAGTAGTTTCAGCTGAAAGTAAATGATGAGAGAAATATTTGTACTGTGGACAAAAACGAGAAGTACCCTATTTTCAGGTGTATAAGCTGCACCCTTTTTGCTCTAAACGCGAGCAGACCCAGGCGTGCCGCCGCGCATATGTCTCGCGAAGCGGTCGCCTTATCGCATACTGCTCTCACTTAACGCGCTCCATGATGACAGTCAGTCTTTTGGCGTGTTCGCCTTTAGAGTGAAAAGGGTGCGGCTTATACACCTGAAAATAGGGTATATGCGAAATTACAACAAAAACATTACAAATGCACTGCCTTTGAACTTGACTGTCATCAGTTTCCGGAATGCAATGGCCTGGTCAGAAGCATCCAAACTGTAGAAGAATGAGTCTAGTCTGTGCCATGAAAGAATACGATAATATCGTTCCGCAACTTTGCTCACCCGTCATAGAAGAGCCTCAAGACGAAGTAGATTGCTAATCGAGACGACTAAATAGGGATGGATAGGTCACAAATGTAACCACCAACAAAAGCATGATTTTATTAATGCGCCTCTTGCAAAACTTGCTGCAGTGTCTACATTACTCGACAGCGCTAATCTACGAACAAATCGCCTTTTCATTGAACGGTAGTCTATGTTCCCTGTGGGTCCAAGGACCACGAGTGCCGTTAGAGTGGAATCAGAATTAAATTATCTCGAGCAGTCTGTAAAAGGAAGACTCAACATTCTAACATCATGTTAGCGTCGGTCCAAACCTCATGCTTTTTTTCAACTGCTTATTTTTTTCTTTTTTTCTGAGGCTGAGAACTGACTAGTCTCATAAGTTTCGAAGTTGTTTGTATTTCTTTATTTTCCTGTGCAGCCTAAGTGTCTTCATAATTAAGAAATATAAATGAAATCCTACCAGAGATGTACGCTATTGGTTGGGACATCTTGCTATATCACCTTCCTCTGGAAAGCTCATGTATTTTTTTCTTGGCTATAAGTCAAAAAGACAAAGATTCCCATGCATTCAAAGCAGTGCTGGGCTGTTTTCACATAAGTAATTCTAAACCGCTAATTGGGAGTAAAACCGTAAATTTGCAGTCTCTTATGAGAGCCTGTTTAGAGACACATCAACTTTTCTCCAGGTTCTCATATACACTTTCACATTGAATCCATTTTGGCTCCAAGCTAAACACATTTTCTAATCAGAGCCTGGCACCAGCTGGCACTGGGCCAGCTGGATATGGTTTTTGGGACAAAAGCAAAGGGGATATCGTTTTTGTCGACAAATTGCGACGTTTTTTTTACTCGACGTTTCGTTTTTTTGCTTTTTTTAAGGTTTAGAATTTAGGGTCAAGGGGGACTTAAACTTAACGAAAATCAAGGAGGACTTTGTTTTGAAAACTCCCTGGTGCCAGCTCGTGCCGAGCCCTGTTTCTAATGTATGTCGTTGCCATTCCCGGTCTTGCTACCTCTTATAACAAATCTTTATCTCCAATGTGTCGCATAATACACCAGTATAAAATCGGTGTTATCATCATATTTCGCTTTTGTCCATAGTGGAGATCTAGTGGTAGAGTCGATGAGCGATTCATTGAATAATTCGATGCACTTGAATACACGCAAACCAAATCTAGATAACGGATAGTCAGATATTGAGTCAGTAGCTTTGCTTACTGGCACTCGTGTATGAATGAGAAAGATGCAAACTTTTGTGGACATAATTATGCATTCGTTTTCGTGGTTCCTTAGAATAAAATCTGCCCTAGCTATGCTTGGCACATACCTTGAAGTTTTTTGACAAAGATCCAACTCGACAATTTGTCCCAGACCTTGTCCTCGATGTTTCTCAACCACGAATAGATGATTGAGCTGGCCAGATTGCGAGAGCATCTCGAATGCTGCTGGCCTTTTCTCGTACCGAATACAGCTTGATGGCAGAATGCTCAGTTTTGTCCTGAAAAAAATTATTACAAAGAGCCACATTTGAGGTCAAATGACTTTGTTTCTTCAACGTCTCCTTCTTTTGCATGTCGCCATTTTGAGGTGATAAATTCCGAATCTGTGAGCGGATCAGCAGAACCTATGCAGAAAATATGTTGAGTGCATCCGCCACCTTGAGCAACGTTACCTAACTCATATCCAGATGGTAGCTTGGTCTTCAAGTCGAGTCTTCCAACAGCTTCTACTTGAGCGTCTGTCATGTAGAACAGCTTAGTCGGATGCACGCTACCGTCAAAATTCTGTTCTTTGGTTTGTACATATTTTACCACCTAAACACCTTGAAGTCATTGATAATTGAAGTAATTTGGATGAGTATATTTAGTAGTTGGTCTGCTTTAGCTTGCAAGGAGTGAAAGTCCTCCTCTTCTTGAGGGTTAGTGATGGACAAGAGGGAGACAGGAGGGTATTGGAGACAATATTTTTCATCAATTAAACGAATCCAATGATATTCGTTTGAGGGCTCTTTTTCAACAGTTTGAGTTTATTCTTATGAAACCTCGATTTACTACTCGGATTATCTTGAGATAAAAACTTTGACTTTCCGAATTTCGAGTAAGAACTAAGTCGAATCTATTCAAATGACAGGATTATTTTCTCGATCCGGGTCATGGTATAATCGTCACTTTAGACCGCAGACTTTTGCATTAGGATTCAATCATCAATAAGCACGTATACGAAATCCAGAAGTATTAGAATTTCTACAGCACCCACAATGATAAAAGAATACTTCATATTACCTCATCCACTAACATCTTCTCTCCAACGAACAAAATTTGGTGTTGGAAAATCTTGTTAGTCTTGGCAAACACAACGAATGCATCCATGAAGTTTTTAGCATCAAACTCTCCTCTATAGGCCAAATATACGTCATTTCTGTAAGGAATCTTAGAAGAAATTCTTCTCTGAGCGTAATTTCGAAACCAACGTTTTCACATGCTGATGCATTTTCCAACCAAACCAGTAAATACCGTTTGCGATGCTGCACGAAAATAACTCGAAGGCACTTGGATAGAGGTTTCCGAGCTTGAATTTGATTGCATGCTGGATGAAAAGGAATTTATGATGGTTAGCAAATGAGTGCTCTATTTGTCGTAATTCATTGGATTCTGTATGATGCGTCAGAAGTAGCATGGCAGTTTGTTCAGCTGAAATTGAACGGGAAATGTTTGCACGACGGGGACGCGAAATATAGGCTGAATTACGACAAAAACATTACAAATGCACTGCCTTCAAACTTGGAGTGGACTTTGAAGATGCATTGGCATGGCTAGAAGTACCCGAAATGTGAGAGCAAAACATACTAGAAGTAGATTTCTGATTGAGGAGACTAGATTGAGATAGAGTAAGTCTCAAACGCTACCGCCAGCGAAAAGCATGGCTCTATGTCTCTTGCAAAACTTGCTATGGTGTCTACATTACCAGACGGCGCTAATCTACGATCAAATCGTCTCTTCATTGGTCTGCGTTGGTCTTTGTTCCATAGGGGTCCAAACAGCACAAGTGCAGTTCAGGTGGAAGTAAAATGTTCCCAACGTTATACTTTTGAAGCCTTTTTGAAAAGACTTTGGCTAACGCATAGCAACAAATCAATTGTCTCTAGAGTGATTGAAGGAAGAAAGGCCAAATACAAAATGGTGCGGTGGGATATGTTGACTGGAATGGCTTCATTTTTGATTTACTAGTGAACCAGTAGTCTAAAGGTGCTATTTGCAAGACCGTTCGCTTCGGGACTCGCCGTGGTTTCCCGCTACTGGTAGATTTTGAATTGAGCTAACGATTCTTTGTATGCTATATATGTAAACAATTCTTAACAACGATTAAAACGATTCTTTATATATTATATTCTTTATGTATTACATTATATGATATTAACGGGGATATGTCTATTTTAACCTTGAACTTGCTGCTAGCAAATCTTTATTTCCATAATGCTTCGTAATACAGTAATACAAAATCGCTGTTATCATCATATTTGGCCTTTGTCCATAGCGAAGATCTAGTAGTAGAATCGATTAGCGATTTGTTGGTTGATAGGATGCACTTGAAAACGCGTAAACCAAGTCTGAATATTAGCATGGTAAGAGAGGGAAAAGCAGCTTAAAACTTACACTGTAATTTATATGATCTACTATACAGTATTTTCTCAAAAGCTTTTCTGCAGCCTTGGATTGGAAGGTGCGCAGAAGAATATTTTTGTAGAATCATGAGGCGTATGTATCGGTAGCTCATTGGTAAGATTAAAGAGTGCCACAGCTACAGGCTATCTCAACCGCAATGTCGGATGCGCCACCAGCTCGAGTTTTGCGCGCACACCTCGCCTGGGTTCTGCGCCGCGCACGAAGGTGCCATCTGATCATTTCCTCATGCCTGAGCGTGAGAAGGGGCTCACAGTTGAGTTTCAGTAGCTAACTAGCGTGATTAATGGTCATAGAACATGTTTGCGAACGCGGCGCAAGCTCAAGCGAGAGGCCGTGCGATTCGAGCCGCTGGTGCACTTGACACTGTAACTGAAATAGGCTATACATGTAATGTGAACCTTGCAGTTTTTTCACAAAGATCCAACTCGACGATTTGTCCTAGACCTTGTCCTCGATGTTCTTCAACCACGAATAGATGGTTGAGCTGTCCAGATTGCGAGAGCATCTCAAATGCCACTGGCTTTTTCTCGTAACGAATGCAGCTTGAGGGCAGAAGGCTGAGTTTCTTCCTGCAAAAGATTTTTCAAACAGAGCCCCATTAAAATTCGGAACAAACAACCTTGTTTTTTCCACGTCACCTTCCTTCGCATGTCGCCACTTTGAGGTGATAAACTCCGAATCGAGCGAATCAGCAGAACCTACGCAAAAATGATAGGAATGACTACAACCTTGAAGGTAGTAAGTTTATATACCTAGCTCGTAACCAGTAGGTAGCTGGTTCCTCATTTTTGCGGTAGCTTCAACTTGAGAGTCCGTCATGTAGAACAACTTGGTTGGATGCGGGCTGCCGACAAATTTCTGTTCATTGCCTTGCACATAGTTTATCACCTGAACAATTTTGAGTCATTGATGATTGGTTGGACTTCTGATGAGTGAGCCTGATGTTCTGTTTGCATCGAGCTGTTTTTTGGAAATTAATACTCGTGAAAAACTAATGATGAAGAAGAGGAAGAGATGATGTTGGAGAGGGGAGGGGGCGGAGAATGCGATTTTCACTTCTTTAGCGAAGCCTTTCTTGATTCGACTTTCTAATTCCATTTCTACTTCATGAAAATGTTTTTGAGAAACTATTGCTCTGGGAGCGTCGCATGTAATCGAACAATAAATACAAGGCACCTGCCAGACTTCGGTCAGAGGCGCCCAAAGCGCCGAATGCACCCTGAAGCTTCCGGATTTTTTAATTCTCTTTTCACATTTCTCATTCTACTCAATAACATTCCGCGCCTCTAGGAGTGCCAACGGTAGCACGGAACATATGCGAGGAGGATGAGAATGTGAAGATAGATCAAAGAAATTTGGGCGCCTTTGTGTGAAGTTTGGCGGATAGCTTGGGGAAACTGAAAGTGGTTTGCAAGAGCTACAAATCTATGCATGAAACTGGTTTTCGGTTAGCACTTGAGTTTATCAGAGAAATTTTTTCAAAAGTTGAACCAATAATTTTTTACGAAGGCATGACTTTCTTTAACTGGATCACCTTTGCAGAAAATATTTCCGCTGTCGTCTCGCCTACTTTTTACAAAATTTCTACCAGAGAGCAGCAGAAATATGAAAAGCGATCCTAAAGAAACAGTTTCTAGTATTTTATTTTTTTACATGAAACAAGGAAGTATACTTTGTGCGTTACCTCGTCCACTAGCTTCTTATCACCGATGAAAAGATTTTGGTGCTGGAAAGTCTTATTGATTTTGGCAAACTCAACGAAGGCATTCATGAAATCATCAACGTTGAGATCTCCATCGTGGACTAGGTACACATCATCTCTGCAAAAAAATCGGTCAGAGACACAAAATCTCTGTGGATGGCAACTAAAAAACAAACATTTTTACATGCGGATGTATTTTCCAACCAAACCAGTACATGCTATTTGCGATGGAGCGTGAAAATATTTCGAAATCACTTGGATAGAGATTTTCCAGCTTGAATTTGATTGAATGTTGAAGGAGAAAGAATTTATAATGATTAGCGAATAAGTGCTCTAGTCGTCGTAGTTCACTGGGTTCAGTATGATGCTTCAGAGATACCCTGACAGTATATTCAGCTGAAACTAGAATAAGTAGCCGAAGTAGATTGCTATTCGAGAAGGCTAGATAGAGATTGGATAGGTCAAAAATGTATCCATCAGGAAAAAGAATGATTTTATTAACGCGTCTCTTGCAAAACTTGCTGCTGTGTCTACATTACCAGACAGCGCTAATCTATGAACCAAATCAACTTTTCGTTGAACGGCGATAGTCTTTGTTCCATAAGGGTCCAATGAGCGCAAGTGCAGTCCGAGTGGAATCAAAGGCCCAAACCTCATGCTTTTTCTTCAACCGCTTATTTTTTCTTTTTTTTCTGAGGCTGAAAACTGGCTAGTCTAATGGGTTGCCCGATTCTTTGTATTCCTTTCTTTTCTGGGCAGCTTAAGTGTATTCGTGATTAAAATTAAAAAATTCCCACCAGAGATGTACGCTCAACTGGTTAGGACATTTATTTATTATTCATTTTCTGACTAGAAGACGCGCACATGCTTTGCGTACATTTTTTAACAAGTTATGAAGAGTTCAAACGTGTTTTGTTTACTTTACTATCAAATTTTGTGGAAGAACGTGTTTGACCTCTTTAAAGGCAGTGTCCAAGCAAAAAGTCGATTTCGAGATTATGTGCTTACCTGGGCCTATTCGCTATGCTAAATCCGAAAATCACCACTGGAGAGCGCGAAAACGGCGAAAAAAGGCTCTAACGGAGGAGAGAAATTGCAGGTGGGCGGGGCTGTTCACATAGTGGCGTCACTTTCCCAGCTTCAGGAGCGATCTTCTCGCTTCCGCTAACCGCACTAACATCACCACTACCCAACTACGAAACGCATGACATAAAATCGGAACGGAGAAGTTTGCTCCTAAAGCCTGGAAGAGTGACGTCGCGGTGTGAACGGCCCCGCCCACCTGCGATTTCCCTTCTGCGTTAGGGCCTCTTTTTGGCGTTTTCGCGCTCTCCATTGTGGTTTATCGGATTCAGCATGGCGAATAGGCCTGGGTAAGCACAAAATCTCAAAATCGACTTTTTGCTTGGACACTGCCTTTAAACGCTGGCTTGAACACGTTCTTTCACAAATTCCTGACAATAGCCAAAACGCGTTAGAATCATTCCAGAACTTGTTGATCAAACGTACGCAAAGCGTGCTCGCGTCTCTTAGTCAGAGAATGAATGATATTTATTTATCTGCATGCCACAGGCGCGTCATAGTAGGTTATTGACGAATTCATGGAAAAAATCAGTGTAGAAACACAGCACAGCAACACAGAAACCAAAAAGACGACGCAAAAACGAGGTTGCTATTCTTAGACTATTCGCCAGTCGAGTTTCACAATAAATGATAGAACGCAAGGGCAAACTACGAGAAGGGCTACTCAGATACTCGGATAAGTCTGGGTATGCACCCTTGCTCGACATCTTGCTATACTTTTTCATTTTCCTCTGGAAAACCCATTTATATGCATTTTTTTTTCCTGGCCATAAGACAAAAAGGCAAAATTTTTATGCTTCTGTCAAAGCAGTGCTGGGCTGTTCCACATAACTAATTTAATGCTACTAACTGGGAGTGAAACCGAATTTTTAGCTCTTTACAAGAACTTGTCTTCGAATGCCAAGTTTAACTTTTCTCCAGATTCTCAAATAAAATTTCAATAAATCCATTTTTAACTTTCAAGCCAAGCCATTCTTTTGATGTAGGTCGTTGCCATTGTCAATTTTGTGTCTCTTATAACAGATTTTATCTCCAATGAGTCCGGTAATACACTAGAATAAAATCGCTGTCATCATCATATTTCGCCTTTGTCCATAGTGGAGATCTCGTAGTAGAGCCGATGAGTGATTTATTGAATACTTCGATGCACTTGAATACTCGCAAACCAAATCTAAATATAGGTAGTTATAATCAGAAATCAAATAGCTCTGCTCACTATCGCCTTCGTGCAATGAGAAAGATTCATAGAAAGGAATAGATCAGGTGAAAAAGTAGTTGCAAAAACCTTGTCAGGAAGAGTGTACGGAAACTTACTGTTTGTGGAGATATCCATGCATTTAATTTGGTGAATTAATAGATCAGAAAGTGCCCTAGCTGTGCTTGACACATACCTTGCAGTTTTTTGACAAAGATCCAATTCGACAATTTGCCCTAGACCTTGTCCTCGATGTTTTTCAACCACGAATGAATGAGTGAGCTGTCCAGATTGCGAGAGCATCTCAAATGCCACTGGATTTTTCTCGTAACGAATACAGCTCGTTGGCAGAATGCTCAGTTTTGTCCTGAAAGAAAATTGATTACAAAGAGCCACAATCAAATTTGGGTCAAATGACTTTGTTTCTTCAACGTCTCCTTCTTTTGCATGTCGCCATTTTGAGGTGATAAACACCGAGTCTGTGAGCGGATCAGCAGAACCTGCGCAGAATTCATAGTGAGAGTATTCTTCTCCTTGAGCAACGTTACCTAACTCGTACCCAGCTAGTAGTTTGCTCTTCAAGTCGAGTTTCTCAACAGCTTCCATTTGGGAATCGGTCATGTAGAACAGCCTGCTCGGATACACGCTACCGTCAAAGTTCTTTTCGTTTTCTTGTACATATTCTACCACCTGAACATTTTCACACCATTGATGATAGGATTATTTGGAAGGTTTAATGGCCTATTTGTATCATCTGCTTGAACAAACGGTTTTCTCTTCTTTACGTACCGATGAATGAATCGTGAAGGAGTGCATACTCAGTCAAAGTGGCCTTTCAGATATGATCTATATAGTTTTGAAGATCATTGAACGCTGGTTCCGAAGCTGCCTTTTGCACTACGTCCCTGCACGCCGCGTTACGAACCTTTTTGAATCAAAAAAAAAAATGAAGGCGTAGTCGAAACCACTCAGATGAGCCATTGTTAAGTATCAGGACATTTTTGGAATGATTTTCTAAATAGTATACTCACACCTGCCACTACTTCATATGAGCGCTGGAAGGACCGCAACTACTGATTTTATCCAGACTTTTTCGATCCAAAAAACACTCGTGACTTGGCGACCAGAGGCGCTCAGCAGATACCAAAAATAGATTTGTAAGCAGCGTCTGATTCTCTACAAAATAACATAAAGCTCAACCGAAAAGGGCACTTCGACCAAAAACGCATTCTCTATTAGATAGTTCAATATTTTTCATTGGATAGACGCCTCAAATTATATTTGTTCGAAGGCTGTATCTCAATAGTTTTTTTCCTTCGAACTTCTCTCAAATCCCCGATTCTTAACAATCCGAAATGTTGGACTTTATCAGAACCAAACCTTCTGAGTTTTTAAATGTCAAGTAATTGGTGGTTGATTCGAATGTGAGGTTTCCTATCGATTTCGAGCAAAGCATAATCGCCCCACGAATGATCGCAGATGTTTAGATTTGCATTAGAATTTATTAATACTATGAAATCTAGGACTGGTAGGTTTTCTACAGCATCTCCTTTGATAAAACGGTACTATTACCTCATCCACTAGCATCTTTTCTCCGACGAACATAATTTGGTGTTGGAAAATTTCGTTAATTTTGGCAAACTCAACGAAGGCATCCATGAATTTTTTAACATTGAACTCTCCTTCGTATGCTAGGTATACATCGTTTCTGTAAGGAATCATAGAAGAATTTCTAATTTGACGTTAGTACAAAACCAACGTCTTCACATGCAGATGCATTTTCCAGCCGAACCAGTAAATACCGTTTGCGATACTGCTCGAAAATAATTCGAAGACACTTGGATAGAGGCCTTCGAGTTTGAATTTGATTGCATGCTGGATGAAAAGGAATTTATGATGGTTAGCAAACGAGTTCTCTATTTGTCGTAATTCATTGTGTTCCGTGTGGTGCGTCAGAAGTAGCATGGCAGTGTGTTCAGCTGAAACCGAATAGGAAAAGTTTGCACGGCAGAAACGAGAAATATAGGCAAAATCACTACAAAACCATTACAAATGCACTGCACATGAACTTTAGCTGATGTCAAGTCTTGAAAAGGAACAGGCGTGACCAGAAGTACGCAAAATGTGAGAGCAATACATACAAGAAGTAGATTTATGATTGAGAAGACTAGATAGAAATAGGGTAGGTCTCAAACGCTACCGTCAGCGAAAAGCATGGCTCTACGTCTCTTGCAAAACTTGCTGGTCTCGACATTACCAGACGGCGCTAATCTACGATCATCGTCTTTTCGTTGAACGGCCTTGGTCTTTGTTCCATAGGGGTCCGAACAGCGTAAGTGCAGTTCAGGTGGAAGCAAAAAAACCCCAACATTATACTTTTAAAGCCTTTCTGAAAAGACTTTGGCTAACGCATAAAAAAAACAAATTAATTGTCTCTGAAGTGACTGAAGGAAGAAAGTCCAAATTCAAAATGCTGCGGTGGGATATTCTGACTGGAATGGCTTCATTTTTGATTTACTAGTAAACCAGTCAGGGCTCGGCACGAGCTGGCACCAGGGAAATTCTGAAACGAAGTCCCCTTTAATCTTAAAAGTTTCCTACGAAGTCCCCTTTGACGTGTTTTGCATTTGCTTAGGGCTGCCCTTTACCGCTTTGTGATTGGAGCAAATTTTTCGAGTGCGCAGCAGACCGAGAAATTTTCAGATGGCTATAAAACGCCTTGAACAAAATATTATAAAATTGTTTTTGTTCTGTATGTAAACTTTTACAGTGCAGATCCAATTCATGTAGAAAAGTATGAAAACTTATGTGAGCAAAGGGTCGGTGCCAGCTCAGCTGGCACCCAGCTGGCACGGTGCCAACTAATTCAGAAAAAAGTTCAGCACAGCTTTTGGGCCATGATTCAAGTCCCCCAATGCGCATGCACACACCAAATTTGGTATCATATGATTTCGTTTTGATTATAAAAAAGGCTTTTGTTTGTCCCAGGGGCATGCTCCTGGTGATTTGCCGGCGGCGTGCCGCTGGCATTCTAGCATACGGCAGCATCTAACCCGCAAAAAGGATATCCCTTTGCTTTCCGTCCCAAAGCGACATCCAGCTTGACCCGATGCCAGCTATGCCGAGCCCTGGAACCAGTAGTCTAAATGTGCTATTTGCAAGAGCGTTCGCTTCGGGACTCGCCGCGGTTTCCCGCTACTGGTAGATTTTTGAATTAAGCTAACGATTCTTTATATACTGTGTAAACGATTCTTAGTAACGATTATAACGATTCTTTATAGTAGGTCGTTCGAAAAGTAATCCTTTTTTTAAATGCACGCCACATATCATGGAATCAAGATTTTCAAGAGATCTTAGGAGCATTCGATGCAGTATTTCATCCTCTTTCCAAGGGTTGTAATTTCATTGCATAATTTTTATTGAGCTTTCGAAAAATTGACAAAATCTGTAACTCTGCTTTTTGTCATGCTCAAGTTCGGCAATTTTTTAAAATTTTTGTACCTATTCTCCGAAGAAGTACAAGTGGCAGGTAGATAGAGCAAACCCTATAGGACACAGAGTAATTTTTTTCTTTTCCTTAGCTTGCTTCTTAGTTCTGGAATCAGTTTTAAAATGCCATCAAATTCCATATCTGGTCAAGTCAAACCTCACAGAACAACCATCGGCAAGCAACTTGGGTGTCATTCGACGCAGCTTTTTCTCCTATTTTTAACAGTTGTTTTTGGTTTCCGATTCATTGAGTTTTCCTGGATAAAATCATTATAATTCAGGTTTTCCAGGGCGCCTCCGGCTGTACCCGGAATTTTCAAAAGTTGCTAATCTGAAGCTGTAAACGCTCATTTGCTTTGTAAAATTAGTGTAAAACCATAATCCATTTTTCTAAGTTTCAAAATCCGACGATTTCTTGGTGTTTGATGCATTTATGTCTGAGACGAGCCTGCTAAAATTCGGTGGTTCCATCAAAAAATCTATACAGGAATTATGACGATATCTGAAAAGTAGAAAAAAGTTGTGCTGTTTCCCGTAGGGTTTGCTCTATCCATCCATGACTTGGACTCCTTCAAGGGGTTGTTATAAAAATTTAGAAAAATTGTGAAACTTGACCATCTCAAAAAGCATGGGTCGCAGATTCCGATAATTTTCCCAGGAGTTATTCAATTTTGTGCGGTAATCATATAACCATTAGAAAACGAATGAAATGCTGCATCAAATGCTACCAGATTTTCTTGCATATCTTTGTTCCACGAAATGTGGCGTACGTTTGAAAAAAGCGACATTACTTTCGGAACGACCTAATATATTATATTCTTTATAACATTATATTATATGATATTAACGGGGATATGGTCTATTTTAACCTTGAATTTGCTGCTGGCAAATCTTTATTTCCATTCTGCTTTGTAATACAGTAATATAAAATCGCTGTTATCATCATATTTGGCTTTTGTCCATAGCGAAGATCTAGTAGTAGAATCGATTAGCGATTTGTTGGTTGATAGGATGCACTTGACTACGCGTAAACCAAGTCTGAATATTAGCATAGTAAGAGAGGGAAAAGCAGCTTAAAGCTTACACTGTAATTTATATGGATTTACTGAACAGTGAAAAATTATCTCAAAAGCTTTTCTACAGCCAGAAGGCGCAGAAGAATTTTTTTTTGCAGAATCAACGAGGCTATGTTTTACGGTGGCTCATTATGTAAGATTGAAGAGTGCCACAGCTACAGGGCTTTTCAACCTGAGAGTCGCAAGTTTCGCTTGCGCGGCTCCTCCAACGCGGCCGCCTCGCTCAGGCCGCGCGCGGCGTTTGCTGCGTATCGCCCGGATTTCGCCAAGCTTCAGTCGACGCGCAGCCAGCGCCACGAACGCTGCGCGGACCTAAGCGTGGCGTCCTAGCGGGGCGGGTGGGACACTCAGCTTGTAAAGCCCTGTACAAGCTATCTCAACCGCAGTGTCGGATGCACCACAAGTTCGGATTTTGCGCGCATGCCTCGCCTGGACCCTGCGCCGCGCACGAAGTTTTCATCTGATCGTTTTCTCATGCCTGAGCTGAGAAAGGGCTCCAGTTAAACTTTAATAGCTAACTAGCGGATAATGGGATAATACTCAGAGAACATGTTTGCGAACGCGGCGCAAGCTCAAGCGCCGCGCGGGACTCGAGACACTGGTGCATTCGACAATGCAACTGAGATAGACTCTACTTTTAATACGTACCTTGCAGTTTTTTGACAAAGATCCAACTCGACGATTTGTCCTAGACCTTGTCCTCGATGTTCTTCAACTACGAATAGATGATTGAGCTGCCCAGATTGCGAGAGCATCTCAAATGCCACTGGCTTTTTCTCGTAACGAATGCAGCTTGAGGGCAGAAGGCTGAGTTTCGTCCTGCAAAAGATTTTTCAAACAGAGCCCCATTAAAATTCGGGACAAACAACCTTGTTTCTTCCACGTCACCTTCTTTCGCATGCCGCCACTTTGAGGTGATAAACTCCGAATCGAGCGGATCAGCAGAACCTATGCAAAATAGATGATAGGCATGATTTAATCGTGAAGGTAGTAAGGTAAGGTTATATACCTAGCTCGTAACCAGCAGGTAGCTGGTTGCTTAATTCAAGTTTTGCGGTAGCTTCAACTTGAGAGTCCGTCATGTAGAACACCTTGGTTGGATGCGGGGTGCCGACAAACTTCTGTTCATTGTCTTGCACATATTTTAACACCTGAACAGTTTTGAGTAACTGATGATAGATCGACTTTTTGTTGAGTAAGCCTGATGTTCTGTTTGCATTGAGCTTTTTAACCAATTTCTTTCGCGAAAACCTAATGATGAATAAGGAAGAGAGCGGGGGGAGGGGAAAGGGGTGGGGGTGGCGGAGAATGCGATTTTCATTTCTTTAGCGAACTTTTTTTGACTCAAGTCTCCTACTCTAAATCACTTAATGAAAAATGTTTTTGAGCAACTATCCCTCTGGGAGTTTCTCACAGGCCGAATGCACCCTAATGCGCCCAAATACCTAAAATCTCTCTTCACATTTCTCATTCTACCCAAACACATTCCGCGCGTCTAAAATATCAAAGGCAGCGCGGAACATACATATGCGAGGAGCATGAGAAATGTGAAGATAGATCAAAGAGATTTTCAGCAAAATCTGGCTGATAGCTTGGGAAACTTGAAAATGGTCTAAGATTTATAGGTGATTTGACCGAACGGACTGGACCCGTGCAGTCAACGAATCGACTCACAAGTTTATTCAAGAAACTACTTTGCGTCTGTTAGTACTTGAATTTATCAGATAAACTTTTTTAGAAGTTGAACAATAATTTCTTTTAAAAAGGCATGGCTTCCGCCAAGTAGTTTTCTTTGGAACACAAATTTTGTCGCCGCCTTTCCGTGATTTATCCCCCAAACAGTGCTTTCTAAATTGCGATTCAAAAGAGTATTCTATTAGATCAACTTTGCAGAAAAAGATTTCCGCTGTCGTCTCGCCTACTTTTTACAAAATTTCCACTACAGAACAGCAGAAATTTGGAAAGCAATCCTAGAAAAACAATTTCTAGGATTCTAGGTTCTTACATAAATCAAGAAAATGTATTTGTGCATTACCTCGTCCACTAGCATCTTATCACCGATGAACAGATTTTGGTGCTGAAAAATCTTATTGATTTTGGCAAACTCAACGAAGGCGTTCATAAAATAATCAACGTTGAGCTCTCCATTGTGGGCTAGGTATACATCGTTTCTGAAAAACATCGGTCAAAGACATGAAATCGGTGTGGGTGACAACCAAAAAACCAACATTTTTACATGCAAATGTATTTTCCAACCAAACCAGTACGTGCTATTTGCGATGGAGAATGAATATAATTCGAAATCACTTGGATAGAGATTTTCCAGCTTAAATTTGATTGACTGTTGAAGGAGAAGGAATTTGTAATGATTAGCGAATAAGTGCTCTAGTCGTCGTAGTTCATCGGGCTCACTATGATGCGTCAGAAGAACCATGGCGGTACTTTCAGTATTTTAGCTGAAAGTATATGCTGAGAGAAATGTTTGTACTGTGGACAAATCGGGAAATATATGCGAATTTACTACAAAAACATTGCAAATGCAATGACTTTGAACTTGGAACTATGGTCAAGTCTTGAAAATCCATTGGCCTGACAGAAAGTATTCATAATGTAGTAGAAGTAAAAGTGGGACAAGCTTAAAATGCTATCTGTAACAAAAATCATAGTCTCATTAATGCGTCTCTTGCAAAACTTGTTGCAGTGTGTACATTACCAGACAGCGCTTATCTATGACCAAATCGCCTTTTCATTGAACGGCGATAGTCTTCCTTGTTCCAATGAGCACGAACGCAGTCCTAGTGGGAGCAAAATTGAAATTATCTCCAGGGCTCGGCACGAGGTGGCTAGTTGAGAATGCAAAAAACGAAGTCCCCCTTGGCTTTTGCGAATTTTTACGAAGTCCCCTTTGACCCTAGACCAGGGCTCGGCACGAGGTGGCTTCGCGAAATTGCAAAAGATGAAGTCCCCTTTGACTTCAATGAAATTACGACATCCGCCACGAGATATTCGAAGAGAAAATACATGAAAAGGAACGGAACAAAGCAACAACAGAAAAAAAAACGAAAAAGAATCAACGAACACAAGCGATGATATCCGTATTCTCCGTATTGGCGGCATGATGTATCCATCGTGCAGCAATACGCGCCTAGAGCAGCCTTTCCGCCGCCATTCAGAATTTTTAAAGGGCTATAACTAAGCGGGGAGAAGGGGGTTTGAGGCGGTTTAGGAACCAATTTGTAGGGTTCGGGATGTAGATGAAGAGTATGTAAAGAAAGTAGAAAAATTATGTGAGAGAGGAAAAATTTATGACTTTTTCTTTCCCAAGCCACCTCAGGTGGCTATCCAGGTGGCTTGAAAGCCACCTAACTCCAAAAAAAGTTGAGCACGCCTCTAGTTCACATAATTTTTTCATAATTTTTCATACTTAGTCCTCACTCCCCATTGCGCAACTACACACCTATTTTGGTGTCATTTCATCTTCACTTCGCTGTAAACAAACCCTTTGTTTATTTGCGGGCGGCAAGCCGGCAGCGTGCCGGCCGCAGATCGAAAGACAACGTTATGCTCTTCCGCAAAAACGATATCCCCTTTGCTTTTTCCCCAAAAACGATATCCAGCTTGCTTGGTAAGCCACCTGTGCCGTGCCCTGATTATCTCGAGCAATCTGACAAGGAAGTTACTCAACATTCTTACATCCAGCGTGGGTCTGGACATCATGCTTTTTTTCCAGCCGCTTATTTTTCGTTTTTATCTGAGGCTGAGAACTAGCTAATCATGGTTCTTCGAATTTTTCTTTGTATTTCTATATTCTCCGGTGCAGCTTAAGTTTATGTAATACAAAAATAAAATGAAATCCTACCAGAGATGTACGCTTTACTGGTTGGGACATCTTGCTATATTCATTCGTCTTCCCGTGGAAAGCCTATGTATTTTTTTCTCGGCTTAGGTCAGAAAGACAAAAATTTCTAAGCATTTGTCAAAGCAGTCTGGACTTCTCAATAAGCAATTCTTTTACTAATGTGAGTAAAACTGCAGATTTCCAGCCTATTACAAGTGCTTGTTTTCGAGAACCAAATTTGACTTTGCTCTAATAAAATTTCACATTAAACCCATTCTTAGACTTTTATGTCAAGCATACTTTTGATGTATGTCGTTGTTATTTTCAATTTTGCAATTTTTAACATCAAATCTCTTTATCGCCAATGTGTCGCATAATACACTAGAATAAAGTCGCTGTCATCATCATATTTCGCCTTTGTCCATAGTGGAGATCTAGTGGTAGAGTCGATGAGCGATTTGTTGAATAATTCGATGCATTTGATACACGCAAACCAAATCTAAATATTGGTATAGTCAGAAATTGAGTAAGTAGCTTTACTTAATGGCAGACCTCGTGTAAATAGAAATATGCAAAGAAACGAATAGAACAGTTGGAAAATTAGTTGCAAAAATCTTCTACAGCTGTCAGTAGAAGCGTGTACAGAAAATTATTGTTTTGTGCAGATATTTACACATTTGTTTTGGTGAATTACTAAAATAAAAAGTGCCCTAGCTGTGCTTGACACATACCTGGCAGTTTTTTGACAATGATCCAACTCAACGATTTGCCCTAGACCTTGTCCCCGATGTTTTTCAACTACGAATAAATTACTGAGCTCTCCAGTTTGCGAAAGCATCTCGAATGCAACCGGCTTTTTCTCGTAACGAATACAGCTTGATGGTAGAATGCTCAGTTTCGTCCTGAAAAAAGAATTATTACAAAGAGCCACATTTCAGGTCAAATGATTTTGTTTCTTCAACGTCTCCTTCTTTTGCATGTCGCCATTTTGAAGTGATAAACTCCGAATCTGTGAGCGGATCAGCAGAACCTGCGCAGAATTCATAGTGAGAGTATTCTTCTCCTTGAGCAACGTTACCTAACTCGTACCCAGCTAGTAGTTTGCTCTTCAAGTCAAGTTTCTCAACAGCTTCCATTTGAGAGTCTGTCATGTATTATAGAACAGCTTGCTCTGATGGACGCTACCGTCAAAATTCTGTTCGTTGGCTTGTACATATTTTATTACCTAAGCACTTTGCAGCCTGATGATTGATTCAATTTTCGGAAGGTTCAATGGTCTATGCGCATCAGTCTATTTGAGCAAACAGTCTTGTGAAGGTTAATGTTCATCTAATAAATTATTCGAATTATATTAGGTTGTCCTGAAAGTTTTGTACGTTTTTTCAAGCCGCTATAAAACCATGCACAATAAAGACCTGAATGAATTTCAACATGCATTCGATGCAGCTTTCCATTCCCTTTCTTATGGATGCATTTGCGATCCACAATCTTCTGTGCTTTTTTGATAATTGCCAAAATTTTCCACCCGTCAATTTTATCTGCTCAAAGCTGGGCCAATTTTTAAAAATTTCATTCCAAACTTTTGGAAGGGATCAAGTATGGATCAAATAGAGCAATTCTCGGGCTACAAGGTGGTGTTTTTAGTTTCTCCTAATCTGCCGGTTTTAGCTTCAAAATATTATTTCTTCGGAGGTCTCGATTTTTGGCAAACTCATGAAACACGCAGCTGCAGCAAAACATGAAAGCTTTTAAAGTTTCTGCAAAGTGAAACCTGATTCCGATTAAAATTAATTATGCAACATAAGTAAGTTTGATTTGCTTTGAAAAAGCAGCTTTTTGGAATTTTCGGTATTTTTACATGGTAAAAATAGTCAAAAAGCCGCGGTTTTCATCAATTAAATAATTATAACGGACTTGGTAAACGTGACCCATGTCTAAAATTGATACAATATAGCCGAAGGTTGGCTCTACTCAACAATCATCAGCGCTCTTTGAGAATACCAGTATAAAAATTTTTAAAATTTAGAGAAAATTTGGCGTTACTGCTGATGTGCTCAAAAAGCCATAGCGATAACATTGCAAAGACAGGGTAGGTCAGAGAGCAAACATAACTGTAAGAAGGAGGATAAAAATCTGAATCAAATGGTGCCCAAGTTGTCCATCGATTAGTGAGTTCTGTGAGTTTTAATGAGCGATGAGAAAAACGGACAAAACTTTCGGGACAACCTAATATTTGTTTGAAGGCTATTTTCAACAAGTTTTTTCTTCAAATTTTTCTCAAGTCCCCGATTTTTAAGGAACCGAATTTTCGGACTTTATTAGAATCTTCCTGAGTTTTCGAATTTCGAGTACAATTTACTCGAATGTTAAGATTTCCTATCGATTCGAGCAATGCCTAATCGCTTTCAGGAATGATCACAGATGTTTAAATTTGCATTTAGATCCAATACTATGAAAATTAGAACTGTTAGATTTTCTACATGAGCTCTTCATTGATATTAGGATACTTCACATTACCTCATCCACTAACATCTTTTCTCCGCCGAATAGAATTTGGTGCTGGAAAATCTTATTAGTTTTGGCAAACTCAACGAAGGCATCCATGAATTTTTTAACATCGAACTCTCCTTTGTAGGCTAGAAATACATCGTTTCTGTAAAGAAAAACGTTAGCGAAGAGAAATTCCGTTTTGGTGGCGAGTACGAAACCAACGTTTTCACATGCTGATGCGTTTTCCAGCTGAACCAGTAAATGCCGTTAGCGACGCTGCACGAAAATAATTCGAAGACACTCGGATAGAGATTTTCGAGCTTGAATTTGATTGCTTGTTGGATATAAAGGAATTTATGGTGGTTAGCAAATGAGTGCTCTATTCGTCGTAGTTCATTGTGATCCGTGTGGTGCGTCAGAAGTAGCATGGCAGTGTGTTCAGCTGAAACTGAGCGGGAAATGTTTGCACGACAAAAGCGAGAAATATGGGCTGAATCACTACAAAAACATTGCAAATGTTGCAAATCAGCACGCGCAATCAGCATCAATCAGCACACGCAAACGCTTTTCTTCTGAACTTGCTGAAGTTTTGAAAATGCATTGGCGTGGCCAAAAGCACCCGAAATGTAAGGGCAATATGTACTAGAAGTAGCTTTCTAATCGAGAAGACTAATTAGGACTGGATAATGGAATGCTATCATTGAAGCAAAGCATGGTTCTCCAGCGGGACCTTGCAAAACTTGCAGCGATCTATAGTATCTACAAAGCGCTAATCTACGTCCAAATCGTCTTCTCGTTGTATCGCGTTTTTCTTTGTTCCATAACAGTCCAAAGAGCACAAGTGCAGTCCGAAAACAAAAATACCTAAATTATTTCGAGCATTTCGTAAAAAGTAGGGGACGAGTGGTAGTGGTATGAGGCGCCGCTATGATTACCGGACTCAGGTTCAATCCCCGCCCATGGGCCGACCAAGCCCTCTACCCTCCGGGGCCGGTAATTTAGTACTGGAGTAATCTGGGAGGATAAAAGTACTGACTTGGTAAACGGTTGGCCCCCGCAAGTCACTGTAACAGCACACGCATACAATTTTCTGCTCCATTTACCTCGATTCAAGCTGCCCTATTTGTCATCCGGAATAGGGCTCGGCACGAGATGGCTTTTGGAAAATGCAAAAAAACGAAGTCTCTCTTGACTGTCGCGATATTTTACGAAGTCCCTTTTGACCCTCACCCCTAAATGTAAAAAAAAACCCTTAAAAAACGAAGCATCGACTATAAAAAAACTTCGCAATTTTTGTGTCTCTTCAGCCTCAACGATACCCCCTTTGCTTTTCGTCCCAAAAACGATATCCAACCTTGCAAGCCACCTGTGCCAAGCCCTGACCCGGAACGGACAATTAGAGATTGAATTAGATTTTGAAAATTTAGGAACAAAAGAGGCTGGTTAGTTCTTTCCTGTAGATGCTTCGAGAAGGCCTGCTTGATGATCTGTTCCCGGATTTTTGCCTACTTGATCACTATCGATTCAGAATGGTAGTAACGGTATTGTCTGCGCATATATCTCGTTAATTGTTTGTTCTTTTGAATCTCTACCTCAAAACTTAACATGTAGGCATAACTAACTGTATTCTATATGACTGAATGTATAACTCGTAAATATTAAATCATTTATGCGTTGGATCAATGTCGGCACATCGATGACAACATTTGTGTCGCAGTATTGATCTTTATCATTAGTATCTATTTCGTACAAGTTAGCCGGAAATTTCGGACTACTCTTTCTTTTCCTCCTCTTTCTTTTCACCCTCACCCTCCTGGAGAAAATTTTTTGAAGCGCTAAAATGTGACTTCATTAGGTTCTGTTACCTTCTTTTCTTCTTTCTTCTCTTCTTCCTGTAAACATAGTCATCATATTTTTGCTATAACATTTCAATTACTTACTTTTGGCGCATCTTCTTTCTTCTCTTCCTTCTTTTCGCCTTCTCCCTCCTTCTTCTCTTCATCCTGGAAGAATAACATCAGGAAGTGGGCAATACTGGATTGAATTTGTGAGCTTTGTAGTCTTATTTTCATATGCGATTTATCCCACTGGTGACTGCGTTTTTTACATCAAGAGCATAGTAAGAATAATGGTACTGTCAGAAAAAAGGCGCGAACCTGGGGCGCAAACGCGGTTTTATTAGCCTCAGAGCGCAGTAGGCACAACTTCCCCCTTTGCTTCAACCAGATTGGCTGCTGAAAGGCGAGGCTTCATGACATAGGAGGCGAGGCGACTGCTCGCGTTCGCGACGCAAACTGCGCCTCCCTCACGAACATGTTCTCTGAACATTCTCTAGACTTAAATTGGGTCATGGAGCCCCGCCTTTCAGCCGCCGATCTGTTTGAAGCGAAGGATACAACGGTGAAGATAAGGCGCACGCCGCTTCGCGCCTGTTCAACTTGTTGCATTTGCGCCTTCGTCCGCCAATAGCCTATAGACGAAACTTATGGAAAAATGAAACCAAAGCAATAATTTTGTCCTTATCAGTGATAGCTACATTACCAGCAACGATAACCGGGGCAACACCGGCTACCAGTTGATTCAACCGGCTTGGCGGCTGAAAGGCGGGGCTTCGTGACCTGATTAAGGCTAGGTGATCATCAAAGGGCACGCGCGCGAGAGACGCATGCGTAGCGGAAAGAGCGGCCTTAATAAATACAAAGCCGCGCCTTCCAGCCACCAAGCCAGTTGAATCAAAGGTTATATACGGCCGAACCCTCAGTGATCATCAAATGAAATAAACTATCCAATAAGGTACGTCTAGATTTTCCACCACATTCATTTCAAACGTCATTTTCTATCGTTTCGGCCGACACAAATAAACCAACCTTCTTTTCCTCTTTCTTCTCCTCTTCTTTCTTCTCTTCCTTCTTCTCTTCCTCTTTCTTCTCTTCCTTTTTCTCCTCCTCCTTCTTCTCCTCTTTCTTCTCTTCCTCTTTCTTTTCCTCCTTCTTCTCCTCTTTCTTCTCTTCCTCTTTCTTCTCTTCCTTCTTCTCTTCTTTCTTCTCCTCTTTCTTTTCACCTTCTTTTTCACCAGATGGTTTGACTTCGCCCTCCTGCCAAGTGCTTCACTTTGATGCATGTCAGAGTATAGTTGACTGTACAGATAAGGTTGAACGCTCGCGAGCGTATTTGCGAGCTAAGGCTCCCGCCAGAGTGCCGAAGTTATGCCAGCGCTACGCCAGCACTTCGATCGATAACGTGTATTTCGTTGGGGCGGGGCCAGCTGACGTCCCCAACGAAATACACGTGTATCGATCGAAATGCTGGCGTAGCGCTGGCATAACTTCGGCACTCTGGCGGGAGCCTAACATTGGCATTAGCGCGCATGAGTTATCGTAGCGCCCGTATTCGGCAGCCGCGTTGCGGCACGCTCGCGTGCGCTCAACCTACAGCGACCCGGGCGGTTTCGTGCATTCGACTTCAACTGGGCTTACCTTCTTTTCTTCTTTAGGAGCCTCTCCACCTGGAGCTGCTGCTGCTGGAGCACCCGCAGTCGGAGCTCCAGGAGCGGCTGCAGGCGCGCCTGGAGGTGGCGGCTTGTTCATCATGGAGGGTGCTTGTTTTGGTTTGCTACATCAGGATACGAGGATTACTTGTTAGACCATCGACTGTAAGACTTACGCTTTCTTTTTGCCGCATAAAGGTAAGAATGTAATGATTGTAAGCAGGACGGCGATCAGCTGCTGAAGCTCGAGTATCATACTCGCAACGGCCTGCGCCAAGTGAGATGTTAGTACAAATGGGCACTCAACCGCACCACATTAGTTTATAAAGCAGTAACTATCATCGTTATCATAAAAATTGTTTCACTTTTCACACATAGGAGAGACAAACAAGCTGTTTTTGTTCGGAGCAAACACTGATTAGGATTCCTATAATGATAGACTGCATACAGTCAAAGCACAAGGTCATATTCTTAGATTCTGGTGCAAGTTGTCCAGAGGTAGGCTGCAAAGAACGTTTTTTCTTTAGCTGGCCAACCTCTGAAAATAGTTATTCAAGACATTGCTGTCCGTTAAGGGCCGGGCATACTTCACGCGACTTCAGTCGCGACGCGATTTGGAAAGTCGCCAGAAGTCTTCAGTATCAATACTAGCAAACTGCACATGCATAGTGTATATAAATTACGTGGATTGATAAGATGCTCTATCTTCTGTACATTTAAAATATGCTAACAGTGAGTTAAGGACAGTTGGAATAACGTGAAGTATGCCTGACCCTTTAGGGAGAAGTTTATTGTATCCTGAACACCTTGTTTGCACAATTATTCATTAGAATAGGCGGAAACGGAAGATTTGTTTGCAAAATAAGTGTTCCCTTTAGCACACTAATTACATCTGTGAAATCTGTATTGCTTTGACAAAAGTGTAAAGGATTAAAGGGGGTGATATATTGGGTTGAGCTAGAGGAATGAGAATTTTCGTACTTTGTTACAACCTTTCCGCATTTGGGATATATCAATGACAGATATCTTAGCGGCCAGGTCTTCGGATTAATTTCGCCCATAATCATGGAAAATATTCTCAAAATTTTGACCACCATGTTTGCATTAAGTAACTTCAAATCCTCAGACTTTTCATTCTGAAGTTCTGAGATAAATTTGATTACATAAGGACAAAGCAGGTCTTGCACAGCGCTAATCTCTTTTCAATTCTCAGAGCTAGCTTTCGGGCGCTTTTAAATTGCTTTTTTTTAAAGCCCTTAATTTTTGGAAAATTGCGTACAAAATACGTCAAACCCTACAAAATCCTTGATGCTCTGAAGTTCCAAAGTCGTACTATTAGACCTTGGTTTTGCAAAATCTTAAGCGTTTATGCGATATCATATTTTATTGTAGGCAGCTATCCCCCAGCTGCAAAGTGTGAACGGCAAACGCTTTGGGTGCAAAATCCTGAATTTATTTCAGCAGTCATATAGGAACTTGGTTGAAAATTGTAACCGTTGAAAAGAGAAAACGATTTGGATAGGTCCAGGAAGAGGGATGAAGTTCTCATCACTTCTGAATTATTGCTAGTATACTTCAAGAAAAAGTTCCCACACGCACTTTGATACTATGATCGTTCAGCACGCTAAAGGAAATTCCGTTATAGGAAATCTCAAACTATGACACCACCCATCGTAAATCCAGAAAGTGATATTGGCAGGTTAAATCAGTTCATATCAATTAGGCGGAACCGCAATTGATCGTGTTGTTTTATTGTTGACTAATAGCTTGTTCCAATTACCAATGCACAACTCTGGATGTTCCTTTCTGGGCAGACTTACATTGAAAAAGGAAGAAACTCTAAAACTGCGCCATGCATTTTTGAGGATGACATCTCCTATTTCCTGTGTTAAGCTGACAAACTCGAATCTGGTAAGGGTACTCTTATTCTGTCATACACTGTTTTTGATCCTAGCTGCTTCTGCTCTAATTCTGTCTCATTGACAATGAGTGATCTTGATCGATTCCTCGATCACCTTATGCAATCCCTCACTCACTGCAGGTGCTGACGTCATGAATGCGAGAGGATAATGTCCGTGCTTAGAGCGTGGAGGGTCGAAACGACTAGCGTAATCTCCCACGAGTCTCGGTGAGAAAAGTGGGCGGACGTAATGAAGCTGACCAATCAGAGCAGCACTAGCTCGTCGAACGTGTGAAATTAGCGTGAGAATAGTAGGCGGTCGTCTCTTGGACAATTTCCAACGGTAAAATGCTGCATTCTTGCTCGAGACGGCTTTCGAAAGATGTTGCCCAAGGTGGAACTAGAACTAAAACAGCGCAGTGATCAGAGGAGAGATCTATGTGGAGCGAAGCCCACCAGGGTAAGCTTTCAATAATAAATCGTGCGGACATAGCCACCCATACTCTTAGCAGAATGCAAAGGTGGAGCTGGAACTGAAGAAGCCGCGCGAGAAGGAAGTCAATCTGATCTTCACGGACTCGTGGGTAAGCACTGGCTTCATTTTTTGGCTCTTAGCTGATAATCGGCGATAGGAAGTCATCATCTCAGTTATGCAGTGGGGAAGGCGATTTGATGTGTTAGCAGATTATTTGTTTTTTATGGTAACTTGGTGGAAGAACAACCTCAGACCTGGTTTAGTTAACAGTTCAGCTCTGTTCATATGATGCAGAGTTGCCGCTAATTTCTCACATAGCACATCGATTACGGTGAAGCAGCGTCGACCAAGGGACTTTTGGTGGCAACTGCCGTTGCAGCCTCATTGGCTCAGGGGCAGAGCGTCTGTCTAGTAAACAGAAGGGCGCTGGTTCGATTCCAGCATGAGGCATCCCTTTTGTGAGCATTCCTAGCACTTGCCAGATGATGCTTGCAACGAAATTTGAGTTGGCATTCTTTCTTCAAAGACTGTGTTTTTCAATATGTTTGCTATTTTAGCGTGTATATAACGACTGCGACATGTCTTCCGTTGTTCGTAGATGTGAAGAAGGAAAAGAGATGCTAGTTTACCGCGGAAAACGTTCTGATGGAAGCACCATGTCGAGTGATTCAAGCAGCATCGCACGCAGTGATGACAATGAGGTTGGCATGTGCAGATTGTAAAAACGTTCGGAGCGAAACTTTCAGAGATCAGAATCGACTTTATCTGACTTCTTCTCTGGATCCGATCAAGTGTTCAATTTAGTTGAAGAGGAAAGTGATCGTGATGTGAGCGTGAGTGAATATAGGAATTAATTTGTAACCTTGTAGAGGTTAGGCGCTACCTTAGGGGCTAATAGTCCTCGCATGCGCAGTAGCATGCGCAGTAGCATGCGCGGAAGGGTTGGCAAGCGCCAGGATCATCCGCTTGGCAGGCTAGCCGTCGCATGATTGGTCAGTCTATTGATTTGACCAATCATGAAGCGAATAAGTCTGGCGCCTGTCATATTAGTCCGCGGAAACGGTGCTTAGTGATATTATTCGCCATTCTATACAGAGCCCACCAAATGATCCATCTCAAGAATCCTTGCTTCCCGCGGAACTGGCTGCGGCACCTAATGTGAGTTTGCTTTGAGTTGATAATGTTCAAGCTCTCACTATAACTCAATCAAATAAGTGAGTGAAAGCGCGAAAATCTGTTGTACAGACCGTGCGCGCGAGACCAGCATTACTGACTTGGCCATTTGTTCACGCGCAAATGTCGTAAAATCTCGCCGCCGTAAGCACACTACTAAGCGGAAAATCTACCAGACTACAGTCTGCCCCAATCCTAACCAGGCCAAAATCGGCATGGCGGGAGTCCGCGTCGCGAGGGTTTCGCGCCACATCTGCGGCTAGCTAGTCTGCTCTCTCCTCGATCTCTTCACTCTCTGCGACAGCGCGCGTATGCAGCGCAATCCCCTAGCGCTGCGAGCGCGCAAATTCAGCCGACGGTTCCGCCTGATCCCGATTGGGGCAGACTGTATAGGGCATCCTAACCACCATCGGTCGTGGGTACACTGGGGATCACGCATCGCGCGCGCCCGCGAGCCAAGGAGATTGCACTCCGAGCGGAAGCTGATATACATTGCGCACACTCACGACTGCGATCAATTTCTTTTGCAGTTTCGGTTGTTCTTCTTTCTTTGTCATGCGTCTGCTCTCCGACGTATTTGCCTTGCCTATAAAGTTGATTTTAGTTCATGGGGCGACGTAGTTTTGAAGGTAAGCTTGGAAACAATAACATTGCGTGCTGTCCTCTGCACAAAATGACGTTTTTAGTTTATGCTTATGTTTCTGGCATGCGGAGATGAAAACTATTCCTATCGCTATCGAAAAAGCAGGTACGAATTGTTGTTTTTGTATCAAAGATATGACTGTAATGTTTCAGAGTCTTCTCAACGGAGTTCAATGTAAAAATAACGATTCCTCCCTGCTTTTTCGATAGCGATGGGAATACTTTTGCATCTCCGCACCTGAAACATAAGCATAAACTAAAAATGTCATTTCGAGAAGAGAACAGCATGCAATGTTATTGTTCCGCAGCTTACCTTCAAAACTATGTCGCCCCATGAACTAAAATCAACTCTGTAGACAAGTCAAGTACACTGGAGGAGAACAGATGCATGAGAAAGAAAGAAAAACAACCGAAACTGCAAAAGAAATTGATCGCAGTCGTGAGTGTGCGTGATGTATATCAGCTTCCGCGCTCGGAGTGCGATGTCCTTCGCTCGCGGCGCGCGTGCGGTGCCTAATCCCGGTGTACCCACGGTCGATGGTGGTTGGTATGCCCTATAGATCCTCCACTGTATTGTTTGCATTCAAAAGAATGTAGAACGAAATCTGCAGGCCTGCTCATCTCCAAAACAGAATCGCTATTGCTGGTATTGCTACGAAACTTATAAGGCTATGTGTGTTGCACAAGGAAAAACTCCTCCAGGAGTTTATAGTCGCGGTCTGTGGCGTGGTCACTGTATGAGGGATGCGAATGGCATGACGACGTGAGTTGTCTCCTCCTCATTGTCAGCATCTGTGACGGGCGCCAGACTTGTACGGTTTATTCGGCCTTCCCATTCGCTATTAGTCAGTTTAGTGATTTGACCAATAGCGAATGAGTAGACCGGATATACCGAATACTGTTTTGCTTCATGATTGGTCAAGTCAGCGATATGACCAATCAGGAAATGGATGAAACGCCCAAGCGGGTAAGTCTAGCGCCTGCCATAGGCTTGCACGATAATCTTGCATTCAAAGAGGGACCTCTCCATAAAAGGCATGAAATCTCTCATATCACAAACTTTTGTTTCAGATGCCCCCACTTGTGGTTCACGACATGCACGCATTGTGGAGCTACAGCAAGCTCGGCGCATAGTCCGGACTTCTGCCCAGTGGTGGAATTTGCAAGTCTCAACGTCCGCGACCAGTAAGATCTTGGCAACGCCATCAGAATAATTTCACAATCAGACTACTTGCTATCACGGTCATGCGAAATTTCACTTGAACCTTACTAATTTGTGCACTTTTGTGCTGTTTCATTCATAACTACCAAAAGCTGGTTTCACCAGGATTTGCCAGTCTTGATCTTTTTCGTAATAAAGGATGAATGAGGTACTATCGGTCCAACACTTCTGTGTGTGTTTTTTTATAGTAGAGCCAGCACTATATGCCTACAGGCCATTCATTGCACGCAAAACTGCGGACGTATCGCGTCTCCCTGATCGCATGCTCTTTCGTTTGTCTTACTATCTGCGATTTCTCCCAAGCACGAGCTCTCTTGGTTGGACGCAACGACGCCCAGTCTTTGCGTGTTATGAATCGCCGATACACTATGATGCAGACTTCCGCCTCAGACCAACTTTGCACCAGTTCGGGGCAGCCCGTCCTCCAACCTGAAATGTATTAATAGAGGAAAACGAAAGTGACTCATTCACACTCAAGTAAGGATGTTCAAAATTAGTGACAGTGCTATGAAAATCAAGGGAACGTTTTGACTCGTTGAGACTCGTCTACGCAAGTACGCATGCAACATCAGCAGGATCAATCGATCGATGCAGCATAAAAGCCTGATACTGTGACATTTCAAATTTCGCGCTTCCACATGATACTCAGTTTGTGAACTTCTCAAGCCTGAGAGATGAAAACTCGGCGTCCTTTCGGAATCTGCTCATTGCAGGTTTTACTTGTTTCTGTTCGCATCTTATCTCATCCACTGTGCCCGATATTCGTTTTGCGCAACATTTGATAAATGAACGTGCAAGCGCGGTTTATTGCCGGCAGTCATAGGCAAAAAAAGTTTTGCTGAAGCACCATCACGACTTGTCCTAAACCCTATATTGTGAGGAGGACATAATTTCACAGCATTCTGAATTCTTGCTATAGGTTTATCGCGTAGTGGTGTGGCAGTCTTCCCTTGTTGCCTTCCTGTTCTCCTCGACCTGTGGCCGTAGTCGTCAACGAACCCAGTGGGTTCCGGAACCCACTGGGTTAGTGCTTTTGATGAATATCGATTTTACTCTGGAGTAGAAACGATATTCATCAAAAGCACTAACCCAATGGGTTCCGGAACCCACTGGGTTCGTTGATGAATACGGCCACTGATTTCTTAGAGGGTTTGAAGGAGAACGCTAAGAACATTTTCGCCTCCGATGATAGCGCAAGCGAAGTTTTGCGTGGGAAATTTGATAAACTGTCGACCAACTATCGGCGATTCGTTGACCGCACGATCTGCTCAAACGCTGCGGACCACGCGCGGCGCGGCTGAATTTTCGCGAGAGCGCGACTTCTACAATGGCGAGTTTGTACTGGGGCAGGCGTTTTACCTCGCGGCGCGTACTCCCCGGTGATGTCCAGTCCGTGCGGTCAACGAATCAACTATATCTCTATCTTCTCAGACAATTGGAGCGTGCAGCGCGCTTGCAGTCACACGGTGGCGTAACACCCAGTCCGCGGATGGCGGAACATTGGATGCCGCGCCGCTGCTGCTAGTCCGCGGATGGCTGCCATTTTCCAGTTTTTCGTTGCGCTTCTACCGCAGGTCTTTATATCGTTTGTTCCCCAGCAAGGTTCCCATAGGTACCACGTCATCTCGCTGCCTTTCGCACTTTTAAACGTGTTAACCTCGGGCACTTCCGTTGAAATCTAGGATAAACGTGTCAAAAAGAGCGAAAGGCAGCTTCGCACCACGTACGCACGCTGGTTCACATGGGAACCTCTCTGGGGCACAGACGGTAATCAACTTCACACTTCGTACGCCAAAAATATGAATTCGCATTTGAATCCAAAAATCAAGTCCAGCACCCATTCGCAATGCTACCGAAGGTTGGAAGCAAAAAACAACTTCTGTTTCTTCGACTACTCATACACTAAGATGCGATACCTAACCTCTTGGATGATGATGCAGCCTGACCACTGCGTCGTACACTACACGGGTGTCCCTTGCGCTTACAGCATGTGATTCTTGCAGGCGCGCGGGCCGCACAATTAGAGTATAAAGGCACGCCCGCGGCGTGCTAAAAAATTAGGTGCCGGGGTAGCGAGATCGAGCATAAACGTAGCGCGCGGGTCGTGCGTTGGCCATTAATACGCGCGCCGCATGCATCAAACGTCTAGGATGGCACGCGTTTGGAGTACTGCCGGACACGCCCACAAACAAGGCACGGGCTTTGCCGCATTGACCATGAACGCGCGTGCGCCGCACGCTCCAACTGTCTGAGCCACAACATTAGCGGGTTTGACGGAAATTTGCTTTGAGCAAGCTGCTAACAATAAGACTTCGCCCTTTTGTTCTAAATCGAGATATCTTACGAGGAAAGGGTACTAACAAGGGAAGTCACTTAACTTACAAGGGAACGATACTCGGTGTCCGTGGCCTTTTGTGATGAGATGTATACCATTACATTCGTCTTGGAACGCTGATTCCAAATCTTGCTTCCGTTTCTGCTAATCGCTTCAAAGAATTTATCATGGATCGCGCGGAGTTTGGCTGCCCAGTGAAATATATTCGGAGCGGCCAATGCCGTAGGTACGCTGTGGTCTAGTGGTTAGTGCGATAGCCTCATGAGTTGGTGCATGTGTAGGTTGGAGCTTTGCGTTGCCTCAATTAATCTTCTTTCGCATCCTCAAACTAAGTGAACGCCCTTACTCTTCAAAAAATGTGAAATTTTGGAAAAAATGACTACTATTCGTGCTAAAATGTACCCAGTGGTCATAATTCGAGTAAACTTTCTCGAACAATCTTAATTGAGGCAATGCAAAAGTAAAAACACAAATTTGAACCCACACCTGCATCAACTTATGAAGCCATCGCACGACCCATTAGACCAGAACGTGGTCGCTGTAGAGGCCATTCCAATGACTATAATTCCCTTAAGCGGCCAAATTGGATCGAAATTCCTCCATAACTTCTTTCAGAGAAACGATTAGCAGAAACGGAAGTCGGATTCGGAATCAGCGTTCGAAAACGAGTGTAATGGTTTACATATCGTCTCAAAAAGCCATGGACATTGAGTATCGTTTCCTTGTTAGGTCGGGCTTTTGAAATGGTACACATATATTTAATATCAGCTCGGAACGCTGATTCCAAATATGCTATCCCTAGCTGCGAAGCATTCCTCTGAAGCGAGTTATGAGCTTTTTTAGTATGTGTCATTGACATACAACTGAATATGGAAAGAAGGTCTTTGGATAAAATCTGCCTAAAAAGTGGTGGGAAATCAAAATAACATCAAATTGAGTCATTTGGCTTTGATAGGGTATAATATGCATTTGATCCACTACCTAAATGATGATACCGTAGCATGCCTAAGTCGGTCAAAAAGCAAAATTTTCTCAGGAAAAAGCTCATAACTCGCTTCAGAGGAACGCTTCGCAGCTAAGGAAAGCAGATTTGAAATCAGCGTTTCAAGCTGATTCCAACCATGTGTGTCTCATTTCAAAAGCCCGACCTAAGTTAAGTGACTTCCCTTGTAAGTCGAACTAGCCATCTCAACAAGACGTACATAGTCTATCTCGGTTCGAAACGCTGAACTCAAATGTGCATCGAATATTTGTTCAGAGGCGTTCCAGAAAAGTTATGGGAAGTCGCTTCAGTAAACTGACCAAAAGCGAAGGCGGGTGTCCACTTGATCCAGTCTACTTTGCCGTTGGTCATTCTACTGATTTGACCAGTAGCAAAGTGGATAAAGTGGATCAAGCGGATCTTGTGGATCAAGTATGGCATGTCCCGTTAAGGTCACGTACACGATTACAGGTCCGTAATTTTCCCACCATGGCTCCTCACGAAACAGATGTGCATCAACGCGTCGTCAAAAAATGGGAGGTATGGTTTGTTGACGCTTATCTTCTTTTTGGTGATGGGTCCATACTGCACATCAAACTAGGGCGCAAAAATTTTTAAACATGCTGAAACAGCTTATTATTATTATTATTATTTATTGCATAGTCCTATGCATATTACATTCAACAGAACAACAAGTCTAATTAATAACACAAATCAACACAACAAACTAGAAAGGCCTAACAATCACATAAGGAACTATGGCGAGAGAAGATAGTTCTCAAGAATCATTTTGAACTGAGACAATTTTGAGGAAGCATACCCTTTCTCATCATTTTATCTAGATCGCCGCTGACTCTGTTTGTAAAGAATCTTCTTCTCACACTCCTCCCTGCTCTTAGTATTACCATTTTTTGAGGTCCCCCTCTAGTAATAGAACTTCTAGTCTCAAAGAAGTTGGCGGGATTAAGTTGGCAATCTCCGAATAATATTTTGTGAGCCATAATAAGATCAAGCTTTCTTCTTCTATTGCACAGGCTAACCAATCCCCTTTCCGTTGGGTAAAAATTCGTATTTGAGGCCTTTGGTTCTAATCAATAATTTCCTTGTGAAGCAGTTTTGCACTCTTTCGCTTAGTTTCCCCGCCGGCCCTTCCTGCTCCTGCATCAGCCAGGAGGGGATGGAGAGGTTATAATGAACACGTTGGGAAATTAAAAGCCCATTTAAAGCGCGGAAACCAAACTTAGGCCAGCATGCTGCAGAAACCTGCAGGTAAACTCTTTCTCGATAATTTTGGGCTCTTTGGTTGGAGTAGCACTTTGTTATGCACACGTAGACTGCTCCTTCCTATAGCATTAGATGTGCTCTAAAATTGCTCATATATCCTATTATTTGCCACCTACCTGCCATTTCTTCGGGGAAGTCATTTCTGCAGGTCAGCTTCTACCGTAATACGTTTATGCCATTCTCTAGAATGAGACAAAGACGTTTTGCTTTCTCAAATTTTGAAGACACTGTCCAGATAAACCTAGTACGTGGGACTTTCAGAAGTGATCTCAGGGCCCTTGTTAAGGCAATATCAAAGTGCCAGCGCAAATAGTTCATCAAAAGCTGAGGAATCCGTTTCCAAGCCTGCCCTCACTGCCGTAACGTACGAGTTGTAGCTTGCAGAAAATTATACGCGGACAAACCTACGGGGAATTCGGGGCGGCGTGGCAGGAGTTCCCAAAGCTTAGCCGCTTTTCCTCGCAGGGGTACTTGGCACTTCCAGAAATCCCTTGAAGGGCATCACACTTTCTCAAAGGTCGGGTCAAAGGGCGGCTTCGCCCATCTCCTCCCTCTAGGTGCCCTCATTCTAAATTGTGTACACGCACTGCAAGATATGTTTCATTGTATTATATGAGGATGATAGAACTGGAATCGAGACACAAAAAATTTCTAGGTTTTAAAAGTTAGAATCCATAAACGACTGGCTGATTTTCGAGTCATGTTTTACTCATGTTTTCCGATAAATTGGCGCTTCCTTAAAAACTTTTGAGTGCTCGCGTTTGAGTAAATTTGTGGAACATATCGCATTAATATAAATTAAGCAGAAGTTGTGAGTCTTCCAATCACGGTAATAACAGAGAGGTTAGTTTATTTTACGCAAGTTCTAAAATCATCTAAGAATAGCGAATTACCATATCTTGCGAATTCAGTTTGGAACTTGAACTCTTAGTCAACTCTTTGATCACGCGACGAAGTTTGGTAATCTACCACATAAATTGTAAGAAATACTACACTTAAAAATTTCTTTATGATAATTTGGGCCTTACTGATCATTAGAGTAATTGGAATGAAAAACTCATTTGCATGTATAATGGCAGACGATAAAAAAGTATGTGTTCAGATATCCTATCTGTTGGATAAAGCGTTAAATGTGCTTGCTCGAAAACTTTGATACACTTATTTTAAAATGAGTCCTTCTATTGTTGAGAAAGAATTGGGTTCTCAAACTCCTGACGTTAGATTTCAATCAGATGTCCAGTAATGTACAATTACTGGACATCTGATCGACTACATCCTCTAATATTTCGAATAACGGATTTTCCGTTCAAAAAATTCTCTGCTATTTTTTTCCTCTTAAAGCAGTGTTCATATGCTCTTTTTTGAAAGAATGAATAGCAGAAGGTTCCAAGCCGCCTAACTTAAAGGCAGCGTCCACCCAGAATTTGGCCCCCCATGTTTTCGTCATTCTAGGGCCTTTCTGTGGTCCTGATTACAGTTCCGAACTTCAAACTCTCCAAATTTCACAAAAAAAGCGATTCTTGGGGACCCCGTCTTGAGGGCGCGGACGAGTTTCCAATTGCTCGTCTCCGTCGGCAGGCCAGCGGGAAGGAGCTGCAACTGCATGGGTGCAGTTGCATTGCAGTGTGCAGTGTGCAGCTTCTGCTCACTACCTTGTCAATACGTGTCGGGAGGCATGTATTGACAAGGTAGTGAGCAGTCCCTGGTGGGCGGAGTCTGATACCAGACCGCCCAGCCAGGGACTTTCAAGCCCCTTATCTCCATTCAGAGACAACGTTAGAAGACCGGACCAACGCAGATGCCCCTTTTCTGGAGCCTACATTCAGGGGAGACACTAATCGGAGGGGGTTAGGTTTGCCCTGGACACTGCCTTTAAGAAATGATGACTGTGTTCCGTTTTTTCTCCATAATTTTTCTCTTATTACCTTAATACCTGAATCTATGTTCTCGCTGCTTGTACGCCTTACAATGAGATCAGTAAATGGGAGGAGTAATGGGCGGGTCCTGACCTCTGAGACGTAGAGGTGCTAGAACCCTCCTGGGTGCGAGTGTTGGTGCGAAGTTGGTGCGAGGAAAGGTGCTAGGAACTCCTGCACTCCCTCCGGAATTCGGGGCGCTAGTAGTTGATAGTGCAAATATGTGATAGTTTTTGTCTTCTTTTTGTGCATCAATGAATTAAAACGATTATTTTAAGTGGGCTGATACCTTTCCTGAGGATCTGAGCCATCCAATGGACTCTACCAAATTCTTAACCAGATGTATGTATACCGCATTTTGTGACATAATTGCAAACCGTCGTCTGCTTCCAAAAACTGTCTTCAAGATAAGAACGATTGATGGTAGCTATGATAGGTGCCTTCTTGGATGTAGATTCAGTTTTTTTCTGTTTTCAGAGGATTTGCGCGTCTGCGTACTGAACACGTCAACACCCTCGGGGTATCGAATGGTTGAGAAGTTCAGAGGTGTCAGTCACGCTATAGCAAATCGCTATCTTCGCAGTTTAATGCTCGTAATCAATCCGACGAGGGAAGATGTAAGTGATGCAGTTGAAATGTATACTTGGCACTTGCGATATGGCGGCGGTGATGATCCTAGAGCGGAATTCACAAGGTATCTGGAATTTTTGATCTCCATATATTACCATTTTACGGCTGAAAAGTATGCTTCCAGCACTGATGGAACTATCATTGCGTCTCTAAAATACGGAGGGATTCAGAGTGTGAAGAAGCAGGTCTATGATTTGTTCAAAGCAATTAGGAGACTATGCAACCTGGTGCTGAGTCCCCTTCCGGCTGCTGCGACTGCCACTCTACGAGCCACATACACTAATTGTATGTATGCATATTCATAATGCTGTGCAGCTCAATAAATTTTGAATTTCAGGGACTCCCGAAGATTATCAAGCTCCTGGGTTTTATCCTTCCCCCGAAAATCCCATACTAAGGCCTGAAGCAGGGGAAATTCGCATGGGACTGCTACACACCGATCACCACACGTTCGTAATCTTTGCTTCCACTAGTTTTTTGAATTTTTCTGCCATTGATAAGGTCCGCAAGCAAGGAAGCTCTAAAGAATTGTTTGCTCATTGATTTGACTTCGACTTTATAGTAAAAGAGCCGAAATTATTTACTACAGTAGGAATATAATCATGGTCAAACTTGGAGTCAGGTCCGCCCTACCAGGGGACATATCAGTTTTGAACGGAAGGGCGGGCGGAGAAGTACTAGGTTGTTGCAAAAATAATGTCCGTTTTGCAAAATGTTACTTTGAAAAGTTCTAACTTCGTTCAGTCTTCATATTTTTGAATGCAATTAAGACCATCAGATGCAGTAAACCTTTCGTAATCCAACGCGCACCTGCATATACTGATATCGCAAACGGGAAGAAAACCATGCGTCAGAAAACCAAAAGTTTTGCTTTTGAGAACCACGTTTTTGAAAGATTACAAATTCCTCCAAGTTTTGTTGTTATGGCTACTAATCAGCTTATTTTGTAGATGCAACCCAGTAGTATACGTTTGTATAAAAAGAACTTTAGCGAAGAAGTTCTGCGAAATAAAAAAGATAGAAATCCAAAATTCTACACTTTTTTAAGCTTATTTGTGATAGGCTTGGAAGTCCCAAACTATGAAAACCTGGAATTCTTCATGCACTGAATAGCTAAGTTTCTGCATGAATTGTAGATAAGATGTCCTGACCTTAAGCCTACAGAAATGAGCGAAGTTTCGGCGATTGCCCTAATCAGGAAAAATTTCGAACCCATAGAGTTCCCGGCAGCGAGCATCTTTTTTGAAGCTCGATTTGTCAGTTCAGGTATATTCGAAAAACTTATTTAAACATGCAATAAGTAAACAATATGTCAAAAGTCCTCCTTTCTTGTAACCTGGGCATTCTAGTATAACTTCACTTAATCTTCTGTGCCGTACAGGTTTTTAACGATGACACACTTTATTGCCTGACGTTTCGGTTACACACCGTCTTCAAAGGCCTGGAAAGGTGTCAGTCACATTGATATCACTCTACTTGCTGCCAAGCCCTTCTCCCATCTGCGCACTCGATTCGTCTAGGATGAAGATCGAGAGGCTGGGTGTAGAAATCTACCCACCGAGTGTGTCACCAGTAGCAGTGTTATCTGCTCCAGAACTTGCTCGATGGACTGCAGTGACGAAATGAGCAGTCGGAACACTCTGAGGCTGCTTAAGTATAGATCAGCTATCTCATAGTTCGCATAACGCAAGATACGGCAATAGATCACTTGTGATAGAAAGCTTTTCATTCTTGCCGTTCATTTTCGGATCCCGGGCAAGTATATAGGACGCCTCTAAAGCCTTTCGTGCAGAGATTTGATCTTCCAAAGCTAATATTTTGCACCTGATTTCAAAATCATCACCGCTATGTTCTACTTTCCTATGTTTACCTAGCGGGCTCATTATGCTCTGACGTTTCTTACTAGCGAGGTGTTCATTTATCCTTACGCTTAGTGGCCGGCCGGTTTCACCGATGTAAACGGAAGAGCAGCTTGTACATTCGATTTGGTAAACGACGCCAGTTTTTGCGCAGTCACCGGGTCTTCCGTAAGGGCACACTATGCAATCTCGTGTAGCACAGGTTCTGTCGTACAGTTTGTTGCGCACTAGCTGTTTCTTAAGATTATCTCGTGGAATATTTACCAATACAACGTCCTTTTGCAGCTGTGCTTGTGCTAGGCATTGCTTGATTTCGGCAGTGACCCTTTCGGAGATGAAAGGCAAGCACAGAGCTATCCTGTTGATACTCTGTTCGCTTGTCTTTGTCGTGACTCTTTTTGGGCGTTTAAAATGCATCGTATATCCATTTGAATTCATTATTTTAGCCGCAATTTTCAATGATTCTTCTCTTTCAGTCTTGCCACTACAGGTATTCTTTGCCGTTTCGAACATGTTGTGTATAACGGCTCGTTTAACGGCTATCGGATGCGCGGATTTTGCGTGCAAAATGATGTTCTTATTACTCTCTTGCGGTACCATTTAATGCGTACCGAGCCGCTAGACACCATCAACTGTGTGTTCAGGAACGGAAGCCAACCGTCTCGTGGTCTTTCTCTTGTTAAGCTTATGTACTGCGATTGTTGATTTAGTAGTCTGAAGCACTCGTCCATTTCGGACTGAGTTGCAGTAACGATACAACAATCGTCAATGTATCTGCAGTACTTAAGCGGGCTCCTGGCTAGCACTGGTTGTTCTATTTTGCTCATGAAGCAGATTGCCAATACGGGTGCTAGCCTTTGGCCCATTGCCAGCCCTCTAATTTGTGCAAAATATTTCCCACACCACTTGAAGATATTGCAGCTCAAGCATTCCTTGATGAGCGTTATGATGCGCGTCTTGCTGAGACCGTACATCAGCATGGTTTTAGCATGCGAGTCCAGCATCTCAGATAGTGCTTGCAAGGCGCTCTCAATGGGCACATTAGTATACAAAGAGGTGACATCAAACGACTCATACGCGCAGTTCTGGTCAAAGTTCGTCTGCCGCAAAAGCTCAAGGAAATGACTAATAATGAATTCAAATCGATATACGATGCATTTTAAACGCCCAAAAAGAGTCACGACAAAGACAAGCGAACAGAGTATCAACAGGATAGCTCTGTGCTTGCCTTTCATCTCCGAAAGGGTCACTGCCGAAATCAAGCAATGCCTAGCACAAGCACAGCTGCAAAAGGACGTTGTATTGGTAAATATTCCACGAGATAATCTTAAGAAACAGCTAGTGCGCAACAAACTGTACGACAGAACCTGTGCTACACGAGATTGCATAGTGTGCCCTTACGGAAGACCCGGTGACTGCGCAAAAACTGGCGTCGTTTACCAAATCGAATGTACAAGCTGCTCTTCCGTTTACATCGGTGAAACCGGCCGGCCACTAAGCGTAAGGATAAATGAACACCTCGCTAGTAAGAAACGTCAGAGCATAATGAGCCCGCTAGGTAAACATAGGAAAGTAGAACATAGCGGTGATGATTTTGAAATCAGGTGCAAAATATTAGCTTTGGAAGATCAAATCTCTACACGAAAGGCTTTAGAGGCGTCCTATATACTTGCCCGGGATCCGAAAATGAACGGCAAGAATGAAAAGCTTTCTATCACAAGTGATCTATTGCCGTATCTTGCGTTATGCGAACTATGAGATAGCTGATCTATACTTAAGCAGCCTCAGAGTGTTCCGACTGCTCATTTCGTCACTGCAGTCCATCGAGCAAGTTCTGGAGCAGATAACACTGCTACTGGTGACACACTCGGTGGGTAGATTTCTACACCCAGCCTCTCGATCTTCATCCTAGACGAATCGAGTGCGCAGATGGGAGAAGGGCTTGGCAGCAAGTAGAGTGATATCAATGTGACTGACACCTTTCCAGGCCTTTGAAGGCGGTGTGTAACCGAAACGTCAGGCAATAAAGTGTGTCATCGTTAAAAACCTGTACGGCACAGAAGATTAAGTGAAGTTATACTAGAATGCCCAGGTTACAAGAAAGGAGGACTTTTGACATAATTTCTGTCGTATCGCCAAACATGTCCTCATTAGTACGCGAAGCGTTAGCTCTTCGCCAAAAGGTCGTCGTCACTCGACAACAACTATTTTTCCTGAAACGCTGCAAATTGACCGGACTAGTCCCACGTTTCATTGCAAATAAGAAGTTAGGATTGACATGCGGCTTACCGGAAGATCACTCAAGGATACGCGGACTTTATATGAACATCCTCAAAGTAGTGATCAAGGAGAAGCAACGCATCCTATACACGAACTTGCTGAAATGTAAAACTAAAGAAGAACATTGTCGTCGTTATCTGTGTGATACAATTTGGCTGAGGATCGAAAGCGCGTCAAAACAGATATGCGACTCTTTGCGCTCCAAAATCAAATCCCGACTTTGCGAAAAATTCGAAATACTCTCGGGCGAAGGTAAGCAGAGTCTTTTGGGAGTAGATAGAAATCCGCCAGTTACTCACACTCACAATACAACTGCTCGATCTGAAAACGAAAGAACGGCAAGAGTCACTGTGCTAGGTCAAGCTCAGATTTCTCCAAATGCTATTGAATTTCTGAGTTTAGGACCCTCTTTCGCACCAACCCAGAATATAACAGCCAGAACATAAACATATCGCAGCGTATTGGGTTCACTGCAACGATTTAGAGACCACCTACGAGTTAAATTGAGGCATGACGACCAAATGCAAACGTCTGATGCTCTTAGTAGAAAGACCTCACCATCAATCCCATTTCCGTCTTCATTCTACAAAGAGCCTGAACCTTATGCTGTTGCAGACACCAAGTTCCGTATACTTTCGTTGGGCATATTGAAAATTCTCAATAACAACAAAAACATAAGAAGATCTAACTTGACACGCGCGCAGGAGCAGGGTTTCAGAGAAATAAGGGAACTGACTAATAATGGCACTATTCGCCTTTCGGTCAGCGACAAAGGTGGAGAATTTGTAGTCATGCCACAGGATCTTGACCGCGCAATAACTGAAGAACATTTGTCAGATCGAACTATCTATCAACCAACAAATGAGAGGGAATTCCTTGCACAAAGCAAGAGGTTGAATCATGTATGGACGTTGATAGGCAGAGAAGCAGGTCATCACGAAAAGTTTCTTAGTAGGCTGAAACTGGAAACCCCCACGTGCCCTGTCTTTTATGGACTAGTTAAAACGCATAAACTCTCCTTGCGCGATATGCAGTCGGTGTCCGCCAAGTCGTACAAAATATGACCCATCATCAGCTGTACCAACGGGCCAACGGATCGAATATCATGGTTCCTCAATAAAATTGCCAGTCAGCTCTTGAATAAGATACCAGCCCATTCGAACAGCACCAGTCATTTCCTTGAGCTTTTGCGGCAGACGAACTTTGACCAGAACTGCGCGTATGAGTCGTTTGATGTCACCTCTTTGTATACTAATGTGTCCATTGAGAGCGCCTTGCAAGCGCTATCTGAGATGCTGGACTCGCATGCT